AGAAGGAGCTCCCCGTCCGCCCGCCAATCAGCGCGTCCAGGCCCCGCCCCGCCTTCCTCGCTCGCAGCGTCGCGACTCCCCTCCCCTCCACTCGCTTTCGCGGCAGGCGCTTCCCGCTGCTTCTCCACCATGTGCCTCAAAGTTGTCCACAAATACGGTTGCGGCCATGAGACGGCCGCCACGGCGCCGTGCGCGACATCAAGAACAAGTCCCTGCGGCGTCAACAACGTCAAGACAGTCAAGCACGAAGAAAAGTGCGAGCAGTGCGACCACTAACAGGTACGCCTCTGATCTTGTTACCTGTTATGCACCGCTGGTCTGATCCCTCCCATAGATCGCCCACGCGGGCTTCACTCGTACACCACACACCACATGACGGGCCACAGCACTCCGCGGGTGCGCCGTCCTGCCCGTGCAACGCACCCGGCTATCCCACAAAGCCCTGCCCACCCAGGCGCAATAAGCTCCCTCTTTCGCAGAGGCTCTAGCTCAGCCGCATTTGACGGCGTCACGGCATCTTAAAAAGTACAGGCGTTCAATTGGCATTAGGATTCACTTTGGACCTGGACACCATGAGTCCGGCGTTATGCGCACAGGCTGGTGCCAGGACACTTTCCACCTTGTATTACTTCTTTTTCGTTTCTTCGCGGATATCAGGCTTTTCTAATCGCGTCGCTCGTGCCATGTGCCGACCGCTGAGCCACACGGGGTTTTCCTATCGTCTCGTTATTACTATCATGACATCCCATCACGCACCCAGGCGTCTGCAGCAGCGAAACCTGGCAGGACTCGAGTATACCACGGTCAATTAATGTATAGGCGTCCGGGACGAGCGTTATTGCTCTCAAAGTGGACAGCCATCTTCAAATGTTGAGCAGCTTGTGTACTGTGCTTTGAGTGGTGGGTGAAGACGAAAGTTGGCACCCAATCACGCGAGGCTGATCTGCCATACAGTGACAGGCAGCACGGCATATGCACCACCGTTTCTCGCCAATTGCCCTCGCTTACCGCCCTCCAAAGGTTCGCCCGTGACATGTACCAACCAACACCAAACCAACTCCCCAACTTACCCTGGCGTGACATGACCATCATTGGCTGCAGATAGTGCTGCGCACAGTCTCGCCATACAGCCTTGCGCTTGAAACCAGGTAATTGCACTTCATGGGTCTGCAGAGCTGTCTACGGCCGATGCCTGATAGGTCGAGATAAGTGGGCGTCGTCTAAACTAAGCTTCACGATGCAGCACATGCGAGGTGTCGTGAACAGTGTGCGTCAGACGACAGGAAGCCTGGAACGCATGGCTGCGTAGCAATCCTTCCGCTTGAGCAATGGAACGGCCCGTGGCCTTCTCTGGCAAACACAGTCAGCGCTGCATCACAGTCAACAAGACGGTTGAGATGCAATGCTACAAGTCACATTGGGGTCCCACCGTACAACACCTCACGATCCACTCGGGACGGCAAAGGCGTCAAGCTGGCATGTGATGCTGAGGCCACTCCGCGGCCACAGTAGACACATTTGGGACGATCTCCATATAGCCAAATATACAGCGTATATCTAAAATCGATATGCGTCAGGTCCCGCATTCACACGCAGGCAGCCAACCGGGAAAACGGGCTTCTAGAAGCGATTCAGCCTGACTACAGCTGATTGGCTCTTCCGAGGGTTGAGCCACTTTGTAAGGCCACACCGGTCGGACGTACCAATCATCCTTGCTCCGCCACATATGCGTCGACGACAAGGTTCTGCTCTTTCAACGGTTAGTCCGTGCAGACATCAAAGGTGGAGATCACGACTGTGCCGTCGATTGGCGTCGTCTGCTTAATCTACTAACGAGCAGCAACCCTGACAACGGCCAGGCATGATGCGACTTCTGCTCTCCGCCTCGCTCCACCTCGCTCCTACAAAGACACACAGACCACGAAGACCCAACGGCGATCTGCCGCATGGGATGCCGCGAACTTGAAGTTGTGGACATGCAGCTATGCCATGCAGCTCTTTGTCGCGTCGTACATCACGCACTAGTCGGATAATCATCTACATACATATGCTCTATACGAGACGCGCATATTCCCAGGTTGGCTGCAGCTATCGTGACTTCGCTTGAGACTTGCGACGAACGTCTCGGTCGGCATAGAGACGGGACGGCAAGAGATGACCATCTAAACCTTAGGTATTTGCGGCCCGGTAGGAATGCTAATGTCATTGGTGGCATATCACCGTCAACGGTTCTAAGGCATAAACGAGGTCGGAAAGCTTGGCCAACCATGCGGGCTGAAGCTCGGACGGTCATTTCCGCTTTTGGTCCTAGCAGCCACAACCTACCTTTGTCAACTCTAAACTCCACTCCATGCCTAGCAATGTCTATTGATATCAACTGGGATACACTGACCGGCGGCGCAGATGGGGCCGCCCGCGCAGAGACAATACGGGCTTTCATTCACGACAAATTCCAGCAGGTGACGTTACCGAAATTCATCCGATCCGTCCACGTACACTCTTTCGATTTCGGGAGCGCATCCCCGGAAATTGAGATCAAGGACATCTGCGATCCTCTACCCGACTTTTACGAGGAGGATGAAGATTACCCAGACAACGAAGATGATGACGACGATGAAGCGGGGCTCGACAGCAATCCCCGCAACGTCAGTAATTCGGCCACTGAGCCATCGCGAGAGCGACAGCCGCGCGAAACTAGCAGAAATGCATCACACGCAAAGGAACAAACTTCAAGTCAGTCGCGATTAGCCTCGTCGCGCGTCAATTCGAAACCTCCCACCAGTCGTACGTTCTTGGCGCCCAATGACCAACTCACCAGTCCTCTACTACCCAGAGCCTTGACACCGGGCATTCCTGGTGGGACGTCTAACATCAATTACTTCCATCTTCCGTTGAGTGCCGGCCTGTCTGGTGCAACCACGCCTCTGGCTGCCGTGGCCGGTGCTCAGCTGCAGGGCTGGCTCGACAATCCCTATGGTCGGCCTTCGACGCCGACAAATATGCGTCGACTTCGCCATGCTGCGTCCTTTAATTCTCTCACTTTGACACCGCAGTCCCATCCAGACCCTAGCTCCCGACCGTCTTCACGGCACCAGCACGACGACGAAAGGAGAAGGTCCCTTGCCGAATCTGACGACGCCTCGTCCCAGCATGGCTACGACAGGACGCCGTCTGTGTCACCTCACCCCATGCGCGAGAAAAGCCCCGAAGATATCCAAGTCGTCGCTCACGTGCAATATTCTGGAGACATCAAGATGTCACTTACCGCGGAGATTCTCCTGGACTATCCAATGCAAAGCTTTGTTGGCATCCCGCTGAAGCTCAACATCACTGGCTTAACTTTCGACGGCGTTGCCCTGCTAGCGTACATTAAGCGTCGAGCTCACTTCTGCTTCCTGTCTCCTGACGATGCGGAAGCGCTGGTCGGTAGCGACGCCGGCTTCAACGGACTGCAGACTGACTCAAACGGTGAGAATGCCCAACCCGTGCAGCGTCCCAAGATCGGCGGGCTGCTGGAGAACATCCGCGTTGAAAGCGAAATCGGAGGACAGGGCTCTGGAAAGCAAGTGCTCAAGAATGTGGGTAAAGTGGAGTCATTTGTGCTGGAGCAAGTCCGGCGCATCTTTGAAGACGAATTTGTCTATCCCAGTTTCTGGACATTTCTTGTTTGAAAGCACCAAGCATGCCTCGATGCTACATACCTATACGATCCAGAGCCTGATTACACCTGGCACGAGTATGCATCAGCACAAGCACAGAGAGGTAGCCTCGCTCACGATAGGAGGTGCCTCATCACCTCGTCTGTCACTTGATTCTTTCCATGCAGCACTGCCAGAATGCATACACGCGTTGTGGGGCTTTGGTGTAATCATGATCGATGGCCACACGTACGTCTCCACTCTCAAACGACAGTTACAGCGCAGGTGGATCCCAAGGCCTATTGTAGGGAGCTGTTTCCCGTGGCCGACACAACCATCACACCAACTTGGCAGGGAACGTGGGTTGGGCGCCCTGCTCTTGACGGATGTGCGCAGACGGGTTACAGCGTTTTGACAGTAATGTTACTTGACAGCGGGAGTGACGGGGATAGTCTAAGGCTGTAACATACGTCTTCGAGCACATAGCGAATCGCTTGACATGCAGGTGCGACTGTCACCAAAGTGTCAAAATCATGGGTTCGCCTTGGCAATGGTTCCGCAAGATAGACCGCCGCCGCGAGCCCTGCACTTTGTGCTCCCATTACTAGCGCTCCTGACTTTACCACCAATGGCAATCTGTCATGCGCAAGACTGATCACGGAAGAATTGGACGCTTTGGATGTGATGCATGGTGCCCGACATTTCCCGCATTTCCCGTCCCATCGCGATGACTGCTCTTGTTCCCTTACCTGCTGCAGTCGGTACATTCCTGCGGTGCGCAGCACACGACTTCGGGCAGTCAGGTTCGATTAAATGGGCCGCAATGCGCTGCCACACCGATGAAGCATCTCCACAGTCACAGCAGCCAGCAAATGGGGGACAGCATATTAGATTCATGGAAGACTGCGATACAATGCACTCGATGAGTGCATTTACATCGCGATGCTGACAAGACTGTGTGGGTTTCTCATCACACCGAGACGGCGTATTGATTGCGCAATGAAAAATATACAATGGTTGAGAAGGCTGGAGGCAGACACCCGGTTATACGACGCGGCTTCGATGTATTGGACCATCCGAAGGTGGCTTTCCGGCATGCCTAATCACATGCTGGACGGTGGACTTTCTAGGGCAATATCACGATTTGCAGGACTAATATACGCGTGAGGTTGGAAGTTGGGTTCACGATGTGATGGCCTTGTGTATGTCTTGCTGCGTGCGGCACAAGTGGTCTGACTACTGGAGTGCGTCACCACCATTGTTCTTCGCTAATGCGCATATCAGTCAACTAAGCATGTGAAGGATCTGCTGACACGTGATTGTGGTGAATGTTTCGCGTTTGAGAGACGCCCGCCTGACGCGCACCAAATTCTATTGAATGGTGACTCTCAATGAGGCTGTATATCGTTGTAGGATGAGAAGAAGCGTGAGAATGAGGCATGGAACAGGATGTTAAGCTCAGTCTGTATATTCAGCGATCAGTTGTATGGCAGCGTCGATGTTGTCGCTTCATGGCGCCACACCAGAGCTTAGTGAAGGGAGGGAGAGTGCCCGCGTTACGTCAGTCTTGGCAGGGTTGAGCTCCAATTGCCCCGCCATCACGAGTAGCTGAAACAGACCCTGACCAAACCTCCAGGTCCTACCTACCCATTTCTTCCCCCCCCCCTCCGCCAACACGTACAACAATTACCTCGCTTTCTTATTGTAGCAATCTCTCAAATACCTAGAAGAAACCCCAGCAAACACAATGTCATCCAGACTGGAGCTCAGCTCTTTCTGGCTGCCATGCCTGGTCCTCCTCGTCTTCTGGGCCCGCCCCACGGCAGCTTTTGGCGCGGGCAACATTGCCAGCCTGAGCTCTGTTGAAGGGCAAAACTGGCGCCATGGAGACATCGAGGACACACTGCTCACGCTTCTTATTTCCAGCAGGACTGGCAAGAAGTTCAGCAAGATGGACGTGAAGCGCGTCTACTTTGGCAACTGGCTGAGGGACTACTCCCAGGCCGTCGATGTCGGCACCGTCAAGATGGTGTCTGCCGAGGCGATCCGCATCCTCCTATGGGTGCTGGGCTTCATGTCCTTTGGCTACGGCACCAAGGAGTTTGAGGTTACCCGCGACAGGCTGGGCTGCTACAGGCCGGAAGAGCACATCGACAACCCCAAGGTGAGTCTACATGGCCCAATTGGGTAGGGAGATGCTGACTGGGCAGGACTACGCCGACAACCTCGATGCCCGCGAATACGACCGCCGCCTACGTGCACCCGTCGATGAGCGCCGCGAGCTGAGCGTCGACGAGCGCACCGGCCTCAAGAACTACATCGCCTCGGAAGATCTGGGCATCACAACCTCTGCCGGCATGGTCCGCGACCTGCTCCGACGCTGCATCGATCTCGGCCGTCGCTCGGGTGGGCGCGGACCCGACTTCCACGAGGCGCTGCGTCTGCTCGGAACGGCAACGCATTGTCTCGAGGACTACTCGGCCCACTCCAACTACACCGAGCTGGTCCTGATCGAGCTCGGCGAGCGTGACATCTTCCCCCATGTCGGCCGCAATGCGCAGTTTGAGATCCAGGCTGCCCGCAAGCAGGTCTACCCCATCATCACCGGCACATTTGGTGGTGTCGACTTCCTGCACTCCGTGTGCGGTGAGCTGTCGGACAAGGCCACCCAGTCAGAGCTGCAAGAGCTTGAAGGCGCCATCTCCGACGCCGACAGGAAGAAAAACAAAAGCCAGATCAAGGACCTCCTGAGCCAGCTTCCCGATGGCATCTTCGGTGGTAAGGACCAGGGTGGCAAGGCTGATGAGCTTGAGAACAACGCCAGCGCTGCTGCGATGGGCAACATGCACGTCACGCCCAAGGAGCCCGAGGCTTTCACTGAGCAGCTTGGCGAGCTTGTGAAGCAAATCTACCCCATCATGGAGTTCCACGACGAGATCATGATGTCCATCTCCGAGTTCATCGAGAAGATTCCCATCCTGCCCGAGATCATTGAGCAGGTCCAGGAACAGGTCACCGTCTTCGTCTTCAGCCTTTTGGCTCCTTATGTCCTGCCCATCATCAGCCAGGTCAAGGCGGAGCTCGAGACTGGTTCCAGCGAGGTTATTGCCAGCTCACGCGAGAAGCAACACATTGTCTTCAACGATGACTACTCAACTGATCCCACCCACAGCATGTTGTCCAAGGATCATTTCTCCAACATTCTTAACGAGCCAGCTGGCCGCGTTGCATCTGCCGTCTTGACCTGGGCGGTTCCCCAGATCGTTCAGTGCTGGGATGGCCAGGGAGACCCTGAGGAGACCATTAGCCGTATCATTGACGGAGTCTTCCATCACCCCGCTGTGCCTCAAGGTCGCGTTCGCGGCTCGGAGCAGTGCCGGTCGATCATGTTCCAGACCGTTGAGAAGTGGTGGAGAGCTCAGCCCGACCAGGATGACTTGCGCCGCAAGCTGAGCCGTCGTGGCGTGCAGAATGGCGAGAACCACAAGCCAGGCATGCACGACAAGGGCCACGGATGCGGTAAGCCACTAGGCATGGCCAATGACTTCTCCGGTATCGTCGGCGGCAGTGGCGGCAACCGCCAAGCCCAGCAGGTTACTCAACAGGCTGGCAAGCTCGCTAGCGAGGCTGTTGGTGGTGGTGCTCTTGGAGGTCTCGTCGGAGGACTTGTTGGCGGCATTGGTGGCTCCTTGCTCGGAGACGCCTTTGGTGGCAGCGAGAAGAAGTCGAGCAAAAAGGAGAAGTATGGTGACGATGGATCATACACCCAGTCTTATCAAGAGACGGGCCATCACCAGGGCTCTCTCTCATGGTGATAGCGAGCGCTATGGCCAAGCCTCTTACCAGCAGACCCAGTACCCAGACGGAGGACGCCGTGAGGAGTACTCTCGTCGCGAACAGGACGAGCGCGGTGGCTCTTACGGGTACCAGCAAAAGGTAGAGACCTCGAGCTATGGCGGATCTGGCGGATATGAACGTCGCGAGGAGCGCACCGTTCAGAGCGGCAACCAATGGCAGACTGAAGAGAGGCGTGAAGGCATCGACCGCTCTGGCGATTACTACTCGGAGAACAAGGAGTGAGTCTCATCGCTCGTCAATTACGGCATTCGCTAATAGCACTCTAGACGACGTGGTAAGTCATCCAAGAAAGACTCCGATGACGACGACTCGGACGACGGTGGCGACCCCTACGAGAAGCGTATGAAGAAGGAGCGAAAGAAGCGCGAAAAGGAAGAGAAGAAGAAGCACAAGAAGCACGGAAGCGGCGATGACTCCGACGATGCTGACAGGCGTCGTGCAGGTTCTGGCGACCACGGACGACGCAAGTCTCGCTCTCGCTCGCGCTCCCGCGAGCAGCAACACCGCAGGAAGAAGAGCAAGAGCCCCAGCCCCAAGCGTGGTGGCTACGGCGAAGAGCGTGGATACCAGAGCCAGCAGCAGTCTTCCTACGGACGTGAGGAGACTTATGGTAGTGGTCGTGAGGAGGTGTCTGGATATGGGCGTCAAGAATCATCCGGATATGGCCGCCAAGAATCATCTGGCTACGGCCGTGAGGAACCTTCGGGCTACGGTCGTCAGGAGTCATCTGGCTACGGCCGTGAAGAATCTTCGGGCTATGGTCGTCAGGAATCCTCAGGATACGGCCGCCAAGAGGAATCCTACGGAGCTCGTGACATGCCTGGTGGCTTTGAAGAAGAGTCTTCGGGGTATGGCGGACGTCGTGATGAGGGGGATGAGTACGGCCAGCGCAGGCAAGAAGGCGGATATGGAGATGAGGGATATGGTAGGAGGTATTAGGGTCTGATGCGGGTGGATAGCCTGGTTTGGTTTGGTATGGAAGGATTGGGATTAGCTCGTGGGTACCCTGATGAATTGCACGATTGATGAGATGATGTCAGGTTCCGATGAAGTGATGGAAATGAACTCACATCTATGTACTGACATGCGCTCGCATTTCTTTGCCTTCTTCAGAGCAAGTCGGCAATTGTGCATACGAGGTGGACGGTTTTATTGAAAATGCATATGTTCAATTAGAACAGTGGTTTGCCGTACGATCCTGTATCAACTCGAGTACACACGCTGTACTCAAGTCACGTTCTTCTTTCTTGTGTTAAACAAGTCTCAACTTCCTAGGCATCGCTTTATAACCTGTTCTTCCGCTTTTGTGAGAAGATGTGTAATCTTGTAGCTTGTCTGAGATCTTCCCTCTTTTCCTCATGAAGATGGACACAAGGATGCACCTCTGCACGCAAATCGAAGATCAGAACCAGATCCTAGCTAACGCACTTCCCCAACAGTATCTCATGTCATCAGGGCTGTAAGCATATGAGCTCAATACACAGTGGGGCCACTACACCAAAAGCGGGGTAGTCGCATGATAGTTTCCTTCAACATCGTGACTCGACGGCCTTGTTTCAAGCTTTTGGACACATAAAGCTTGACTTGTCTTACACTTGAGCTGAACCTAAAGCTAGCATCTGTCAAACATCATGGCTGCAGTTACTGGCTACGAACACGCCGACGCGTGGGAGCAGGACTGGCTCAAGGTCGACGATACGCATGAGGTGTACTACGAGCAATACGGCAAGAAAGACGGGAAACCAGGTAAATATCAATTTCTATCCATGTAGACCATTGAAAAGAGGTGCAACTGACAAATGCAGTCATTTTCCTCCACGGCGGCCCCGGCGGAAAAACCTCCAAAGCAAACACCCAATTCTTCAACCCAGCCATCTACCGCGTCATCCTCCTCGACCAGCGCGGCGCCGGCAAATCCCGCCCCCACGCTTCAATAAAAGACAACACAACCTGGCACCTCGTCGCCGACATCGAGCTCCTGCGCCGCCACCTCAACATCCCCAAATGGCACCTCGTCTTCGGCGGCTCCTGGGGCTCCACGCTCGCCCTGGCCTACGCGCAAACCCACCCATCCAGCACCGGCAGCCTCGTCCTGCGCGGCATCTTCGCTGTGCGCGCCAAAGAGCTCAACTGGACGAACCAGCCCGGCGGCGCGCCCTTCCTGTTCCCCGACGCGCACGAAGAAATGGTCAATTTCCTGCCGGAAAACGAGCGCGCGGATCACATGAATGCGTACCATGACCGCCTCATGTCGGATGATCCGGCTGTCTCGCACCCCGCGGCCACCGCCTGGAATAAATACGAAATCAACATGTCGACGCTGCGCTTGGATCCCGCGGATTTGGAGAAACTCACTGATCCGGTGTACCTTCTGCCGCACGCGCGCATGGAGGCGCATTATTTCAAGAATCGCGCGTGGTTGGAGGAAGGACAGTTACTGCGGGCGGAGAATATCGAGAGGATTAGACATGTGCCGTGTACGATTGTGCAGGGTAGGTTTGATGTCGTGTGTCCGCCTGTGACGGCGTGGGACTTGCACAAGGCGTGGCCTGAGACGAAGTTGGTTTGGGTGCGGGATGCGGGGCATAGTGCGACGGAGCCGGGGACGAAGAAGGCGTTGATTGAGGCTTGTGATGGATATGCGGGGTTGGAGGTTTAGGTGTGTAGAGATCATGTGTGGAGGCTGGTACAGGTGGAGTTCCTGTTTTGTTGCGTTCTCATTTTTGCGCATATGAACAAGTTCTTTTGGCTTTCGGCTGAAGCGGGATCTTTAATTAAAAGCGCTGTGGCGAAAGATAGTCTTTTGTGTTTTGTATGTCGTCGTGATAGCGATGTTGATGTGGTGATCTTCGGCTGACATGGAACCGCAGCCTCGTATGTAGATCGCCGTCTTGGGTTTCTTACAAGGTGCATCTTCCGAAGTTATTACCCGAGTCTACCAATTTCTAAGCTGTATCATAGCTAACTGAATTCCCTAGCATATGGCAAAATGTTGAAATAGAAAGAAGTCGTAAAATATTGGAGTGTTGGCACAAACACTATGGCTTCCAATCTCGTTCATACAACTACTTCGGCTACTTATCATCTCGGTGAAGAAAACTGGAGACGCTAAATCGCGGTCTACTCTGGAAGCGAAAGAACTATGCTTACCCCGCCCTGACAGGAGCATCCGGAAGATCGACCGCCAAGACCCTGGGGCCAGCCCATAAAGACCGTACTATAGGTCCAACGAATTCGACAACTTGATTCCATCTCAGTCTACCTAATTTCCATAACCCGAAAAGCTCCAGGAGAAGCCATGTCATCCACCAAACCAACCCTCCTCTTCATCCCCGGCGCCTGGCACAAATCATCCTGCTACACCCCCCTGATCCAAAAACTCAACGACCAAGGCTACGAAACCGCAACCGCAGAACTTGCATCCGTAGGCGCAAATCCCGGCCTACAAACTTGGGCCGACGACGTCACCAACATACAATCTGTCCTCGCCCCCCTCGTCGACGCTGGGAAGCGCGTCATCATCATCGCACACAGCTACAGCTCCCTCCCCGCCGGCGAGGCTATCAAATCCTATTTACTCCGCGAGCGCGAAGCTGCCGGGAAAACTGGCGGCGTCGTGCACTTTGTGTACATATCCGCCTTCATCATCCCGCCGGCCACGTCCCTAATGGACGCCCTCGGCGGCGTCGATCTACCATGGTTCATCGTCTCGCCCTCGAAACTCGAGGTCCAGCCCGCCGACCCAGCAACCATCTTCTACAACGACTTACCCAAGGACGTGCAGGAGGAGCAGATTGCAAAGCTTGCCGTGTTTAGCTATCAGATGTATTTCCAGAAGACGACGTGGGCACCGTGGATGGAGGTGGCGGCGACGTATGTGTTTTGCTCGCGGGATAATGCTATTCCGCTACAGGTACAGGAGGGTATGGTCAAGGGTGCTGGAGGCAAGTTCAGGGAGGTGAGGGTGGAGGCGGGACATAGTCCGTTCTTGAGTCGGGTGGATGAGGTGGTGGGGGCGATTGTTGGGGCGGCAGAGAGTGGGTAGGAGATGGGCTAGGGTTACGGTGGAGGATGGAAACAGTTTGTTGGCTTAGTTTTTGGGTGGGTGAGATGTTTTGATAGCCATGTATGTTCATGTTATTCGCCGAAAGTCATGCGTCTTTCGAGTACCTAATGTTATCTCTAGAATCTGCGCCCCTTACTGCCATAAGCCACATCGACCTTGATCCGGGGATCGATCCACGCCTATCTGGGAGCGCAATGAATTCTATTAGACTATGCTACAACTTTAAATTCAATACTTTGATATGTACGTCGACATAGTCAAAGGCTTTGTTAGACCCAGCCTGCAATGCATTGCGTTAGCATATGTGTACCAGGTCAGTCCAACACAGCAAACAACGCTTTTTGCGCATGCGTGTGCATCTGAACCAGCTCTCTATGATGGCGAACACTAGTCCGAGACCTTCGTAGAGCCGTTCACAGAAAATGCGGTTTACTCTCAAGACGAGCTGCTCATACTCCAATATACAAGGTCTACTATCGAAGGCCAATGAGTTCCCTTGGAAATCTCAGCCAGAATGAAATTCATACGAGAACACCATAGAGCCTGTGTGTGTGTTCTCAGATCGCAGATTCGCACGTGGAAGGGGCATTTCCATTATTACTACCAGCACGCGCGCCGATTAGTTGCTGCACAGTCCCGCCATTCCAGACCCTGCGATTCTGGGCCATTCAGATTCAGTTCTATAGCCCACCGTTTCTTGAGTACAATTTTCCAAACAAAGGACGTGGCCTGGTGGCAAACAAAACACTTCACCGGGGCGACCAGATCCTATCTTCAACTCCGCTCCTCGTCATAGACCCTAAGTCATACAACCTTACTGAGTCTGACCATCTGCGCATCATGCGTCGTAGCATGAAAGCCCTTCCCAGCGGATTAGAGACTAAATTCCAGAAATTGATGGGCCACTCTGATGATGACCCAGTCAATGGCCGCATCCGCGCGAATGGGTTCGGTGTCAAGATAAACGGATACGAGCATCTTGCAGTGTTACCTTAAAGTGCCATGTTGAACACGACTGTCTTCCAAACGCAGCCTACTTCTGGTAGGAGGAAACACTGAGCCACTACGTGCACGCGGTCAGGACAATCTATCCCGGCGAGGAGATCACAATTTCGTACATTTTCAACGATCATAAGCAGGCGAGGCTTTCAGAGGAGCTCGGTGATTGGAACTTCAATAGTGCTTTTTCAGCGTGCGCGGCTCACCCGGCTTTTGTAGCGGAGTCTGATGAGCGATCAATCAGACACATGATTTGGACTGGGAAACGGTTGACTGGATGGACGATGATAGCAAGGCTACACCTGAGATAGCGGAAACCCTCACCTCGCTTCACCAGCAAGAGAATCTGCAAACAGACATAGGCAGAGCATACAAGCATGCCGCTAAAGTCTACGGCGGCTACGGAAAGAAATACGAGGCAATGAAATATGCTAGGCTGGCTGTAGAAATGTTGTACTTGTCCAAGGGGTTTAGCCATCTTGACTTTAAGAAGAAGAAGAAGGAGATGGCCAATAATCGCGACGGAATGAACCACGAAGCATCGTCATTCTCGTCGTAATATTGTAAAGTACAATGCAAGACCACATACACATCACCAGATTTCTGCATTTCCAATTGCGAAAACAGCACTGAATTGGAATCATAACTTTTAGCCTCCAATGTATCCAGTGTGACGAATCCTAGCCCAAGCCGAGAGGCGCTTTCCAGTCAAAGCTGCTACTGGAACACCATACATCTTCATCCTCAGGTAAGAAGAACCTCTTATATTCTTCTTTGCTAATAACAACACACCTTAACAACAAAGACATGCTAATTCCACGCGTGTCCCATGCCTCCAAGAAAATCTACCCCAACTTCCTCTTCTTCCTCTTCTTCCCACCCGTGCTCAAATCAGGTCCTTCCGTAATCCCCGGCAGCGGGAAACAATACGTCTCGAGCCTCTGTCCGCGGAAATCAAACACCCCATTCGCCCAGCCATAACTACGCAGAAAACAGCCCTCCCGATGCTCCGCAGATCCGATCCGCGCCCCCGTCCTGTCAAACACAGCGACCTCCAGACTCGCTATCCGTTCCCGGTCGTACTCGCTGCTCGGCGCGTCCCAGCTCGTAAACACCAACGGCACCCGATCGCTGGGATGCATGCCAGGGGAGATGTCGAGATATCGTGTTCGCCAGTGCGGATCGATGAATATGGCGGCTGGATCGGTGGCCGTGGGGTCGCGGGCGGGACATGCAAGACTGAGCCTGCGGCCGTCGCGGAGCGCTTGGTAGACTGCGGACATCATGTCGAGGACGCATGACGTCGAACGCGGTGTGTCTGCTGCTCGGTCGAGATCGCGTTGCAGGTGTTTGCGGAGGAAGCGCGCGAGTCTGCAGGACGGCCAGATTTGGGCGAGCTTGTCGGCGACCATGTGGATGGCTTCGTGGGCGACGAGGTCTAGTTTGCGTCCTTTTGGTATGCTCGTTGCGCTTTCGTCGCGTGATACGTCTCGAAGCCTGGCTCGGTCCTTCTTGCTGAGTTGGAGTGGATTGGGTGTAGTGCCATGCTTGTCGGGCTCGTAAGGCAATATCCTGAACAGAAACCCCTTTGTTTCAATGCCGCGATGTGTAATGGTCGGCGATCTCAGGCGGCAACGCTGGATAAAGCTTTGCTCCAACCTGAGGCTCGGTGCTGTGAAGTGGTACTCGCATCTTCGAAGATATGACTGTAATGTTTCTTGCATAAGCTCTCCAACTGTAAAGTGATGGCCGTAGTCATGGGTCTTGATGATCTCACCGTTGATAAGAATTTGAGCAAGCATGGCAACTGAGAGACTGTACTCTCCTGGTTTCACGATTGGTGATGCTGGGCTAGTGTCGAGACGGTTTGGGAAGCGCAGCGAATTTGCCAGTATTGCGACGCGGTCTTCTTCATTCTCCAGTGATCGGCTGCAAATGTCCGCTAATACACTGTTTGTCATAGTAGGGTAGAACGCGATGTTTTGATGGTTTTTCCATTGGTTGATCGTACCACCACCGACGTTGTCTTTCCAGCCCTTGTCACTCCAAAGGTGAACGGAATCTCTGTCTTGTTCCTTTCCGAAGCGCCTGTATGCTCTCTTGTTCCAAATCTTGTATTGCTTTGCTTTGCTCAAAATCTCTGAGGTGGGCCAGCTATTCTCGTCTTCCTTGCTGGCAAGACAGAACATGGTCACTGCCTCCCTAAACTTTTTCACATTGACCTGGAGATTACCAGGGAGGTGTTCAAAGCCGGAACTGAGGCGTACGTGGAGAGAACATTCATAGGGTATGAGAAGCGTCATATCGGAAGACGCGAGATGATCTTCCTGGAATATCCAGCCGCGTGACCACCGCTGGTCGCTAAGGATCTTGAGGATAAGCATTTGCACTTTTATTATGTCGAATTTTTGCCACGAGAAATTTACTGAGAAGTGCGCATCGTCGGTGTCGGTTTCGTCTGCCATCGAAAACATAGTCTTGCTAACCAAGCTGTCTAGTATGTGGATCTCGTCTTGGGTCACCAGAGGCGTCGTTAGCAATCCCACGGAAGCAGTACTGAAGCCGTATACGACGTCCATGATCTAGCACACCAAGATCTCTGTCTTTCGGGTACAGCGCCTGGTCTTCCTTCCTCTGGTAGATGCACTCCTTGTCGATCCAAAGCTTGGTGATCTTCTTTTCCTGCGCAAACATGATGACTCGCTCCAAGTACTCGTCCGGGAATTCGCTCTTGTGGACTGCAGCATTTGGCCTTCGGATTCTGTAGTCGTATCTAGGCTTCCATTCTTTGTCCCAAGCACGTCGTGCACCCCATCTCCAGGACACTGCGATGTAGGGGATTCGCCCATTTGTCGCAGCTTTGCTCTGTGACGGGAATGTACCAAGGTTTTAACGCTGGCTCGTCCTGGCCGGACTCTACACTTCTGGGAGATTTGCGTACGATAGTCACTGTGAAGGCGTGGGACCTTGGAAATATCCAGAAAGCGAAGTCGTTTCACCCATTCTTCAGCCTCCTTTCGGTCAGCCTGGTGAGCTTGCACGCGAATCAGCTTGCTGCGGAAGGCTTCGATTTATCATCGAATATCTGTCCCGAAAGTCTTGTGGAGGTCATTTTTCATAATTATAGGCTGCAGTCGCTGCAATCGAGGGCTGTTGGAAAGGAAAGACAACGAGATGGAAGCAACGCATCCGCGCCAATCAGCGCGATTTGGATGGGCGCGAAAGCACGTGCACCATCGTTCTCTCGAGAAATGGATGTGCATGAAGCCAAATGATTGAATTTTGCAGACAAACGCGTTGTATGGTAAATTCGCTATTGCTGACCACATCGCACGATATTATCCTACCTCAATACGGCCCCGCGACAGTCTTGGAAGCCCTCTACAGCACACGAGTACACGATAGAAAAGGGAAGGACGTCTCACGAGTGACAATGGCGCAATATAGATGCCAGAAACCATCAAACTTTCTATTCAATACATAACAACCAACCTACAACTTCGCCCCAGTCTGCGCCTTCTTCAATATCGGCTCCTAGCACACTCGTTAGCAAACCCCACAACCTCCACCCTTCTCCATCAACATACCATCTTAGTAGCCTTCATAACGTCACCCTTAACCTTCAACTTGCCGCTCATAAACAGCTTCTGTGCATTCGCTTTGCCCTGCACGAGCTTGCCAAAGTCGGCATCGCTCAGCTGCAGCGTGACAGCCGCCTTCTTGCCCTCGGGCGCGACGCCCTTGCCGACGGTGCCGCTCTCCTTGAGATCAATGTACCATGAGTCGGTGTTGCCCGCGCTGTTCTTGAGTGTGAAGGCGAAGATGGCGCCGCCCTTCTTGATGGCGTCTTTGCGGTCGGCGTCGGAGGAGGAGAGGGAGCGCGCAATCTCGTCAAAGGCCGCGGAGGCAGGGAATTCGTCTGGATGAGTAGGTTAGCTGGGGTTGTGCGTGGTTGTATGGCGATCTGCGGCTACACGGGCGAGGATGGAGGTAGTGATCATTGTTCGTGCTGGCGGTGAAGGCGAAGATGTGTTGCAAAGCAACCATCGCAACGCGCCCCAATGGCTGGATGAAACAGCTCAAAGAAGCTTCATCTCGCGGCTTCGCGATCTCCGGTCGCCTAACAAAGATGACGAAACTACTCACCGGACTTGAGAGACATTATGAAGCTATTATCGATGTGCAGAAGCAAATGATAGACAAACAGACGATGACAAGAGATGTGATATACAGAGAGAAAGAACACAGGAAGCTAAACGATCTAGAGTATTTGAAGCAAATCCGAGGCTTGTGACAGTGATGATGTCGGAATCCGGGGAAAGCGTGCGCGCATGTGAATGCCAGCATACCAAGGCGCTAGCAACAAGCCGAGGCACTCCATCGCACTATGCCCAACAGAGACATCACGAGGACAGACTTCCTTCACGATCCATGCGTGCCTCGCGCAGATCAATCGTTGCAGCTCGTGGGCCATTCAGATTGCATATCGAGATCTTGGAGCCGAGGCGTAGACATCTTGCGATGTGAGGATACTCTTCGAACATGTAGTAAGGTCCTTCGTTAAACTTTGGGCAAGTATCTTTGGGAATTGTTCTACAAGCAATGCAGCGTCCATCAACGTCGTCAGACGGGCAGTAGTAATACATGCGCATCACCATCAACAAAGCGTCAGTGTGCATATAAAGGCTAGCGATCAATGTAGAAGTAACAAATGAGATTCATTGAAATGATCGTGGAGACTATACTACATGCTACTCATAGTCATAAGACATCATCATATATACATGCTTCGTCGTAAGTAACATAATCATGAAAGACAAAAGAAAAGAAAAGGAAAAACGGCCGTTCCGTCCCGTTCGTCATAAAAGAGCGTAGTCGTCGTGTCGTACAAAAAAGAAACAGAAAAGTCCTACCCAGAAAAAGAATGCGCCATTCCCTGGGGTATCAGAACATGACAGCAAGTGCGGAGTCGACGCCAAAAAAAACAACACCCTCATCACAATCAACTTACTTCCACCCCGACAGCCTCGAGCTCAAAAACCTCTTGACATGCTCCCCGCCAAACCCGCTCCTCTTGCCCCCCTTCCCACCCAACCACCTGCTTAAATGACTCCTGCTACCTCCACTGACTTCCTCAATCGCCCCCTCCACCTCCTCCATCAACGTGCCCATGATGCGCGGCTCCGCATCCACGGGACTAAGCATAATCGGCACATCCATGACCTCCTCCTGATTGCGCTTCCAGCTGTCATTCCCCGCAATGAGCGTAAGCGGCTCGAGGGCGGCGTCCCAATCCCCTTCGCGCAGCTTGACGTCTTCAAAGGTGAACTGCGTGAGGGAGCGGCGGTGGACATGGATAAAAGCCGCGATCTGGCTGGAATCCATGAGCGCGTTTTCCAACTCCATGGTCTTGAGGCGCGGGAACTTGAGTGCGCGCGGGCCGGAGCGTTGGCTCGGGTGCAGCATCGATTGGTCTTCACACGGCAACATGCAGGGTTCTTGGTCGAGGGAGAGAGGGGATGGCCCGCGCGTGCCTTTCCAGCGGAAAAATAAACTGCGTAGGCTCCGGCTGAGAGTGCGCAGGTAGGCGTGCAGGACGCGCAGGTGTTCGAGGGATTGCGCGCGCGTGCGTGGAGAGCAGTTTGTCAGAGGGATCGACTCCATGCATATCGACAGGTGGCGGATTTGGCCCCAGCGCTTGGAGGTCGAGGATGTGCTGCCGAAGCCGAGCATGGGGTGGAGATACAGCAGGCCGCCGGGGTGAATGGGGTGCAGGGAGAGGGAGGAGAGGGTGTACAGTGGTGCGCGCTCGATGGCGATGCGCAGGGATATTAACGCGTAGTCTACTGCGCTGCGGCAGTTTCGCGGGGCGGAGAGGAAGCCTGGACAGGAGATTTTCAAATGGGAGAGGTTCGTGAGGGAGGAGAAGGCTGAGATGAAGGCGAGCACATTTGTGGCGGCGTGGAAGAGAGGGGGGTATTGTTTTACGAGCAGGTCTTGCATTTCCCAGGAGCCGTATTTGGGGGCTTTGTCTTTTGCAGGGCTATTTTGAATTTGGGGCTCGTAGGTGAACTTCTTCTCCTCGCCAGTGATTGGGTCAATTATTGGTGGCAGGAAGGTCTCGGAGCTGTGTGGCATGTGGAAGGTGAAGGTCTTGACATTGTGGCCTATCCTTGACAGCGCCTCGACGCGCGCTGGCTTGGAGAAGGTCGAAGTTTTGAAGGTGGATGTGATGCTCTCAAAGAGTTGTGGCGCAGCGCGTGATGAGAAATCATGGCAGACCAGACGCAGACTGGCAAGGTCCTCGGATTCCAGGTGGTCAAGTAGATTGTCGCGACATGAGTCGTTCAGCCAGAAGCGCAAGAAGACTGAGCTCGTTGAAAGGACCAAGTTGCAGATGGGGCTGTTGGAGTGTGTTGCTTCGCATTGTCAATATCAAGTGCAGCATGCGCAAGAGGTATCTTACATCGTCCATCAATCGTAGTCGCAGGCGTCAATGGGATCTCGCCAAACAGCAACTTCGAGCTCGTACGCGACACCGAAGTCGCCGCGCTGGCATAGCTACTGTGGCTCTCTCCCGAGTAAGATCGCTTCAGCGACGGTGGATGTCGTTGTGAGTGCATATTCGCTGATTATTCGTCGCATTCAAGTTCAATTGTTCGTAATCGTAAAAGGTTATCGTTATCGTCGCAATGTCAAATCGCATACAGAAGATTCGTTCAAGTAAAAGGTGTTTCGTTTCAAAAGATCCAGAATCAATAATAGACAAACCTCAGGAACACCCTCTATACCCCCATATGCGAACCGCCGTCTAGCGTCGCCACCTCACACGTGCGACGCAAGTGTGAGTCAAACATCCTCTCGCCGTAACCCAGCCAGTTCCCGCATGGGAAATCCAAACTGGTCTGCATTTGGCCAGAGTATTGAAGAGAAAACACGACCATATCGCGGTGGGAGAGCGTGTCTTTATGGTGTTTGACGCGACGATTCGACCAAGTCGTCAAAGTGGGGCTGCAGCCTGGAGCCGGCGTGAAACACATGCCCGCACCGAGCCAATGGGATGCGAACCTGCGCGGGATGGTGCATGTGTCTCGTGCAGTAGCTTGAAGGTGCCGGTGGCTGGGCGCGAGGACTGGCGGTCAGCGTCCGGAGCGTCGCGTGTGAGAGCGGGACCTAACGCGTCGTGCCTTTTTGTGCGTTGCTGGAGCGAGTCGCGATTGGAACAATAACAACAATTGCATAGCTTCGCGTCTGTTTGAGATGCACGTCTGAAGAGGCGGCGTTGCCGTTTCGAAACAAAGTTATCGATAGGTACCCGGCCCACGAGGCGCGTGCCATGTGGCTGAAGCATGAATATCAACACCAGATTGATATCGTGAAGTCTGATGACTCATACAAGCCTTCACAACAACGCGATTCCTTGCGACCACAACACAAACACCAGCGCGTCTCTCAGAAGCAGACTCGCGACTTCTTGGCAACCCTCTCACGCGTTAAATCCCGCACCTGCATCCATGGTATTTTGCCGCGCCTTTGACCGGTGACGGGGACCGGTACAACCCCTCCACGCTGCGAACATGAAGACATAGCGCACATTGGGCGAGAGATGCATATAGTTGTTTTGCATGAACGCTTGAAACATTATCATGATTGGATATCCTCCGCCGTGTCCTTCGTTGTGCATGTTTCGTCTTCATCCCCACAAGACGTACTCGTAAGACTATTAAATATGTATATTGATTGGAAGGAAAATGCTTTCGTACTCGACACTGTGCTGCACATCTCCGCCTCCAGCCTTCCAGCCTTCCCCATTGCTGCCCAAACTGCATGGTAATCTGGATGTGTGTCAGACTCCCTTGCGCCTCGCCACCCGTCGCGTCTCTGTTTACCCTTCTCACACGCGATCTACCCCTCATCGCCTCTTCTCGTCAGAAAAGCGAGGCGCGCCTTCGGGTGCAGGAGGTGGTTGGTAACTCCCTCTGTACCCATTGATCGGTGGCAGATCCTGCCCAATCGCCTCTTCGTAGCTCGGAGGTGCATCTTCATGACCCGCGTCTGACGGTGGATGAGCCGGTTGACCGGGAGACGCGTTGAATCCACCTGAAAAGCCGCCGTGAGTCGGCGTAGTAGGCGTCGGCACTGCCTGTGAGTGCGAATAAGGCGGCACGCTCAGCGAAGGCTTGCTTTCGCCGGTGCGAGCCGCTTCGAGCAGCGCCTTGGGCGGCGCGATGCCGGAGTAGACCTTGACTGGGAGTCGGAGCGGGAGTACGACGAGCTGGTCCTCGCCGTGCTTGTAGCTGCCATAGCCAACGCCAATGCGTATCTCGAGCTCGTAGTGCCTAGCTAGGTTGCAGATGGCGAAGGTGGGAGGCACGGTATTGGGGATGGGCTTTCCGCTCCAGTACTCTGGGTTGATGGGTATCTCGGTGTCTACTGGGTCTGAGGGCGAGCCAATGGGTATCGCCATGTTGCTGAAGGAGCATAGAATCCAACTGTTTGACTCTGTCCGCGACACTTCGTGAGCGCGCACTTTGGTGTAGCCTATCAGCTCGATCTGGAGCATCTGAAGGTAGACATTCTTGGAGCGCTCGCTGACATTCTTCAACAGCAGTCGCAGAGGTATATCCTGGTTGCTTGTGAGGATCGCTGGATTCGGTAGGCGCGCATCAATCGAGATACGAGGAGGCACGCTTCCGGGCAAGGTCGGTGATGGCGGCACACTGCCTGACGAGTCCTTCTTGTCAAATAAGCCTGGCTTCTTTACAGCTGCCACACTGGGCGCATTCTCTATGAATTGATGTTGTCGCCTCGCATATGCCTCGCCATCGGTCCTCTCCGGCCGTGGAGGCTCAATCGGGAGCATTGTGAAGTTTGCAATGGACCTCGGATTCTCTTTGAAGAACTGCGGTCGGTTGACTGTGACCTTGACAAAGTACTTGATCTCCGCCTCGCCCGGAAAGCCTGCTAGGGAGGGTGGCAGTGTAGTCTTCATGTGGTGTGTCGCGGCTCTGGCAAACTCGGGCAGCGCATTGGAGAAGGAAACGTTGGAGATGGGACTGTTCGCCTGCTGACATTGGGTGTTGAGGGGTATCTGTCTCCGTGTTAGACATGCGCGCATGATTGTGGCCATCGCGACTTACCTTGAAAGAAAACGGGTATTCATATTGACCGTTGTTGATCGCAAAACTGGCTTTTGGATTTGCCGCAAGCTCTTCTGGGTGCACATTCGTCGGGAACAGGGTCTGCGTCTTGTAGAGAAACTTGTGCACTTCAAGGACGGGTCGCTGCTTGTCCGGCCTGGAGGGGTGTATGGGCGCAAGCAACCGCGTCTTGGACTCGCCCTCGAGCTTCACAACGATGCTGCTGATGTTTGTGGGATTCGGCACCCCGCAGCACCACCTTTCCCTGGATGACATCGAGATTGGTGTAGTGCTCGTGCGGGTGCTGCAGGGCAATGGAGACGTTCATTTTGTGGTTCAAAGGCGCCGTGGCCTTGTCGGGCTGCTGTGTGCTATGGGAACGGGTACTGGTAGTGTCTGTGGAGGTGGAGCGACATGTCACGGTTTTATCCAAGAACTTCTTGTCCGATTGATGCAAGCCTTTCCGCGCACGAAACTTGTCCCTGATTGAGGTGGCTCAGCCGGCAGTACGCGTGTCAACAGTCATGAAGCGTCTGCAGTCGCGGGCTGAGAAAGCTGTCACGTTCGGCACGGTTCGGAAAACTGCTTTTCAGGTCCCCGCAGACGTCATTACGGTTGTTGGGCACCGCTTCCCGACACCAAATGCCAAATACTGGCCACGGCAATTATCATTGCCTGGACATTTTATTGTTGCGAATTGTCCGGAGCCGCCTGACTTCCCAAAACAAATTCCGAAAATACTCGCATCCTGGAACAGCATCATCCAAAACGGTGTGACGGGTCTGCACAGCCACCAGCCACAGCCGCAATATCCGTGCAAAGCACTCTTCGCGCCCCGTTCTACTGGGCGCAACGCTCCCTTGGTAAGGCTGACACCATGATGCTTTACGCGTCCTGTACTTCCGATGGAGCCAAAATCCATCCCGAAGACTCACAGTCCTTCCTTGGCCAACATATCTGTGACCTTGTCAGCGCTGAAGACAGACCTTGTGCGAAGCTACTTACCACATATGTCGAGGTAGAACGCGATAGCATTGAAGCTGCCATGATTAGTATAGGTCATGAGGGTTCGACATGTTCAAATCGTACTTGCGCTTGCTCCCCGTGAGTGACCATAACCACCACTTTAGGCGATTCGTCCAGTTGATGAGGTCGAGATGGCTGACCCCGATCAATGTGCCCTTGTAATCACCCCACTGGCTCGATTGTATGCTAAGCAACGTCAACAGGAGAACGACAAGGACATGGATCGGCATCCCTCACCTGACTAATCCATCGTTGAGTCCTTCGGTGCGTTTGACGATCGCGTGCGATGCCGCAAAGACGGACCAGCTGTTGGGCTCAAGAGAGGCGCCGTACGAGTAGTACTTGACGTCTCCTATGTCAGGTGTTCGCGGGTTGAAGCTCTCTGCCATGTACTTCTGCGTGAGTTGCGAGAACGCGCCTGTTTCGAAGCCGAAGTATTCCATCACTTTGTAGATGCGCTTGATCCGCCGAGCTACCGTGAAGTCAGATTATACATCCCGATCTGTCGGTGAGGAACATACGGCCGATTGTGTCGAACATGTAGTCTGCAAACGCAGAGCCCCTGTGTGGTGACGCTATGGTGGTCAAGGACAGGATCTTGAAGTCGGTCGGGCGAAGGCGGCTGATCATGTATCGAGAGTCGAGGCCCCTGTGATAGTTAGAACGAAGTGTGGTGTTAGGCCAGATCCAAATTACCCCTACGTTCAAGTCAGCACATGTACTCCTCTTTCATCAGATCCACTCATACCATGCTATGTCTGCCAGTCGTTAGCCATCTCAATATCTACCCGCAAATGTAATCGACCTACGCGATGATGTTGACCTGTTTTCCCTTCGCCTTCTGCGCAATGCTTTCAGCCAACTTGGCTGCTCGAGCCTCAATGCTCCCACTCGGCGGAACAGCTGCCACAATAACCTCGATCCCATTATGCGACAGCGCCTCGGTTATGCCACGCCAGTATTGCAGCCCCGGAAGAAAGTGTCCCGCGAGCCGAAGTTCGTCGAAGCCTAGCAGGCCATGCGCGAGGATGATGGTGTGTTTCTAAGCATCTGAGCGACGATTTTGGTTGTCCTAAGACGGCGAACATACCGGTGTGTCTACATCATGTCAGCAACAGCCCTACCCTTAGATCCGTCAAAGTGAACATACCATATTTCTCTCTCATCTCCGCAAACTCATCCGTGATCCTGCGCCCAAACTCATCGAGCCGCGGGTCTTCCCGGCGCCATTGCGTGCTGCTGAAGAAGCGCGGGGCAGGCCATTTCTGGCGCGTAAGAGGTATGGATGAGCGAAATGTCGCTCGGGCACAGATTCGTATCATGGGGTGTTGCGCATCGTATGGGACTGTGCAAGAGGCGTGAAACTTCAGAGTTCGCGCGCGTCGCGGTGACGTAACCGAGGGCTACGCGAGTTCACATGCAACTCAACTGACACTCACGATGAGAGAGCATGGAACTTCTCGAAGAACTTTTGTTCTTTTTCAGATAGTCAATATGGATGGTCTAATGGGAGATCTTCGCACATTTGTATTTGTGTCCATTGTTCGTCGATTATATTGCGACTAGGGTCTTATGAAGGTTACTTACCTACTCAGCCTCGGACAAGTCTCCCCAAGACGGAATTGCAGCAAGAAATGATGCATGGGCGAGTAAGTCTCTCACCTCTGAAGTGCATCAGCATACACCTCTAGGTTCCTGCATAAACCTCGACCACTTTCTCCCCACCATTTCAATACCCCATCTTTACGGCCACCCTCTGCACAACTACGGCACTCGCCGTCTGGTCGATAAGTAATCGATCGACATCTTCAATCGTAAGACTACTGCCAGATCAACTAGTGTACAGTAGTATATATATATGCATAGTATCTGCAGTACAAAAGTACAACATGAATTTTGTCCATGCATTAGTAGGCAGGCTTTAGTATGCATGGGAGGTAGTCAGAGGGAGGCTTAGTGTACGTGAAAGGAAATATTGGGGGCTGATAGATTGTGCAGTGGGATTTCGTGCGGGGGTGGGTGGATGTCCGAGAGAAAAAGTGTTGAAGACAATGCTATTAGCTTTAGAAATACCTATATGAAATGCCCCTAAGACGAAATGCCATAGCCACCACTCAGCAGCCTGGATAGGGAAGAAAGGGTATCAAAGGAAAAGCCCAAGCGAATGCACTCATATGCCCGCTGCCATCATCCAATGTGTCCTCCGAGTGAGTCCTGCACCAAACAAGAAACCGACCCATCCCTCTCACACAACAGTAAAATGCCGCTGCGGTGAATTATCCAACTGAGTCATATCCTGAATCTCCGGAAACCAATGTCCAAACAGCGCCTCCGCATCCTCGCTCATCTCATCCCCACGATCCTCTGGACTACAGTCATAGCACTCGAATCGACCCACTCGGCGGTACGTATTACCTTCCACCGATTTGAGCACGAGACCGATAATAGAGGAGCGATACGTCATGCTAATCAACACACAAACAAGCCGTTCGCCATCCTCCAGCCTATCTTCGCCTCGCGGAGGCACGATATCCGGCGTGAAATCCACCGCGATGCGATTCCTCACCAGCGTGTATGTTTCTTGCTGTGCCTCAGAAACCACACGCAAAGTAACCTCCGCAACCATCGCCGCCGACAGACTCAGCGGCTCCCCCTGAATCGGCGACCAGGCACTCGCGCGCTTCCCCTTGGACCCAAACGACGCGCGACAAGCGAGATCCATCGCCGTCGCGTTGTCGCAAAAGATAGGCGAGCCTTCGCACGACGCCCACGACCACGTTGGTATGTCTTGTCCGTCCATGGGGATTGGGCGTCGGCACTTGGCGCTGTCGGTGGGATACCAGAGGAGGCTTAGGGTGCTGAAGGTCCATTGGCCAGCTATGTAGCCGGACTGCATTGCGGGGGAGAGGGCTTTTGCGATGCTGGCGATAGCTGTCAAGCGCTCGTCGTAGGTCATGTTTCGCGCGGTGAATTCGGTGATGATGTAGCTCCAGAGTTGCAGGGCGTCTTCTCGTTTCTGCAAGAGGTCGATGGAGCCGCTCGCAGTGTTAGTGCCAGCGATCTGGGATGTCATGCTGTCCGTTCTACGATCAGCTTGGTTGCTGTTAGCATTTGCTGGTGGACGAGTGCTTGCTTCGTATATGATGCGGCTGAACTCTTGCTTGATTGAGTCGGTTGCGCGGGAGTCGAAGAGCTTATCGTCGATCCGGCCGCACTCGCAGTTGTAGCCTTCTCGGCATTCCAGAATCATCTCAGATTTCGTGAAGTGCAGTACGCGTGGTGACAATAGTCGTTCGGTGTAGGCCCACGCGCGTTTGAGCAGTGGTGTGTGCAGGTTCGCGCCCTCGGACATATTGAACGGAAGCTCCCATTCGTTCATATGAGAACCTTCATCGAATGGGCCCTTGAAGCTGTAGTGGCTCGGCTGTTCTCGTACATATACCTTGGAGAGTTGCCCCTTGTTGTCTGTCGCTTGTATCTTAAACGCTTGTGACTTCGGAGGAAACAATGGCTGTGTACTACTGTCCGTAGTCGATGTCGCTGCTATCGTCAAGAATGCGTTACCAAAGACCTCGTCCATTCTGACCGATTCTTCCAACTTGGCTTGCTCATCGTCTTGTATGAGGCATAGTGAATCAACCCACAAATACCGAACTTTTATCGCTCTTGTGAATAGCACTGCTTCTTGAAGTGTTTTCGACAATGCCGACCAAGCAATGCCTTTAAGATGCGATTTGAGATTTTCTTTCGTGGTTTTCAGCCCCTTCCCCATACCCCAAACATGAGATAGGGCGACATATTCGCCATGTTCATATCCTTGCTCGTCATCGTCCCATTGCGACTCTTTCAACACGACGCTTTTCGAGTCAGGGCCGAGCAGCACGTCCAGGACCCGTTTTGGCAATGGTTTTGGTTTTGACTGCCGACATCTGGAATGTTTTGATACACAATGATTGATCATACTTCGCGCCGTCGACAAGCCGGCGTCTTGCAGCGGATATTCTGAAATGGGACTCCCTCGTCCAATTGCGGAGAAACTGGATTGCCCATCTAAGCATGTCAGCATATTAATTCCTGCTCAGCTGACGACGCCACCTCCTAGGCCACGCGTTACGTGGCTTCAAACTGGCAAATATCGTCTGTTCAAACCGGGGTCCAGGTATATCTTACCTCCATCTGTGAAGTACTCGAGTTTGAGATCCGGATAGCAAACATGCTCATGCTGGTCGTCTTCGGAACCATCGTTGTGCGCATCTTGCTCCTTCCATCGAACTTCGACTGAAAGATGATCTTGATTTGTCTGCCTTGTTGATGCGAAGCTTTCCGCTCTTATCCGGATTCTATCTTCTTCGATGCCGGAAAATCGTCCATGATGTAGTAAAATTCCATTGAGCAATAACGCACAAGCTTTGCAGCTGGTTGCGCTGGTTCGAAGGTTTGGTAGCGATGTGTTCACCAGTTGTAGCGTGTCGATATCGATGTCTAGAGAGGTTTCGAGTGCCTTGGGATGATTCTGTAGACCTTGACACGTGTCGCAAACAGATACCATGGCGTAAAGTAGTCGAGTATTGTGACGCTCGTTAATGGACTGTGACGTGGTGCGAGCCGTGGAGGGGTAATCGCGATGTTGATGCGAAGGTGTGAACGTCACAGCGGGGCAGTCGAGGCAGCGACTGATGACCAGCAAGTGTAGCTTAGCTGCAGAAACTTGAGACTGCTCAAATCAGCGAAGACTGGCACAAAGCAGCGCAATTATGCAAGCAAAAAGGAACAGCGCAGCTTCCAGGCCTTTCAATGCAACCTATGGGAGATAGTCGCCCCCATACCAGACCTTCCCGAACCGATCAAGCGGATCGTACCCCGGGATGTGGGCCCGCTGCGGATTGAGAAGCGATATGCGTCGCATACCTACAAAGAGTCAGACAGCTCGTGCCTTGTCAAGGTCGTTTTAGATGTCACAGGATTGCCACCAGAACTTGGTTTTTCTCTGCGCGCGCTGAGACGTTGCTGCAAAAGCTCAATCCCAATAGCGACGTGCATGCAAAAGCCAAACCCGACCAAGAAGAGATCGAAGATCTAGCGTCTTGGGCTACATGTACGAAGCCTATCTCCCGACGCGTGGGCAAGCTCACCCGCCTTCCTGGGTCACTCTTGAGAGACATCAACATCGTCATTGGAGCGATTCGTGGACTTGCAAATCCTGTAAAGCTGTCCGAGACAGTTTCCTTCATCGGTAGAGATCCGAACATCGGAGCTGGGTTTGGGGCTTCTGGGCTTGCGACTTCAGCCAGTCATAATCGGTCTGCAACATACATTTTCAAATCTCGGAATCTGTGAAGAGCCCTCGTCACACAAACAAGCCATCTTCAGCACCTTTGTGATTGTTTGGATCTGGAGGATCGGAGCTTAGCGTCGTAGGGCGGTATGACCAAATTACTACACAGTGATTTGCTGTGGCATTCTTCATTCGCCTAATCGGTCCCCATTCGATGACCAATTATCTGATAGAGAATTATCTGGTCTTGCCACGCGGCTTCTCATGTGGCGATGAGAATAGGACATTGCGATTAGCATGCTAGAATGTGTCCGCTCGACATGTCCTTAGCGTTGCGACGCTGGAACGGATTCCTTATTTTCGTATAGACCATCATTTTCATCGGTGTAAAATTGTATCTGGAGACCTCATGGTACAATTAGCATGTCAGTAAGTGATCCAGAGCGAAGAAATTTTCACACGAAAGCCAGCATGCTGAGACGTGGTGTGCTGGCACTCTCATACACCCTTTCGTTGATAAAAAACTCCCGCCGGAAAAAGGAGGGAGCCTGGCGATATCAATTTATTGGTCCGAAGTGTATGTTTTTTAGATCTCGAGATCTGTCCGGGCATCAGAGTGCTACACGTGCAACTCCACATGGGGCTAGATACCCCGCTCCATTGGGCTCGGAGCTATTCCACTTTGGCCCCACAATTAGAGATTGATACAAACAACATTTCCAACAGCTACAATCAATTCTCTATTTCCGTGCATCACCAAAATGGTGAATGCCATCGATGCCCTACGAAAGCAGATCGCGTCATGCGAAAGCACACTTGAAGATCTTCGCCAACAGCTGGCTGAAGCTGAGCACACCCAACAACAACAGGAGAAGGTTCTACGGCAGAAGCCGGCGCTTTCGCATGATCCCCTTGACCATGATATGAACTTTGGAGTACCCGATGATTTCAGGTCTGAAGTCTTTGCAGTGCTTGAGCAAGAGCATGTAGCACGCGAGGCCGAAGGAACGTCGCACATGACGAGATGGCCACTCGACAAGCATGAATATAAGAGATATGGACGGCAGCTGATCATGCCTGAAATAGGCCTACAAGGTTGGAAATTATGAAAGGGTTTAGCCAATCAGTATACTAACAAAGATGCTCAGGTCAACTTTGTCTGAAGAAAGCTCGAGTTCTTGTCGTAGGGGTCGGTGGCTTAGGATGCCCAGCTGCAGCATACTTGGTCGGAGCCGGGGTAGGCACTCTAGGGCTAGTCGACGGCGATACCGTAGAAGAGTCAAATCTTCACCGACAAATCTTACACTCCACCGCCAGAGTTGGCATGAGCAAAGTTGAAAGCGCAATGGTGGCTCTGAGTTCGTGAGTATGCTTCAAGCGTTTGACACGTACAGAAGCATGCCGTTGCTAACCCTACATAGATTAAACCCCAACGTCAAGCTTGTACCACATGTAGCGAGACTCACACCAGAAACCGCCATCTCCACCTTCGAGAAGTACGACCTAGTCTTGGATTGTACTGATACACCAGCGTCACGCTATCTGATCTCAGACACGTGTGTCCTGTTACGGAAACGCCTTATCTCAGCATCTGCGCTGCGAATTGATGGCCAACTCATGGTTCTTAACAATCCACCATCGGCTCCTGGAGATCCAAGTGGTGGTCCATGCTATCGATGTGTATTTCCAAAGCCACCACCTCCCGAATCCGTTGTGTCGTGCGGCGAGGGCGGAATATTAGGACCTGTTGTGGGTGTAATGGGCGTTCTACAGGCCCTCGAAGCCATCAAAGTCCTCACCCAGCAGCCTTCACGCGGAGCTACAATCGACCCACCCACCTTGCTCATCTTTTCCGCTTACTCTCAGCCAATGTTCCGGTCAATCCGCTTGCGCTCACGGAAGCCCAAGTGCGCTGCATGCTCCTCACAGTCCACGATATCGGCTGAAGCATTGCAATCTGGAAGTCTGGACTATGTGCAGTTCTGTGGGAGTGTAAATCCCGTCACTGCGCTTACACCGCAGGAGCGGATATCTCCCGAAAACTATTCGAAACTCCGATCAGGCGTCAATCCTTTCACTGGCACTGTTTCAAGTAAGGACAACCACATCTTGATCGATACTCGGGAGAGAGTGCAGTTCGAACTTGCAAACATTGACGGCTCGGTGAACATCCCCTTCGCTACCATCGCCGCAACAGCAAGACCGACCTTGGACGCGTCGAGTCCAGGAAGCGGACAGGACCACCACATGAGTGGTGATGAACATGATTGGGTCGCGCAACTCAGGCAAACAGAAAAGCCAATCTTTGTGGTATGCAGGCAAGGCAACGACTCGCAGCTGTCAGTCCGCAAAATGAAAGAGCTCGGCTTGGATTATGGTGGGAAGAGATTCATTGGCGATATTCGAGGCGGCCTGGAAGCTTGGCGGAAGAGCGTCGATGCAGAATTTCCGGACTACTAGTTACGATGAAATAGTAACAGTATACCAGAGTGACCTTCAGTTCACCTTGCAAAGCTCAGTGTAGGGCTAAAGTCGATAGGCATACAGTCAGATGCTTCGCACCTTTGCAATGAGGCTCACATTCGATTTCATTATCGTTTCGATTATTTGCTCTGGTGGAACTACTTGGTTGGTTGCGAACCATGGACAGTACGGCTAGTCAGACCCAAACTGCCATGATACTTGTCATCAAAAAGAGGTGTGATTGCCGTGAGATTGAGCAGGTGGGAAGCCATGGACAGGTAGACGAACGAGCAAAACTTGTTGGCACGAAAAGTCGGAGCAGGGGGGGGGCTATCCTGCCATGGGCATGGAGACGAATCAAGCGTTGACTGATCTCCATCAAGGAGTGGTAGATTGTATTGGAGAGGCGTAATGGCATCAGCTTAGCATGGTCGCATTCAACTCCTCATTGCCTTAATCGAGACAAAGTACTTGAAGTTCAGAACGCGAGTAAGACCTTCGAGCAAGAACTCTTGAGCTGGCAAAGATCTTCGCCACGGGGTTCCTGGTAGAATGCTGATTACACCGCTCTGAAGGTCTCCTGCCCGTATTGGACTGATGTCCTTATTCCATGACACTGTAGCAAGGCGAAAACTGCCAAGCTGACTGTACCACATAGTGCTTGTACTACCATCACGACTATCTCAGTGGCTGTACCAGATAATGAAGGAGAAGTGTATGTAGACCTTGTGTGCTGTCTCATCTATGCGACTCTCAAACCCGACGACCCGGAGTTATGCAGCGTAACATTGACAGACGTTTTTCAAGAATGTCACGAGATACCTGGAAGCATCGGTGTGTAGGGCTGATGCGGTGTGGAATCAACGTCAGTTTTGGTTGGTCGTGTTCATGCATCAGCAGCCTCGTCTCGGCAGTTATAGATGGAGATACTTTGGTACAATTCCTAACGTGTGTATATATATCGACGTCTGTTCCGACAAATTATCTTTCCAAAATCCTATCATCAACTCACCCAGTTTGACGGATCCAATCACGACATACATCTTCTCCAACTTCCCAACTTCCCAACTATCGAACTCGTAAACATGAGGCTCATTGTCTTCTTCGGCGTCGTCACCAGCCTGCTCCCATCGGTCATTGCTGTGTGTTGCAAACAGGTATGCAACGACAAATGCGCCGACGGAACCGGAAAAACTCCATGCTGCGCGCACGGAGGATGCAACATTTTCTGTTGTAATTGCGATGGCGGATGCCGCACAGGCAGTTACCACTGCGGACGCGACTCCGTTTTTGAACGGGCTGCCGACACAGATTCTGTCAGCGTAGCGTTCGCGGAGGCTGACAAAGATGGTGCCGGAAACCTTACCATGACTAATTACCTCGAGTACATGGGTGTGGACGAAGGAAACCCAGATGTGGGTCGAGTGGTTCAAGTCGTAAGTACCCACACGGATAGAGTATGTGAAACATTCGACAACTCGTTGCTGACCATATCAAGGCACGACACGAACAATGACGGTGTGATCACTGTTGACGAAGCTGCTAAGCAGTGATCTTTGGTACTGAGGCAGGAGCTACGATCTCATGTTATGGGACTCTTTGTGACGGAGCAGCAGATGTACAAAGAAGGATCGGTGGCCTATGCTGGTAAAAGGACACTCTTTGAACAACGCGCTATGTCGGAATGGGCTATGTAGAGAAAAGAACCACACTCATTTTGCTATCATCTCAAAGCCTGTTCAAAGGCTTGCTTAACAGCTCGAACACAAAAGCTTCTTCAAGTGCCTTCGCTGTTTGCGCCAAATGTACCAATGTCTTCAATTCAGTAAAGAAAATCTGGCAAGGGCTCCCATTCGAATCTGTATTGACAACTTGTATCTGGTCCTGGTAGGATTGCAGGGCTTTGGGGAGGGTATGCAACTCCATTGTGGCATGTGAAGAACTTCCGTTGCGTCTCAGTGGTGACAGGGCCGCATTTGCCAACACGGCAGGAACCCTGTCAGTCGTTCATATGCAGTCAAAAGCGAAATCGAGCACCGCATGTCCTGTGCAACTGACCTCGCACGTGCAGATTCCAATCAAGTGGGAAGTGCCTCGTGTTGTCTTGGTTTCCTTATGGACGAAACTCGAAACGTATAACATTGCATACAATACTTTTGAGGCTTTCGACGGTGTGTATTTGTACAAGCTCATGTTCCAAATAGTTGAGTGCGGCAGTTGGTGGGCTTCGCAGATGTTTAATGCATCGAGATGGGTACAATCATGTGTGGATGTGGACATAGTCTCGGCGTCCAAGCAGATGCTTTCAAAAGATTATGCTGCCTAGTCGCTCCCGTGTGAATTCGACATCCACGAGGCGAAGGAGAGCGTACACTTGGTCCAGAGGTATGGAGCAATGCATGGCACTGAATGCGTCGAACTGCCACTCAAATCGGCGCACAGCTGAGTTCTTCCGACAGCTTTGCATTTCCAGCATTGCAGATCTTTCTGGCTTCTGGAAGTCGCCGCTCTTGTCAAGGCGTTGCCCAAAAGTGTTGCCAAGAAACATTCCAGAAACATTCCAGTGCTCAGCAAGCCAGTCCAGGGCATTCTCTCTTTGCCTGCCAACAATTATAGATCTTGCGCAAGCAAAAATTCTTGTACGATCTGGAAGACTGTTACTACATGTACCAAACGTGTTTTCGGGAACGCCCTATTCACATGCGGCGAAAGTACTCCATCTGGCCCATCGCATGCAGTTGACGTGGAAGGAATTTAGCCTTCCTTTTCTGTCAGAGAGGGCATCATTCGTTCCTTCATATCATTGTGGAAGAGATACAGGTAGGCATCAATGTTGTCCTGGCCTGACCAACAGTACACTGCTTGCGCACTGCCATAGATCTTGCCCATGGCCCGTACCTGGCGTGACGTTTTGTGAGGGCATCAATCCACATCACACAACGTTGCTACATGCTTGCAAGAAGTTATAGAGGTTATGTTGCACCTGAATAGGTGCCCCGTTCAGGACGATTCGTCTGGTAGGTGTAAGCGGGGTACGAACGTAGGAGCCGGCGGTCAAGATTTGTTCGTTTATTGATCCATTCAACAAGTTGCACTGAATGGCGGCTGTATTGGTAAGGCTGGGCGGGATATGTAACAGGCGAAAGTTGTTTGCCCTAGCTGATAGTGAGTATGTGAACCATACATTCGCAGCATTCTTTACTGGCGCGAAAGCGATATCGGAACTAGCGACGCCTTCCGCTATGTTTTCGAATTGCAACAGTGGAACAGCCTGAATAATGCTTGCAAGGAGCCGGAAATAGGGAGTTTGAGCGGAGGCCGGCAGTTGTAGCTGGCTGTGTGCTGCTTCGCATACCTGCGCATGCTGCGCCCAGCACCAAAATTTACCTTCTTCTCTCTTCTTCCACAAGACCGTATCTGATATTCGAACAAAACGATTTTACCTTTATGTCAGTCTTCCGAGCAACAGGAACGCCATGCCAGGACGCGGATGGTGTAATTAGAGGCTGAAACTTCGCCGACTGAAGCCTGAGGCTGGACAGATATTCGTCCACTTAGGCAGCAGCAAAGATATTTCTGGCTTCTCGAAGAGTCTCGGAAGTGTGCCCTACACATGACAAGTCATCGGCAAAGTCGTAGGCAAGGTCTTGCTGAAATTTGACGCTACCGATCGTGGCTTTTCCTTCTCAGCTGCTGACTGGATCAGAGCGGGGATGCTCCCGGGTAATTGTTGTTCTTCTTTCCGTGGCGCCTCAGCCTGTGGTGGGTGTCTCACCTTAGTCAACGCACGAGTGCATTAAAACGACGTCTAGAATTCAGTGTTCCATATCTCCAGCAAAAGAGTAAAACTACGCAGTGTCGCTTCGGGGACCGGCTTTGCAAGGAGACGTCAACTTTTTGCAAGCTTTCCATTCGGTCTGTTTGGTGAATTTGCTGCCGCTTTGTGGCAGAATGCCAGCCGCCACCGAACACAAGCGGTTGCTTCTTCGAGGCTGTATAGTGCGCGGGGTTGCTGCGATGACGGAAGAGGAAAGTTACACAACAGCAGAGATATGAAATAGATAGAGAAAAGAAAACTAGAACGCGCCAAATACTTATAAAGGTGAGTCCCGCGCTGCGATAGTGTTACCTCAGTGTGGCAGCTTCGCGAAGTCGATCGTAGGGCCGAACATCGCATCGCATCTCGTGATTTTTACAACGCTGAGATCTACACACCATCTGGCCAGCGGTGTCTTCGCTAATGATTGCGGGATGTGGTTGTTTAACCGTTGATCTTTGAGCTTGTGGCTGCGATGTTCTCAGCTGAGGGCGCGAAACTAGTGCCACCCAGATTCGACGTCATGGCCCCTCGCCCTCGTCCTGCCCTCTTTGTCACATTCCAAGCAACACCAAACAATCGCATTATGTCGCACAAAGCGATGCCGACCACGCGCACCGCGACAACTGCACCTCGACCACACACAGTCGGAATACACACAAGGTGTCGGAAGTCATGTGCACGCGCAATAGGAAATTTCGGAACGGAAGGTACGTTGAATATGTGTATTTTGTGTATTAAGTAAGTCATTAACAAATCTTTTAGTCTATCGCGACAAATGATATCGTCCGGGTATACCATGTTTTGTGTCCTAACAATGCGCGCCATCGCTACATTATAACGCCATGCCAACCAAATGCATCAGAAGAAAGAAAAGTAAAAGAGAGTCTAGTAGTTAAACACAGTCAGGGACGGGTTCAGTACGATGGGCATCAGAGAGTGCATGATGATAGTGACTGCCCACGGTAGGACACTGGTCAGACCAACAATCTCCCAGCCGTGTGGGGCGAAGTTGCCCAAGTAGATCATGGCGCCGACCATGGCGAACATGAACAGGTACATCCACTTGAAGCGCTTCCAGATCTTTGGCAGTTCGGCGAAGAAGTTGGAGTTGTCCTTTTCCTTTGCGGTCGCACCCCAGCTCATGTTGATGGAGAACATGTGAGACAAGATGGCCAGGAGGATGTGGAACGAAACACCGCCGAAGAAGAAGCAGAAGAACGGCATCCACTTGAGGTTCTCGAAGAAGGCGCCAAGCAGCGAAGCATCGCCAATGCGGTACCGCAGGATAGCGAAGCAGACGTTCGACAGACCGTTGAAGACGATGAGGAGAATGATGAAGACTTTCCAAGACTCGACGTAGTACTTGTCGAGGTCACCGTTGAGCCAACCGACGAGGAAGTAGTTGAGGCATCCTAGAGGAACGGCAGAAGCAATAGCGTAGTAAGAGAAGATGTAGCCGCAGATGGAGATCTTTGACGAGAGTTGGAGCTTGGAGAACATGAAAGTGCGGAAGAGTTTGGTGAAGGGACCCTTCCAGAGCCAGGTGCGCATAGGGTTGAAGACGAGTTCGTTGCAGCCGTAAGCATACTTCTCCCAGCGATCAAGCTCATCGAAGATGGACAGAGACACACCCTCCTTGAAACCACGGCCGTGGTAAGAGGCGAGACGGACGATGTTTCCGGCGATTTGCAGACGAAGGGCGATATCGAAATCCTCAGAGACGTGGCTCTCGGACCAGAAGCAGATGTAACCGTCTTCCTCAGGCGGGTTACCGACGGATTGAACAGCTTGCCAGCGCAAGAAAGCGTTATGACCGACGAAAGGTGCAACTTCACCGCTGCCGACTGAGAATCGAATGGCAGTGTAGACAAGGTTGGTGAAGTAGGTGATACCGTTCTCGAAGTAATCCCAGGATACCTGCATGACGCCAGTGGCGTGCTGGACAATCGCAACTTCCGGAGACAGGAACATCTCGGCAGCGCCATACATGAGGCAGTCTTCGGGAACAATGGTGTCAGAGTCGACGATGAGAATAAACTCTCCCATTCGGATGTTACCGCCGGCCTTAGCACGAGGATCGGCGTTGAGGATAGTCTGGAGTGCCTGCTGGTACAGCGTGTCCTCTTGCTCCTCTGAGATTGAGAGTTGACCCTTCTCGTACATGTCGTTGATGAGGCTCACGAGTTCGTCTTCCACGCGGTTGGAGATGTTGAGGGCGAAGTTCATGTTGGAAGCCTTCTTGAACTTGCCGCGGCGAACAAAGCCTTCGTGGTTGTGCTTGGGGCGCGAAACCCAGCCGATGTTGTTGTTGACATAGAACTCCATGAACTTGGCGTTGTCTTCTTCAGATCGGATGGCCATTCCGTCATCGTTGATGAAAATGCGAGCAGTTCCGCCACGCGACTCGTAGTAAGAGATGGCTGCTTGAAGCGAGGCTACAGTGGGCTTGACGACACCCTCGAGCGATTCAGTGTAAATGGGCATCTGGATGGTGATGGGGGGCGGCGTGAAGCCCTGGGAGCGTGCAAGAGCTAAGTTCGGCTTGATAGCTGAGTGGAAACGGCTGTTGGTCTTGACACCAGTGATGGGACCAAGCGCCTGGAAGAGGTTACCGAAGACGACGATGACGAAGTAGAGACCGAGACAGAGCCAGAGAGGCATTGTCAGGATGAGTAGCAGACGGGGATAGAAGTGGTCAGTCATGGTCTGCAGCGCAATGGAGCTGCCACCAACTCCGATGACCAGAATCGTGATGAGGGCTATGGCGAGCCCGACAAAGATGGAGCTTGTGAAGATGAGGGGTCTTGCCAACGACTCTTTGGCCATTCCGCTCTCGAGCTTCTCCGGATCGGCGTCGACTTCCTCAACGTCAACATCCATATCCTTGCCCTTGGCCTCCGGGACGATATCCATGGCTGAGCCATCGATTGTTGAGTTGGCGCTCGAATGCACGACGCTGTCCCAGCCTCCGAATGGAGACTTTGTTGTTCCCCAAACCAGCGCAAGTATCCTCGACTCGATCTCCATCGCTTGTGAGAGGATTGAACCGAGCTCGTCGTGCCATACAAGTAACACGCGCTCCTGGCGAACAAGTGCGGCATACTGGAACTTCTTGATGTTGATGGAAGCTGCGATGTCTGCCATGGACTCGTATATCTGGATCTGGGATCCGTTCTGGAACATGAGCTCGGTCTCGTGTGACTCCAGTACGTCGAAAATGGCTTGTGTGCCGTCGGTGGCCATTGTCAGGGCGACGCCTGGGTTGATCCGCGTGACGGCGCCGAGCAGATCTCGGTCAATGTTCTGTGGCTCTGTGACATACTCTCCAAGGCCTTTTCGGATCAAGACACCTTCGCAGATATGAGGCGAAGCTGGGCCAGCGGTCATCCATCGCATGGACGATGCCTTTGCATAAAGATGCTTGATGATCTATGAGGTGTTAGCGACATGATGTACTCGGTGAAGAGTTTTGGAACATACTGCTCGGTATCTTGAGTCCTCATCGATCTTCATTGTGTAAGGGCGAGACACGCGGCTGCTTGGTGTCATGACTCCAGATGGTGTGTCGAATTGGATGCTATCAGTGGTGCTGCCAGCCATGGAAGGTCGCCCCGAAGAGCTGACCGACCTGTGGGCATGGTTGTTGCCTTCAGTCGAAGACATGATGACAGAGGAGTACGATGACAAGGGTTCGTGTCGATTAAGTAAATCGATTAACGATTATGACGGCAAGGTATGTCTTTAAGCGAATGATGGTGCTGAAGACTGACAACCAAGGAGTGGGATCGACAGTTGCCTTAGTCAGGGAATACGACAACTGAAGAGATGAAGTTGAAGGATGAAGATGGGAAAGACCCCGGGCCAGCAACAAAGTTTATCAACTCAGGAGCATTTGCTGGCATCAGACCAGACCCCCACCCAAGCGAGCAAAAGTTGTAAGCCACCGAACTCTACGACGATGACAAAATCCACAAGCGATCCGCGCCATACTAAGTTTGGAAAGTTGATGGTCTGGTCCGACAGTTCAAACAGGATTGTCGGCTCGTGGAGAAGGTTTCAAGCCGTGAGTACTCACGACTAGTCAGTCTCAACAGCTTAGGCACCTAGTCTGGTCGATCTCGAAGGACGCCAGGTCCACCGGACAAGCGTTGACTCTATTGTTATCGCTGTCAATGCATGTCCAAATTGCCAAGTCGCGTCGAGGCCCTTCGTGTTGGGATTGCAGAAGATGCTGAGCTAGGATCAACATGTCACAATAGTCTCGCCCTATTGGTTTCATCTACGGGAGCTGGAAAACCGATATCAGTTTACGACCAGGTTGCTGCAGCTAAGCTCACACCATGCCTGATTAGCCGCCCGCATCGTGCATCTGCCCTGAATCGGGCATCATGGTACGACGATACGGTATCCCAAAGGGGCAGATAGTGGACGAAAATGCAGGGCTTGGCGGACTCGGCCTCAGCAGCATGGTGCAGTAGCGTGGACAGAAATTCTTCTATCAAACGTCTAGTCAACGGCACCACGCATGTGCTTGTTGTAAGCCAGCCACACCAGTCCCTGGCAGTCTCGGCCGGAGGTACCACTACCTCCATGACGTCCGGACAAGAAGATAGGGTGTAGCAGAGACGTACCTGCAGCTGCATGTGCTAGTTGGGATGGACGATAATCCAAGTGAGGAAAGACGGCTGGCGAGGACGAACGAATCAGACAGCGCCGGGCAGCCGAGGGGGCGACCGGGATTACAGATTGCGAAGGATGCTTCGACGCCACGTCTCTGGACCTGCATGACTGCGGTCGAGAAGTTGTACTCGCCGACATGCACAGCAGCCACTGCATATTCCAGCGTCTGACGTGGGTGCAGCTTGATGGGTGTGGCTGCAGGATCCATCAGGTTGGAGATGGACAAGGAGACTGGCCCATCAGCCACGAACCAAGTCCTGAAGTTGGTTCCTGGAAGTCGGGCTGGCGTAGCGTCACTTGTATCTAGCTGCGTCAACTATTTACGGGCCCGCAAGAAAGCGATTGACCTCACGGTGGGCGAGTCAGCAGGAGTTCTCCGGGCATGACATTTCAGCGGGAATGGCGCTGGGACGGACTGCCGGTGTCTGGACTGAACGGCGCTAGCGCGGCGCCGCGGTAACGGCTATATTTGCGAGAACCTTATCGACGTCAGGCTGATAACGATAGAATCAGGAGTTGCAAGCTGCAGAAGCGAGGCAGGCAATATCTCAGCCGTCCATGGGGAAATTCGCATCAGCCAGCCACGCTGCGTGCGACGAGGCAATCTACGCACGAGAACGTGGGTCGGTATCACAGCCACGCGAGGGTTCCGAAGATCTGCTCACGGGCACTAGCGGGCGGATCCCCTGTGCTTGCGAGTCTCCCGCTATGCCCTGGCCTACCAAGAACAGAAAAGTCCAGGTTGCCATGCAGCAAAAACACGCTCGCTGCTCGCTTTCGCTCTTGATTTCCCAGACAGGCACTAAGCGTGCCGAGGCCAGACCCAGGCACGCTGCCCGTGAGGCTATCTGGAATCAATGCTGGCCCTGTCTTAGCGCCCCCCACCCAATACTCTTTGGGACGCTATCACTCCGATCGCAGCGCTATCACATTCTGACCACCTGCACGGCGCGACCGGGATGAAACCAGCCTGCTCCTGGGGCGTGCAGAGGCACGAAAATCGTCTGGCCGGTGGCGTTGGACTCGCCTGTTGAGGTCTAAATCGAGCTCAACACGGCAAGCTGCTGAGTTGAGGCGCGACTATAGCTCACTTGTGCCTTCTTTGTCCCGAGAAGGCAATTTAGCTTCGCCAGGTTGCCAGCGCGATCGCGTTGCTCTCAAGTTCTCAACAGACGGCTCCCTCGCTGTACATTTCAGTTTATATCATCGCAATTTAGTCCTGGGAACATCGAGAACACGATCATCGTCCACCCACCCTCGACCCCCCGGTAATCCAAGTGAACCTTATCACACCATGACTTCCGCCGACCACCAATATGGTGCATCCACTGGCAGCTACCTGCCTCGCCAGCCATCTGCTCTTTCTATCAGTTCAGCAGCCATAGGAGGAACCAGCACTCCAAGCGAGTTCCATTCGAGAAGACAGCCACGTGTATTCAAGAGCTACCGGTTACAGGGAGAGTACGTTGACTTCGCTCCTTGCAATGTGATCATGAGCTGACCGCCTGGCCAGTTACGTGCAGCCATGGGCCGACGACAAGAGAATGAACAGGACCAAGATTGGCAACTACATCGTTTGGGGTTTCATTGCCCTCGGACTTGTCGCCAGCGGGTACATCATATATCTTGGTACAAAAGAAGCGAGCATTCCACCTGTATGTTGCACATCTCATGTCACAACCGACTACTAACGCCATGCTAGCAATGTCTGATCATGGAGGACCACTTCGAGTCCATAAACAGTGATAATTGGGGTTACGAGGTTCAAACCGGTGGCTACGGCAATGGCGAGTTTGACTGGACGACAAACGACCCAAAGAACAGCTTTGTTGATGCTGAAGGACTGCACATTGTCCCAACCCTTACCGTCGAATCTACCAGTATCACCGAGGAGCAGCTCCTGAACGACTACACACTCAACATTACCAAATCAGATGGTGATGGCTCATGCACATCAAGCGACGTCCTAAAAGCCTGCGGTGTTAGATCGAACTCGACTATCGGCACTATTATCCCACCTGTGCGATCTGCTCGCATGACCACCAAGGGCAAGAAGAGTATCAAATATGGGCGCGTAGAGATTGTTGCAAAGATGGCCAAGGGTGATTGGCTATGGCCCGCGCTGTGTAAGTTCTCCTCGCCTGCAGCTTATACATTCTATGAATACATACTAACAAAAGTTAGGGATGATGCCCGAAGACGACGCATACGGCGTGTGGCCTCGCTCCGGAGAAATCGATATCGCCGAGTTCCGTGGCAATGACTACCACTATCCTGAGGGCCGCGACTTTGTGTCTTCCACCCTCCACTGGGGACCCTCATACCAGCACGATGCCTACAAGGAGACACATGGTACTCGTTTCTTGCGCCGCAAGGATTTTAGCTCCGACTTCCACGTCTTTGGTCTTGAGTGGACCGAAGATTACCTCTTCATGTACCTGGATAGCCGCCTTAAGCAGGTCACCTACACCAAATTCAGTGAGAAGAAGCTTCTTTGGGATCGGGGTGGTTTCTCTACCATGACCACAGAGAACGGCACACTTTACGACAACCCGTGGAAGAAGGGCGGCAAGAATGCTCCATTCGATCAGAAGTTCTACCTCATTCTCAACGTCGCTGTCGGTGCGCAAAATGGCTGGTTCTGGGACGGTAAAGGCGGAAAGCCTTGGGTCGACGGCAGCGACTTCGCCGCCAGAGATTTTTGGAAGGGTATGCATATTTCCAACCCACTTCTTTGAGCATCAAACTAACTGTCTTTACAGCCAAGGACGACTGGCTCCCAACTTGGGGCGAGGGCAACGACCGCGGCATGACTGTCAAGTCTGTCAAGATGTGGCAGCATGGCAAATGCTAGACTAGCATTCACAGTTTCATTATTTCATGCATAAAAGATTTTAATACGGACTAGTCATACACATACTGGTTCAAAAGGGGAAATGTACAATTGTAGAGGATCACACGAACTGGGAGTATATACCATTGGGCGTTTGGGAGGCCACGCCGTCGCCATAGAGATAATTCAGCACTTTACGAATCATTCACAATTGTCTTTGCTTTTTCCCTGCACATAAGCTGTCGATCAAGATGCACGCACGCGCAAACACTATCGATACAACTTCTCGGACATGACCGAGCGAGATAAACGAGAAGTCGCATACTGCACGACTCGAATGTCGCAATAACAATATCGTTCCACAAAACGGATAACACGACACATGCAACTCTTCCAAGAAAACCAACAATCCGCCAACCCTTGAAATTACAAGGACCAGGGCTGTGATGCAAAAAAACACCACTTGTTGTCAATCCCAGCAGAAACTTACAGCACACTTACACCTGCAAGCTTTTGCGCGCCAAACCTAGTTTTTTCATTGCCTCGTATTGTTATCAGTGTGCATTGCATCTCGGACATTCTCCACTCATGCCGGCAGAGGTTGAGATGGGGTGATTCGAAGCGATTTGCGATCTCCGTTCTCCACTTGTGCAGATTGCAGAGATTGAGATGCGGCTTAGTATTGTGAGGCTGAAAAATTGAAAGCCGCATGCCGCCGCTGCGGTGCGAGAAAGTGACAGCGCGTGCAGCCAACGCCGGCCATTCCGCAACGACACGACCCTCCGGAGACACGAAACGCCGTGCGGGCTCCTACTCGCAAATCGCAACAGCGCAGTAGAGTCTGGATTTTCCAGGGATCAGACGGGCCTTCTACCAGCCGGTACCGTGCCTTGCCCTTGCCCTTGCCCTTGCCGCTGTCACTTCCAACCCCACCAGCATCCCGACCAAACTTCTGTGCTTCGCTCTCCAGATTTTCCCACGTGGACGAACAAAGAAAAACCCCACAGCGTGCTTTCAGCTGGCCCCCCAGAAAGTCTCGCCCTCTTTCGTCGAGGGTTTTCTGGTTCTGGTAGCGAGAAAGGGGGCAGCGCGGATTAGACGAATCGGCTGGGTCCCAAACATCGGATACGCAACTAGGGCGCGCTAACTGTCAGCCCCCAACTGCGCTGTCCTCAGCCACATGCAAACTCGATAAATTGGTTCAGGGACAAATAGCTCGGTTCTGGCCTTGCGGCCTTGGACGCCAGAATTTGACCATCAGGTCACCACAATATTGCCGAGCGCGCCCCGTTGTTTCCGTGCTCGCTTGTTTGGCTGGGGGGGAGGGCCTGGATGTATGGTTCCGCAGGGCTGGGCGGGTGCGACCCTGAGTTGGGAGGCTGTGAGTTGGCATATGTACCATGGCGGGCCTCGTTGTGTCTGGACTCTGGATGGAAGAAGGGGCTTTGAGGGAATTGCACGTGGCATCACGTGGGAAGGTAGGCTGGTGCGTAAGTGCAAGGCTGCCTACGCAATCCTCGGCCACTATCGTCATGCGAGCTTATTTGAATTCTGTCTACGTCTACCTTCTGTTAGTGGGCACGAACTAGACATGTTTACTCTCATCGCCACGATGCTGCTTCTTCGCATCAGTGTAGATCCGATCGACCATCTATGACATATTGCGTGGGTCGATCGCAAATCTAGGGAACCACGGATCAGCAAGAAACCTGGACAGAGCTTGTGGAGTCGACATCGCCGCCTGGTCAAGGTTTCATGATGCTGGTCGTGCTATAGCCAGCATCATCGACGAAGGTGTTAAGAGCGGGGTACACGAACGACAAAGCTTTGTGTTCGGTCCGAGGGAAAGTTGTTGGAGATCCGAAGATCTGCTATACCTCGTCGATGCGGGTGTATTATCTGTAGAAGGCCGCGACCTCTCTGCACGGCTTCTCAGTCTTACTACAGGCCAGTTGGTTGTCTGACGAACCTTCTAAGGGAAATGGGGCTACAGGCTGCTTCCCTTCAGATAAGCGGTTGCAGAGTGAAATCATAGGTTCAGGTCGCTCACAGAGTACATCTCGTATTCTTGTCAGCGAAGCTTGTGGGATATAAGCTTCCGTACTTGCAGATCAGCTACATCTCGTCGATGCGGTTGTACTCTTTGGAAAAGACCGCGACCTTTCTACGTCGCTTCTACGTCTTCCTGGGCTTATTCTGATGTCGGTCGGCCTTTGAAGTGCTGTGGTCACAGGGTACTTCCCTTCTCACCAGCACCGTTGATGGGAACTATATGTTCATGCTGCTCCAAGGATGGATCCTGTATGCCTGTCTGTGGCCGTGGAGATGTGATCCTTGGTAGTATACAATGCCTGTAGACCTATAGTCCTGTAATTTCCATCGTTATCAGTGAACTACTGGACCAAGCCATCGCGCCTCTTCCTGTCGACTAAGCTAAAGTTTTGCGCCTTTCAGCTCTTGTCGTATTCATCAAACTCTGTGCACAAACCTGCTCAACGCCTCGCGCATCAGGGCGTGGATACGCTTCATAGCCACTGTTGCTATCTTCGTAAGACATCAGTTCAGTGCCGGAGATGACCGTTTACTTCTGCAGTAGCACGGCACAATTTCGCGTAACTTGAAACAAGTGCCCCGGATCTTATTGAACGATAGATTGTGTGTTGGGAGATAACATGGGAAGTCGTTCAAGCGGTATCGCTGCCGGGGCTCTATAGACTTCGCAGTGTTGGAGCAAGCCGTAGTTCTGCTTGCGCGTCCATAAGCCGATTTCGGTCGTTGTGTGCGTCTAAAAACTGCTCTTGCGGACTCCTGCTTGTTGGCTAAAGAGATGTATGACCCAGTGTAGCGTATTAAGAACGATCTTGGGGGTGTACGTGTAGCTGGATCAGGTGATTGCTTTGCGCTCGCCATACATGCTTTCCCCATGGGTAGCTGTGGAACTTTACCGACCAGAACAGTGAAACCTATGGAAAACGGTTGCTAGATAGGTAAGAAGTAGACTAGGTAACTGCGATTCGATGGTGTTCATAGATGCATGCATATTGAGGAAGATATGCGTGTTAACAAGACCATCACATGACATCGTCGGTTCCTACCTCATCCATAAGTCGACATTTTGGCATCTCGCCGGTCTTTAAACACACGCCTGTTTTGGTGATATGTGGAATCTGTCGTGCACGATTTGTGTGAGTGAGAATGTCATGTTAATTGAGCGCGCATGTCATACAGCATTGCACGAGCGAGTGAAGACCATTCTGTGTTACATCCACGCGTTACGACGCTGGCAGTTGAGGCACAAGATGCCATCTCACGTCCTCCAATAACTCGGGCGCATGGTAAGTAGAGAAGAAAACTCATATTCCGCTGGATTAAGGATTTTTGCTTTCCACACCTCAGATTTGTCCGCCATGGCTACCCCAACACCTCAAAACAACTCTCGTCCGGATGCCTCGCCCTTGGGAGAAGGCTTGTCCCACAATCTTCTTAGCGACTTGGCTCCTTTGATCGCCCTGTTTGGGGAGCAAGTCACGAAGCAATTCCTCACCATGTCTATAGATTGGACGGACAACATACTGATAGCTCTTGGGCCACTGGGCATCATGACCATCCTCGTTAGTGCCATTCGGGTTGCTGGTAATAAGCATTTGAAAGCTCTCATTGGGAGAGCAAGAGAGAGCATCGAAACAGCGGAGGTCGAACTTGTGTCTTCTACATCGTACGGTGTGTGCGAGATGTGGAATGGAGTCGAGATCGTGAGATCATTCCGCATACCCAAAACAAGCCAATTTGTCGTTATAAGGAGCGACGATATGATACGGGTCTTGCCGACGTGGCAAGCTTACATGGAAAACATTATAATTGAGAGGCTGGGACGGTTTCTTGAGCAAGACGAAGATGAGACTTGGTACATCTTCAAAGGCGCCCCGAATCTTTCTTTGAATACTCCTTGGTCGTTCGTCTCGACTGCAGGGCGGTGGAGCTGGCTTTGTACTGGCTTCTTCCTTCAGTCTGTGTCTTTGGTGCTACCGTTGCTTGTCATGCGCACCATCAATTTTCAGTTTCGCGACTACAGCTATGCCTATCACGTTATAGGCACAATGAGTCTTAACATTGGGCTTGCGCTTTGTTCCCACGTCATTGAAGGCAGCACGACTGAGTATGACTTTATCCCGAACCCGGCTCATAACGAAGAGCTCGTCGTTATCACTGTCCAAGAGGCCTCCAACGTTGGAGATCAACACTTCTATCCCTATGTTACTGTCTCTGTGCCGGATAGTCCTCAGATTCGTACTTCACGATTCAACAATAAGAACTACAAGTAAGTGAAATAAATCCAACTGTCACCAATGATTGTCCAATATCAAGCCGGACAACAAAAATGGCAAGTTTCTGTTTCTCAAACTGACCTTTTTCAAAGAAGAGGCTGCACTGCATCGGTATTTTTTACTATACTCGGCTTTATCTGTCAATTCATAGGACTTCGAACTCTGCACTGGTCCGCTATAATCATTTCTCTCGGTTTCACACTTGTTATGGTAGCCATTCGCGCATGCGTCCGTCGTGGATTGGCATTTCACGCGAAGTTCCTGCCTTTGATAGACGGGTTGGAGAGGGCCCAGATCACGATTTGGATCGTGGATCATGTTCGTACAGAGGGTGTTCATAAGCTCGGCACTCTCACGATCCCCCATAAACGTCACGTGGGAAAAGAAGACGCCAGCTGGCTGTACATGCTACCCAGACTTCTGACTGCGTCCCGCTGTCATGAGAGTGTCGACGCGGATGAAAACGTAGTCTTCTTTGGCCCAGACGTACCAGAATCTGAATTTCACGAAGAATCACCCATCTGCGATCAAGTCAAGCTATGTGCAGAACTCGTACTGCATAATTCGGGAGCAGAGAAGACTGAAGGCTGGGACGATATAACTGTGCAACTACGCAAAGTAATAGAAGGCCTGGTCACGCGCTTCTGGCAGCAAGAATACTTCAAGGATCCGAATCGGCAGAGCCTTACTTGGACACTTCCTATGGTCAAGACGTGTCCTGGTATCATAGACTCAAGCATCCGTGCGCAAACAGTACACACACTTGTACCACAGAACATACGCATGGAAATTGTGAGAGTAAAAACTGGACGTATCGACGCCATGGAGTGGCGTTCCAATGTTGAAGGAGACGACACTACCGTAATGCTCACGGCGCTCCGGGATTTGGACGCTTGCGCACGTGAAACGTCAAGAGTCAACCCCGAGGGGCCATCACATAGTAAGTCTAGTCCACATCTCATCGCTTGTGTCAAACTATACCATTCAGTAAATATAGCGTACTGATCAAAGTGTAGGCCATTTGCTAAAGGCTTCTCGAATCATCGGATTTGTGCCGCATGACGAGGTGAATGACGCAGACTCGCTGCTTCACACGTACTTGAAATGGCTTGACGGCACATTGCTTTTTTTTGCTCTGACTGCATTGCCAGCTTCGCAAAAGCCAGCACATCAAGAGGACATAAACCGCAGTAGCGCTACTTATGGGTGCCACTACTCCTCGTCATGGCAAGGTGCTTCGCGCGACAGAGATGCTGTTGACGGAGGTGTGACTGACGAAAAACCCTGCAACGACATATATATGTTTTGCGATGGCACTGATCGTGAAGAATGTGCACGCGAGATATTTGGTATCTTTGTTCTCACACTAGCTTCTCTTCCGAAACCTTTGGAGGAGTTTGATCTCTATGAAGAAGTCGTCTATGCCGGGTCATCTACCTCAGTTGCGCGACATCGTATACTGGATCGTATGGTCGAACTCATGATTCAGAAAGCCCCAAGTCTTTTCCCGACGAAAAAAAAGGCAAGAGAGATGATAATCCCGGCGTTCATCAAGCACAGCTTACTTCCTTCCATGAAAGAAAAGCTGGCGACTCCAAGTTCGGGGAGCTCCGAAGTAGCATCACCACTGTAATCTAATTATTCTGCCTATCACGTACTACCCACACCACGTCCATCCCCACCAACTGAGCCACGGTGTGTACTCCCACTCGTCCCATGTCCCGCGAGCGCAGACCCAGCATCTACGAGTCCACTCAACGCGCTCGCTGTCCCCTCAGATGCCATCGTGATGCTCTTCGCCTTGACCACCGTCCCCATCTTCTCATTCGCAGAATTCTTCTTGTCTTTCTTATCAAAGTCACTCGCCCTCCAATAGCTCATGATTCCCAGATCTTGTTTCCGCGTTATTTCCTCGCTGAACTGGAAGCCCTTTGGGTTTGTCCGCTTCTCGTCGCGGAATGTATGTTTCTCCCAATCTTTCAGGATTTGTAACGTGGCGACTACGAGCGCGGGGTCAATGGTAGGGGAGCGGATGTATAGTGCTTCGTCGGGCAGGCATACGAGCGAGAATTGGCAGGCTTGTTGCATTTGCGTGCCGAAGTCGCCTGCGATTATGGATTGACGACATGGTTCGCATACGTCGTGCTGGTGACAGACTTTGCATTTCCACCGTAGTCCATTGATTGGAGATGTTTGGCACCCGTCGCACTTCGCGCCTGCGTGAACTTCAACTTCGTCGACGTGGCCGTCCCAAAAAGTATGGTCTGCAACGATTTCGCCATACAGTGGATCCTTGATATGACCTACGGCTGCGAATAACGCATGCCGAACGGTGTCGTAGCGCATTCCATTTACGGAACTGACTTGCGAGCCGCTGACCCACATATATGCCCGCCCATCCGGACCGATGAAGCGAAGAGAGTCGTAATTTAGTGCATGAACGTAAGTTGTCAGGATCGCAATGTGTGAACCATGATTCAGCCTCTCTTTCTTCCTCATACCGCCGCTCAAGTCCAGACGCAACTCATACGTCCATGATGTCTCTTTGCTTTTCGAGCCCTTCTTTTTTGGTTCAGGAGACTGGCCTGGTAATGTCATGATCCACGAAAACTTCGGGTCACGGAAACTTCCTCCCTTCGACGAGAACCTGAACGTGTACGATGGGGCTGCAGGGTTATACGCATGTTCTGTAGGCCTGATAGTCCGCCAAGTAAAGGACTCTTGCTGCGATAGCCAGTCGGCCTTGAGTTCTGTTTTGCTTCCGGCATGCGCGTAAAAAGTTGCGACGACTGGTGGGAGCCTCCATGTGGGTGGGTATGGTACTTGGCGATGTGTTTCTAGGTACAAGGGAAGAGAGGTAGGGTCTGGCGCTATCGACTGAGGTTGGCTAACATGTCGTTGTTCTATTTCGACTGGTATTGGCAAGTCATTCGAGGGATCGTACGAGTTTCTTCGAGGATCTGGAACAACTTCCGGGAATAAACTTGAGCTAGGTGGATTTCGCGGTAATGCACCAAACGATCCAGGGCCTTGTGAGATGTCATGAGTTGATACATTCGTTGAGTATGGACGTAGCGACAATGTGGATGTCTGATGAACAAGTGGTGAATGGCTATCTAGCCGTGGGGTAGCTATACTGATAGGCCGCTGTTGTTGGCTTACAGCGCTGTTCGATCGACTTCTGATCTCTGCCACTTCTAGCTGCTGTGGGATAGCCATACTGACAGGTCGCTGATGCTGGCTCACAGCGCTGTTTGATCGACTTCTAATCTCTGCCACTTCCAGTTGCTGTATCTTGCTCGCAAGGAGCTGATCTTCTTTTAATTGCTCATCGGATGTCGTCGTTGGAGGCGCTGGAGGTAATGGCGCCGGCAATTCTGCTATTATTGGTGCCGTAGGAGCATTCCCATAATATGGTTGTACGTATGGCGCTGGTTGTTGTGCGTAATGTGGTGTATAATGTGGTTGTTGAATAATCGGCGCGTAATAACCATACGAGTTGCGATCGTCCTGTTTCTGAATTGATGGCTGCTGATAATATTGGCCTGTCCACCCATGAAGCGGCTGCTGATTAGAGTATGGCGACGACATGACCTTCCCTGTGTGACATTACCCGGCAGGCGCCGAAAGAAGGCCTTATAACGTGACAATGTGTAAATTGAGAAGACTGAGTAGGTATAAACTGCATCGCCTGGCTCGTAGCCCGTGTGACGAACGACTGTGCCGCACAAGTCTGAAACAGGTCGGCTAGTACTGATCAGCGCTCGCAATACAGCGACGAAATGTGTGTCTTTTCGAGCTCGAATTGGAAATGTTGCAAGGAGAGACTTTCAGATTTAGGAAAAGTAGACACTAAGGACGGATGAGAAATGAAGAGGATTAGCGACGGGAGCAGGCGCAGCAGCGACTGTGTCACGACGGGTTACGCCCACCCGTTGTGATTCGCTAAATCGTACGTCTGAGGCTGGACGCCTAATGATTGCCTAAATGATGATTGATGTCATTGCTTCAGGCTCGTCGCATAATAGCTCCTAAGAAGAACGAGTGACAACAGTCCCGTACCGCTCATAATATCGAAATCGACTGTGATCGCAGAAGGAATCGGCTGTTGTGGACATGCCTCGCTTTTGCGCGAGACCCGTCCCGTGACTTCCTGCCCAGAAATCGACTTCTCAACTTGGTTTGCAAAGCGATCGATGCGATATGTTCTGAGGAGTCGCAGTCAACGTTTTCTTGGAGATTTAGGGGTATCATGTTGATTGTGGTAGAAATGCAGAATGTTGAAAGATGGAGGAAGCTCGCATCGAGATGCAAGAATCGAGGGCCCAGGTGCTGACCAATCACAGGCTTCGGCATTCCGGACTCATATCAATGGGCCGTCGCGAACATCTTCAGCTTTGACTCAACGAATCGAGTAGCTGCAGCCCAGAAGCATGTACAACGAATTTATCAATGAAATCCATATCAACGACTGTGCCCCTTAAGATTAGGCCTCTGCCAATGACTATCCATCATGCCTCCAAAGCGAACCTGGTCACAAATCGACGGCAGTACAAACTCAGTGTCACCAGCTTCGCGATCGCGACTATCGAATGGCAACAATGATTCCTCAGTTCCTGTGGTGTCGCGCAAAGTTAAAGCATGCGCGTCATGCCGAAAGCAAAAGGTCCGATCGGGTGCTAACGCACGCAGCAGTTCATATGCTTACGGACGACTAGATCAAATGTATAATGGAAGATAGCGGACCGCCGTGCAAGAGGTGCACTGAGCGCAATTTATCTTGTGTATTGAACAAGAGTCTGCAGACTCTGATTGAAGAGCGCTCACAGTAAGTTCTATCATCAATCCAATCTTTAGCACCTACTTGAGCCAGGAAGTTGAACAAGCTACTAATAATGGTAGATGGAAAGACACTGTCATTGGTGATCTCGCCCAAATCCACTCGTCACTTCAAGAGGCTCTTACAAAGTTATTACTACCGCCTCTACCGCCCCTACAAACCAACAATTCCATCCCGCCAGAAGAAGCAAACTCATATGAAGTTGTGGACCGGGACGACGAGCCGCCATCTTACGATAATTCTCCGCACCTCTCGCCGAAGGAAGAAGGACTGCCACATGCACCCATCGACTCCCTCTACCAAATCACTCGCCTCAGAACCCTTCGCTCAGATGACTCGCCCGACGAGCGCAAGGCATCGATCGACCGAAATACCTCTAACCACGTGAACGATTTCATCTCCAGAGGACTCATCAGTCTCGAGGACGCCGACCGTCTCGTTGGCCTCTTCATCAACCGCATCGACCACTTCATGTACCGTATCGGCGCCGGACCCTACCGCGACCTTGACAGTTTACGGCGTGGCTCGTCTGTCTTGACAGCATGTATATGCACTGTCGCCGCACTGCACGATCCTAACAGCAACCATCTCTACGCAACCTGCGGCCGCGAATTCCGTCGCCTCATGTCAGCCTCCATGTTCGATCGACGTATGGATCAAGACTGCATGCGCGCCATGTGCGTTGCATCATACTGGCTGCACGATCTCAGTTGGATGTTAAGCGGCTACGCGATCCGCCGAGCCATGGAAGTCAATCTGAGCAGCAGTTATCAGCAAGTCTTGACCAGCAGCGATCAAGAAGCCATGAACAACGTGCGCATATGGTACGTGTTGTACATTTGCGATCGCCATCTTTCCATCCTCTACGGCCGCCCGTCGATTGTCCGCGACGATGTTAGTGTGAATGGCTGGGAGGAAATACTCCGAAGCCCTATGTGCACCGAGAGTGATAAGAGACTCGTCAGTCAAATGGCTCTCCTCGTCATCATGGGAAACGCGCGAGAACTCTTCGGTCCAGACGCAGGCGAACCCATCCCCATCGCCTTCGCCCCGCAGTTCGAAAAGTTCAGCCATCAGATTGATAAATGGGTGGGATTGTGGTCTTCTGAACTTCTGAGTAAGTCATCCTATCTCATCAATCCTGTTTGGGAATGCTAATGACTCCCAGAACTCCATGAAAGCATCGGCGAATTCCCCACAAAAGGCGTCATCCTGCACCACCACCTCGCAAAACTGCATCTTCACTCACACGTCTTCCGCGGTCTGAAGGGCGCTCCCGTCCCCACATACTTCCGCACCAGCGCCACCGCATCCGTAACTGCCGCAACTGCCATCATCGAAACCGTGCTGACCGACGACGACATCCGCGACGGGCTCGTCGGTATACCGCACTACATCCACTCAATGATTGCCTTCGCGTGCGTGTTTTTGCTGAAGATAGCTGCGCAGTATTCGGGGGTGTATATTGAGGACGCGGTTGTTTATGACCTAACGACCAGGGCGGTCAGGCAGTTTCGTGAGACTCCCGTGGGCAAGTGGCATCTTGTGCATCTTATGGCCGAGGGGCTGGAGAAGATGTTGGTCAAGAAGACGATGGGGAGGACAGTGATGGCGGCGCATGATATTGCTGCTTCGCCTGCGCCGCAACCTATGGCGCCGACAGCGAATGGCGATGTCCTCTTTGGCGAGAACTTCGAGGATGCGTTTAATTTCGGCACGTCTTCGTTTTTGAACTTTGATACGGGGACTCTGGATTTGGACTTTAATGGGTTCGGCTTCTAGCCTCGACAGAGACATCACATTTTGGCCTTCTGGTTTTTAACCCATCGTCTCATCCCTCCTCCCCTCCCCCCTCGAATTCCATTTGCGATCAAAAACTTGCAAACTCCTCTGCGCAGTGGGTACCACATCCAGCGCCTTGATACTAACCCGATCCTTCTGCGCCAGCATGAACGCCGCTGCATCTGCCACATCGTCTGCAATCAGCGGCTCGAAGCCCGCCATGAATTCGTTGTATGAGGATTTATCGTACGAAACTCTGTCAGAAGCATTAGCGATCTCGCTCCTCATTATGCATGTGAAAGACAGGAATCTTTACCTTTGCTCGTGGAAGTTGGTCGCTACAACCCCCGGCCTCAACGCCAACACCTTGATATCGCTCCCCACCAACTCCGTCCTGAGCACATTCGTAAACGCCTCCTGACACGCTTTACTCGCATGATACACCGCCTCGCCCGGAAACGGCGGGACCTCTAGACCGGTCGTACTTGTGACATTCAAGATCGTACCCTGGCCTCTTTCCTTCATCTTCCCCTCGTTCAGCACGGCGTACGTCGCGAACATGTACCCGTTAATATTCGTGCTGGTCATGGTGATGATGTCCTGAATCTTGAGGTCTGGGAAAGGGGACGGGGCGCCGAGAGCGAGGCCGGCGTTGTTGATTAGTACGTCGATGTGGGAGACTTGGGAGACGATGTTGGAGATGGCGGTGGAGAGAGCGGCGTGGTCTTGGACGTCGACGGATGTGGTGAATACTTTCAGGTCGGGATGGGCGTCTTGGAGGTCTTTTGCTAGGGTGGTGAGTTTGTCGGAGGAGCGGGCGAAGAGGATTAGTGTTGCTTGCTCGGCAGCGAGGCGGCGGGCGATGGCGGCGCCGATGCCCATTGAGGCGCCTGTTATTAGGATGTTTCGGCCTTTGAGAGACATTTTGGTGGGAAGGGGGTTGGGATCTGTAGAGTTTGGGGAATGGATGCAATAAATGCATTTGTAGCTTTTTAATATGCTACCTAGGTGTGTCTAATCATGACGTCACAGCAGAAGGCAAAGGTGTAATAGTACAACAGAGCCGGGTCATTATTGCGTGGTTATAATATTCGTAAGAGTGTGTTTGGGCATCTCCTGTGCGTGTTAGCCATGAGCAGAACCCATCGACGTGAAAAGAAACGAGACCTACATATCATTATGCCATGTGTGACCGTTATGCGTAGAGTTCGTATGCACTTCGTAGATCGTGGTACTCATGCTGTTTATTGCGAATGGGGTCATAGCGTCTGCTCTGTAGTCGGCCGGAGAGAAGCCAGGGTACGTGTGAACCAGAACACGTTCGACGAGACATTCATCCTTCCCATCGCTGCGCCTCCTTGTTGTATCCGATGAGCTCGAGATCGATGTTCAACGTCTTGAGCATCATGTCCATGGTGAAAGACTGTAGTATGTTAGTGTGTGCTAGGCTTCAAACCAGCGAATGCTCCTCACGTCATCGTCGGCAGCCTTGAACGTCTCTTCCTCCTTGTCATCACCACCGTTATCCTCGGCCATCTCCGCGTATTTGTCATAGGCCTCGTCCCCAATCTCTCCGTTCTCCCTCGCCTCTTCCATATTCTCCCTCTCGGCCTCTCTTTCTTCCTTGTCCCACTGCTGTTGGCGCTCCTTCCCTTCTTTCTCTCGCGCGTTCCACGCTCCAACGCCGCCCATTCTGTTGACCTTGTCGCGCGTGGTGGCGAACAACTCTTCCGCTACCGTTCGGCTGGCTGTGCGCCATTTGTCTATCAGAACAACCAGATCGTCGTCTTTTGTGGAGGTAGCGAGTGTGTGAGCTTGGAAGAGGATCTGCATCTCGTTGCGAAGCTGCATAATCTCGCGCGTAAGGGTGGGGTTGGTCACTGCCTTTTTAGATACCGTCCGCGATGGCGTGGAAAGGCTTGAGCGTGAAGGAAGTGACTTCGATACGCGTGGCTGGGAGGGTCCCGGTGTCGCTGCTGTCTGTTTCGCTAGTGCAATCATGTGCTCGTTGCTTGCCGTCGACCGCAGTGGAGTCGCCTGCAATTGTATACTTTCATAGGTAGTGAGCTCAGGAGGGTCTGAAGATGGCGTGTCAGAGCCAATATCGGGTTTCAATGGCGTGCGAAACGGTGATTTGAACGGTTTGTGGAGCGTCCTCGCAGCTTCGTTCAGCCGGCGGCGTTTCGCTTGCGGGGTCGACATGTTCGCTGGCACTGGGGCATTGGTGTGGGTCTCAAGCTGTAAGATCGTGTGATACGGCAAGTGAAGTGTGTGTTGGCGATTGCGATGTCAGTGCCTGGATGGTCGGGGGTCGTACCTGCCGTGACGCGATGCGGGATCGGCCGCACGTGTGGGGCAAGTCGCGCCGTCACGTGACGTCGATAGGGTCTCCACGGGATGACTGAAAGAAAGCACTTGTCAACATCGATGATGGACCTTAAGCTCGACCTCTTCCATCCACCCTCAAGTTTTATTGCCAGCGACTGGAGCGACGGGGACTGTGTCTGTACCGTGAGAGGGGAGTCGCTCACCGTGACCTCCCACGCCTGCTTACCTAGCTTTTCAGCCTGCTTGCTCAACGTCTGTCTTACATCCACCACAGCCTTCCACAACTTTTCATCCACTTCATTCTCTGCATAACTCCACATCACTTCTCGATATGTAACGGGGTTTCTGATGCTCCATGACTTCAGCCATGACTTCAGCCATGTGCAGCATTTGTGCACACCTCGATATGGTCAAGGGAGAGAAATGGAATCCATGGACTGTTGGATGGCCAAAAATCACAATCGAAATTCTACAACAATCAGCTTCGCTGTGTCAAACAGATGGCTGCAAGATTCTGCTTCAGGCAGTCTTGAAATGCTACCCAGACGCATCGACAACGGCTGGCATCGTCCCGTATTACAAGCCTGGCATATTCTGGGTGCAAGAATTAGGCGAGCTTCAGATTTACTTTAAAATGGGTGAGGATTATTCGTGCTCCACAGTAAGAGCTAACGAAGAATGCCAGGTGCTCGAGATCCAATCTGGCCAGCTTTCTTGCGCAGCACACATCACGAGGACCCAACCTCTCATGATAGCCTCGAATTCGTCCGAGAATGCTTGGTGGAGTGCTTAGACACACATCTCTCATGTCACATTCCCGTCACTCAGCAAACCTACATGCCTTCACGAGTCCTGGACGTAGGCTTGATTGACGATGGGCATCTGAGTGTTGACAACCGAGCGCCTGTCTACTTGGTAGACGCAATCGAAATCATTGGCGACAGAAGATATGCATGTCTCAGTCACCGATGGAACACGTCCGGAAAGAATATCATTACAGAGATAGCCACGCACGAACAGCACAAGTCGGGTATTGAATTTCGACAACTGGACCTAGCCTACCAAGATACTGTCCACATCCTGCGTCGTCTAGGCGTACGATACTTATGGATTGATAGCCTGTGCATTATACAAGACGACAAGAATGACTGGGCAAGCGAGTCAGAAATGATGGCGAAGGTTTACAGTAGCGCACTATTCACGCTTGCGAGGCATTGCGATGGTACTACCTCACTTGCCTGCGCCAGGCATCCGGAAATTGTTGTCAGCGAGACAATTTCACCACCTGTGTATGCTCGAGCAATGTTAAAGCATGTCTCAGCGTTTGGCCCATTTAACGGTGTTGACGAGTACAGTCAGATTTTAAGAAGAGGTTGGGTCTATCAAGAGCGTTTGTTGTCGCCGCGAGTCATACATTTCATGGACAGTGAGATCTCGTGGGAGTGCCAAGTAGTATCTGATTGTCAGTGTAAGCATGGAGAACCACGAGCTCGCCCACCTGATAACACTCCAAAAATTTGGCATGCCGAAGCTTTAGCTCCTGGAGGTCTGGATTCGACGGCACAAAAAAATGCAATAGCGAAAAGATGGCGAGACATAGTGAAGGAATACTCCGGACTTGAATTGACGAAGCAGACAGATCGACTTCCTGCTATACGAGGTTGCGCGGAACAGATTTATATGCAGCTCAAAGATTTGGGGCACATCGGAACAGATTTCGATGACTCATATTCATTTGGTCTCTGGAAACATTGCTTGGTATCTGACATGACCTGGGAATCCTACTTCGGGCCCGGAGCAGTAGTCCAAAGACCGCCCCAGCTTTTCCCGGTACCGACCTGGTCATGGGGATCCATAAATGCTACAGCTAATTATTATTACGGGGGAGAAAAACGTAATCTTTGTGCTCAAGCCAAGTTGTTGAGGGCTCCAGACGATCCCCGTGGAAGACATACGCCCGCATACATAATTCTGACAGCCCAAACAATTCCTGCGCGGTTGAAACTCGAGAGAGAGGGATTTTATTAGGGAATCTGGATCCGACTCTATGCAGAGGTCAATTCATCTTACCCCCGATTCTTTGGGGCGCTTTTGCATCTCATCGTCACTCAACCCCAAAGACTGTATCTTCAAAGCAGATTTCGAATTGCGATCTGCCAATTGGGACGAAGAAGCATGGTATGACATCACAATCGTTAGAATGACAGGAACCACACGTTCACACCCTTGGGCTATCTCTCTCGTTTTGTGGAGGTACGGGAAATGCGTGCCTGGATCCGGTGTGCATCGCCAAACAGAAGACAATATCCCAATCTACCAACGGATCGGGCTGCTCAGAGCGTACCCAAGGCCAAAAGGCATAAGTAGCATAGACTGGAGCAAAGCCGAGAAGACAACGATCGCGATAGAATGAAACATGGTCTCTCGTTAGTTTTTCACAAGCTTCATGCAGCGCCCTCCACAAGTCAGCGTAAGCAGACACGAAGATACGCACCACATGCCTGCGTACATATTTCCAACCATCACTCACACACACGCACACCACAAAGCATTGAAAAAACTCCATGAAACACAACATCACATTTCCGCATACATCTACAGCTTAACCGAAACATCCCACCAATCCAACCCCACAGCAACGCCCGCCACAGCAACCGTGTACGCGACAAGCACACCCATACTCTCCAACACGCCCATGTGCAGCGTCGGCATCGTCATGTTTACCAACCCCGTCAGTAAATTCGCGACCAAAAACACCGCTAATCCGTTTCGATTGAACGCGTACAAGACGCTACTCGTCGCCTCCCTGGTGCGCGCTTTTTCTTCCGACTTGGTAGGCGCTTTGTACAAGTTCGGAAATAAGAGGGTCTCGATGCCGCAGCAGATAGTGATTTGGTAGCTGTTGAACGCGCTGACCCACAGGAAGTATGGGAGATTGGCGATGCGTCGGGACACGGAGAGACGGAGGCCGTAGTACAGATGTTGAGAAGTAGAAGAGGGCAGTCCAGAGCAGAGACGCGATGGCGAGTTGGCCTAATATAGTCTTCCGGAGTTTCACGCCAAGGGAGGAGTTCTTGGGGAGTGCTTGTTGCCGCGGGAGGGCGATTGAGCCGAGGGATTGGCCGGCGAGGAATATCGCCAGGTAGCCGATGAACGAGAATATGCCTTCGCGGTTCTTGGAGAGTAGGTTTGTGCGCGGGGCAATCACGATGTAGGAGCCTAGGGAGGTCCAGTCGAGGGCGATTTCGTAGAGAGCGGCAAGGGTGCAGGATAGGATTGCGTAGGAGGGCACGAGGTCGAAGAAGGTCTGGAAGAGGGCGACGAAGGGCGGGAGGAAGCCGAGTGTGAAGAAGAAGTTCCAGTGGATGCCGTACTCGGTGACGTGCTCTGCGTAGTCCAGACCCTTGACGGAGATGAGGCGGATGGTCCCGAGAACGAGGAGCGGGATCGAGTGGCGGATTGATGTGAGGAGACGCTGGGATAGTGGTGGGCGTCTGCCTGTGCCTTCTTTCAGCGAGGATCGGACGGACACAACGCCGGCTGTGAAGACGAAGGAGCCCACGCCCATGTCCATGAGCGATGTTCCCCAGTTTTCCACCTTTGCAAAGCGCCGGGGGAAGACGCGAAAGTCGACTGCCAGGATTGCGACACAGGTTATGACCATCATTGCGCCGCGGTAGTTCGTGATGAATGGCTTCACAGGAAGCGGGTCGGGCTTGGAGTCCTTCGCATTGTCGTCCTTCTTCTGTGGCCTTGCCTCTTTCTTCGCTTGTACTGGCTTCTCAAGGACGACTAGTATAACTGCAGGGAGCAGCAGTAGTAGGTTCAAGACCCATGGCGTGGACGAGTAAATGGTCGTAGCGAACAGCGTAACTCCGCAATTCAGCAGAAAGTCCACGAGAAAGGCGGGAACCGTATATGGCGTGAACAATCGCATGCGTGACTGAACGACAGACCACAGTAGTATGCTCAACTGCCACGGTAGTCAGCATATGCGCATCTCTCGAGTCGCGGGTGTGTGTACGGTACAGGCATTGCGAGCGAGACGCTATTGACGTCAGCGACGGAGCTGCCGGTGTGACCCGACACCCAGGCCTCCTTGAGTTGTTTGTACGTCTTCGCCATGTTGTCAAAAGAAGGTGCACGCGAGTTGGGCGTTGTTCGTGCAAATGGCCGCCTACGTTGGACGCGTCGAGGTGTCCTCTCACATGGTCTGTGCGGCTCCTTTACCAACGTCACGTCACGGCTCCGTTTGTACTTCACTCTCTTCTTTGCTCCCCGCACTTGCAAACTTCTAACATGTTCTTTCTCATTCTCTGGTTCTCCTCACTTTGGTGATAACAAGTTTCCGTTCTGTTTCTCGCCGAGGGTGCTCACATCTTCTTCCAGCCCATGCAGTCACCACCCATATGTCCCATGCATTCACGCAGAGATGCTTTAGCTTCTGTTGCGCTTGTTCGACGGCCTTCTCAGCTCAATATTGAGCTATGGAGCCGATGGTGAGGAAGAGACTGATGGGTCCGGTCATCCCAGTCGTTGCACTGGACCCAACCAGTCATACACAGTGACTGCTTTAAGCTCAGTGACAAGTCGCGAGATGAAGGCTTGACGCCATGTGGAAACACGCTCAGAGATGCTTTCCACAATGTCTCTGGCAAACTATGCACCATCACAATTGCTGCCTGTCTGCGAGGGCATGTGGACATCGGTCCATCCAGCCAAGGGTAAGGACTCTTCTGACTCTCGAACTCCCACATCTTTATTATCCCTGTGCCCCTTTCTCTATCCAGTATGCCTGCCGTTGAATGTCTATTGACCTACCGTCATACCATTGTGTATCTCCGCTCTTGTGTTGCTTCTAAATATCTCCGTTTGTTGTTCTCTCCTCCACTCTCACCTTTCTCGTGCACGCGTCACGCGAGCAACAATACAAAACAATAACAAAGTCGCATGGAAGGATTTTACTTCGCGCCTCCAACTACCTCACCACCATCCTCCACCTTCCTTTCTGCCACAGACACCCACTCCCGCGCAGACGCCTACGCACCTCCAACAATGCATTCCCCAACAGCAGACGAGAAGGCGACGAGGCCTTCAAGAATTCCCAGGCTGCCAAACCCGCCATCCTCACGACGTCCTGGCATGGAGCGGCGTCCTGCCTCGCACGCAGCCACGACGGGCTCACCCCGTCCAGCTGCATACACTCCAGCATCACGGGGCGTCATGTCGCCCACACCAGACTCGAAGATCCCCAAGGCTGCGGGAAAACAGACTCACTACTCACCAAAAAGGCCACGAACAGGAGCAGCAGCAGCGCCAAATGTCTGACGGAGCAGCATCAGTGGACAATGCTAACATCCTTGTGCAACACAGTCCGGAGCGTCCCAACAGCCATGAGCTCGAGCAAGCTGTCTCGTCCGCCGCTTCCGTTGAGCAGAGCATCCTGCATCAGACCAGCCACGATCCCAAGCAGGTTGAGTCGTCCACCGCATCGGCTGAGCACAGCACCCAGGATGGCGAGTCTTCTGGCTCTCCTCACGGGGGCTTCACATGGAGGTCTTCCTCTGAGTACTGGGAGAAGCAGATGCCCCACGAGCCGACACTGCGCATCCACCGCGATGCCCCAGACGTCCTGTTCGGAGACTCAAGTCAACTGCCCAAAGACTTACCAAAGCCAGCTACATCAAGGTCGTCATTCAGAACGTCGCTAGGAACGCTCGCGCAGCAGACAAAGTCATCCATCGGTCTCGCCCTCAGCTCGTCTATGGACCTTCCTCCCCCCACCACCACCACGCGCGAGGCCGTCACCACCCCCGTTGTCATAAGCCCCATACGCTCTATGCAGCGTCAAGGTGTTCGAAACTTCTCGACACCGACGAGACGCCCGGCACGCCCAGCACAGACTGGTGGCGATGTCGCTCCTATCGCTAACGAGATCACTCCGGTCACTGATGGGATCGCCCCCATCGCCAACGAGACCGCTCCTATCGTGGATGAGATCACACCAGCCGCGCCGACAGAGAACGCAGCCGATCCCGATTCAGACGGCGAGCAGATCGACTTCTGGGCCGCACTGAACGAGACGGCACCGCAAGAGAAGAAGAAGAGAGCCCGTGGCGTAGGCTTCATGACAGCAACGACCAGCTTCGCCGGCAGAGTCTCGGAGCGCAAGAGCATCAGCGACCTCAAGCTCAAGGCCAAGCAGAGCCTGCGCAGCCTCTTCAGCAAGGACGAAGAGAGCTCCTCGGAGCCAAAACGCTCCCTCACCACCACCACCCGCACGCTCGCCCGCCGCCTCTCCCGCAACTTCTCGCGCGTGCACATTCCCGCCGTGCCCGCAGACGAGCTTCGAAACCTCGAGCAACTGACCCGCCGCCAGTCCGCGCTGACGCTGACGGCGCTCGCACTGACGCCCGAGCCGCTGGCTCACTACACGGTGCAGACGGCGGCGACCGTCAACCACATCGTCGCCAGCATCGCCGCCGCCACGACCACGGGCGCCCAAGCCCACCGCCTCGCCAGCATCGCGGGCGCGCTGCTCGACATGGTCGAGATCGGAAGGGAGAACGAGGAGATGAGGCAGATGGCCTTCCAGGCGCAGCTGGAGGTCCTGGCGGGGAGTGAGCGGCTGGGTCACGTGAAGGCTAGGCTGGAGACCCTGTTGCAGGGCGAGTTCGAGGACCCGGTGATGAGGGGCCTCATGGACCGTCTGGGGGATCTGGTCTAGCCTCACGTCTTGTTTTGGTTTGTGTGGGTTTGGCGTTGGGTGTTTGTCTGCCTCCCGCATGGGATATCGGGATTCCGCCGCGCGCGCAGAGTGCGTCGTGTGCGGCTTCAAAAGTTACTGTATTATAGACATGTAGACGAGAAAGACGCGAGTCACGATATGAAATGACATGACGATTTCGATCAGTTTGTTGTGTGTTTGATTTGGATATGTGTGTGTGTATTTTACGCTCCTCCGAACATTCCTCCGCCACCTCCACGGCCTTGCGCCTCGCCCTGCATCTTCTCGCTCACTTTTACGTTGACCTCGAAGAACTTGGCGACGCAGCGGTCGAGGCAGACGGACTCGCCCTTGTTGAGGTCGGCTTCGCGGTAGGTCGAGTCGATGCATTTGGAGCTGCAGGATTTGAGGAGTCTGTGTACATGATTAGAATGTGTGGAGGACAAGAATACGCAATCAAGGGTTCTAGGTTCGGAGGAATGGTGTAAAAGAGAGCAGTTCGTACCGACTGTACATGTCGCTAACCATGTCGATTTCAGCTTCCGCTTGGGCGATTTTCTGCTCGCTGGAGATTTGGGGGCGGCCGCCCATGCCGAAGAAAGACATCTTGAATGTATGTGTGCGTCGTTATCGTGGTATTCGTAGGCGTGAATTGGTGAGCGACGGCGCAATTGGTGGTTGTGATATTGCGGCTGCGGTCGTGGCTTTTGGCTGGCGGCGGCGATGATGTCGCGCGAGCTTTGGAACTTTTGGAAGCTTGGGGCGCGGGTCGGGACGTGCTGGTGACGTTGTGCTGCTGGGGTGGAGATGCGCGGGAGCTTTGGGAACACAACTACGACGGTTTTGTGGAATCACGGTATATGATGGGCGATGACTGTGTAGGATTATCAGGAATGTCACTTAATGCGTTGGGGATTTACTGGGGCTACCGGTCGCGCGTGTGAAAGACGCGCTCTCATGGCACTCTCAGTTCATTCATTGCTGTAGACGAATTAGAGAGTTGGACCAGGCGAACCGGAGTTAGATTGGCACGGTGAGAACTTGGTAAGTAAATCCTTGGTAGACGTTCATCATGTGTTGGGAAACGAACGACTTAAGTGTCACTATCGTTGGCCTGCACGGAGAGCGTACTTCTCCAGTCCCGATCACCACGTACACACTCGCCCCTATGCAGGTGGCATTTCACACTTTTAAACGCTGCCCAGGTGGTGACTCTTGCTTCTTTTGTACTCTTTCTCTCGTGCGTTTTCTTGGCATTTCACGTGAGTAGCGTAGGTAGGTCGACACCCAGGCGCTACCACTTCTGTGTACTCGGCACTATACACTGCACAGTCACCGAATCTCAAGTCTCCTGAGATGTTTGGTATCGATAGTGTGGGGTTACGTCATCTCTAATGCAAGAGTGCGCTTCCGTCGTGCTTTCTACTTGAGCGCTCACACTTTCCCGCTCGCCCAACATTTGTCCCCAAGCCAGCTTCATGGATGAGCGACTCAACGAAATGACATCCAAGCCTGCTGATTCGAGTTGCTTGTCCTTCCTCGACCTACCCGCTGAGATTCGCAATCATATCTACGCCGAGATTTACGAGCACGTCGACCACATCGTGCTCACACGCAACCCGGCTGGCGATGATCTCGTCACCTTACATCGAAGGGTCTATGACCGTAACCACGCCTTGCCTTGGAGAACCGGAACAATCGTAGGTACGGCTGTCATCCAAGAGACCTCTGCAGTAGCTAGACTGACTCGAATAGGAGAGCAGATTGAAATGCCGTATCGACAGAACGACACGCTGCCAGCTTTCCAAGAGGGTCTGTCGCTCTTCCTGACCTGTCGGCAAATCTCCAATGAAGCTGCATCCGTCTTCTACTCGAACAACGTCTTCCGCATGGCTGTAAAGCGCAACCTGGGTCTTTGTCCTTACATTCACGAAGAGTGTCAACCCGGCAGTCGTATGCTCGACAAATGGCTCGAACAAATAGGCGCCAAACGTATGCTGGTGAAAAAAGTCTGCCTGGACCTAGACAGCATATGCCAGGTCCATTGCAAGAACAATGAATCACATATCGAGTGGGTACAGGGTAACCGTCCCAGCCCCATTCCCAACGGTGATTACTTCGCAGTCTTGCCATTGCTCAATATAATCTGGAAACACAGTCTTCAGCTTAAGGTCTCGGTTGAGCGATCGAAGCAGGCCCGTAGTCGGTTCACTTACAACAGGCACTACCCCTATTCACCTTTCAAGGCCATGTCAACTGCATTACAATCCTTCTGCAGGGACGACCTTGATGTTGCGAAGTTTCAGCGTACCCTGGCGTGTATAGCCATCAAGAATGATGGATCAGGTGGGGATATGGTTTCCCGGACGACAACTGAACATGACCATGTGCAAGAGAACAGCAGCGGTATCGCCGTTCCCGAGCGCTCTAGAGGATTGCCAGACCTGTGGGGCCATGGCTGTATAGACACTGCCAAGGGCTTCTCGTTGGGTGAAGGTGACCGACTTCATTGGGACCAAGACGACTCTCCCATCAAACTTTCCAAACTACCAAGATACATCTATCACGGGGTATTGAAAAGGGTCATCAAGGATGGGGCAGCCAAGACTCTTGATCTCGATAATCTTGAGGGTTCTGTTCTTTGGCCTGAACCGGTGTACGTTAACCGTGAGCTTCGTCGAGAATTCTCATGGCACATGCTCTATCGATTCAACATGCTCGCTGTGTGCAGTACATCTCGACGTGCGCGCTTTTCCGGCAAAAGCATGTCAAGAATGGAGCGCTATCTCCGGCACTCTATCACATATACGTATACCCCCTTGCTAGAGCGTCGAACTTCGCAGTGGAGCCCCGGACTCGATGGTTCTCAGCCCCACTTCAAGCTATCCGTCAAGCTCGACGGCGCGCTGACTATGGAGGAGCTCCGCATCGCCATCCTGCCGTTTGTTATTGCTAGTTCACAGACATGGAACGACAGATGTGTTACCTTCACTCTCGATACCCCAGGATCAAAGCAGCAAGCAGTGACGATTGAGATGGACTTGCTGCGCCGCCGGGTCCTGCTTGCGCTGAAGGGATACTTCAAGGAGCATGGGAACGGCACTGAGATGTGTCCGGAGTTATGGATCAACGGACATGGTCGGGTCATGGAGGTTGTGCGCAAAGATGCTACATCGCGAGCTGTTGTGCAAGATAGTGCAGTGGTTCCTGCGCGTGCTGCGAAGCAGTCTTCCGCACCGCCGTATCCCACTGACGGAAAGCTAGATAGCACGATCAGCTATCTGGCCTGGTACAAACGATCGTGGCAGAAGTTGAAGTAACGCTTGTCCAACTCACTTCACGCGAAGGCAGCTGTCTATGTTCGCAGCAAACGGATAATCTTTTGTAGCCCTGTGACAGTTTCTTACTCAGCATATACAAGGATAAATATACGTTATAGACACCATACAAATGTTGAAACACATCGCCCGAGCCTTGTGATTCTCATAGACCCGAATTCTGAACTTCACTCACAAACGTCTATTTTCAAAATTCGTACTGCACCGTCTTGCATCCCCCCCACTTCAGCACTTGCCACATCCACCGCCGCGCGTGAGAAGTGCATCAACCCCATTCCACCCGTGTCTTGAACGCCAATCATGCACGCGCGTTTCATTCAGGTCTCTGTTTCCTATGAAGTATGCATCTTCGCTCAGCGATGAAGTACCCCCAGCGCATCGAGGCACGAAAAGGTTAGACAGACTTGTATATAACGACGCCGACTGCGATGAGCCATTGTCGTAAAATGTAGTTAAGTACTACAAGTATGCACTCCAGGCATACCATCAACAGTACTCTCAACGCAAAAGCAGCAGACATGATTTCCCTTTCCGAACAAGTGCAGCAGGTTTTGAAAGTCCTTGCATTAACTCGTATATATTCCACACACGATATCCAGTTCAGCCCCCGATATAAGTTAAAAAGAAGAAAAGAAAAAAATGCGTAAAGAGATATGGGGAAAAAAAATTGGGAACAAAAAAAAGTCGCAAGCTACATCTTTCATCTTTCATCTTCTTCATCTTGTTTGAGTTCCTTTCTTCTTTCACCAGCGCAGCGCAGCCAAAACACAAGTGAACGAAAAAAACCAATAGCAATATGATGGTATAAGCACACAGTACGGCTATATCCCGCTTCTCCATGCTCACCCCCTCCACTCGCGTTCTTCTCGAGGAGAGAAAGCCATGAAGAACCCCCCCAACGCCTTCATCGGGCGTCAAAGCGAATGGGTTTACAAATCAAGAGCCGAAGCCAAAAAAAGTACAATGAGCGCCCCCGTTGTAAAAACACCAAGAGGAGATATATATCCAACACACATTCAGTCGAAACCAGGAGAGGGTAAAGAGTAAAAATAGTTCCGCCGCCCATCCGATGCACCGGAGAAACTAGTGAGAAAAGAGAAAAAGCGATCGAAATCGAGGAGGGTATATGAACGAATTTTTGGTTTCTGGCAATGGGCGCGGACAGTCGCCTGGTCTTCTAATCGGGACTGTAGAATGGTCTTTTCCACTCCCCGCCGTGGAGCATCCAGTTCCAATAGGGGCCTTCAAGTTCCATTCTGCAAGTGTCAGCAAACAAGCCTTAGTGTGCGCAGGCGCTCAGCAAACTCAGCCGTGGTCTCGTGTGGTGTCGTGATGAACGACAGAGAATCCACAAATGAGTTGTCCGACAGCGGGAAGGGCATGTCGGGAGCAATCTGCGGCACATGAAGACAAGTCAGCGAGCAGCTTGTCGGACTATAGACCACCACCAACTTCTTCGGTGACGTGGTTGAAGTCGAATTCACTAGTCATGCCGAAGTCGCCGTCGTTGGGGTTCTGTAGGAATGAGTCGAAGTCGAAGTTCTCTAGGGCGGCTCCGTCGTCGAGGCCGAAGTCGCCAAGGCTGAAAGCGGACTTGGAGACGTTAGCTGAAGTTGCGCTGCTCGACAATCATGAATACTTACGTCTCCTCCATCGATGTTACCGAATGGGGGGTCCATGGACTGTTGCTGCACAGGCTGCTGCTGCACTTGCTGTGGTTGTCCGTTCTGGGGGTTGAAAGATTGTTTCGAGTGCGGCGTGATTGGCGCGACCGGTGTCGAAGTTGTCGGCGTGGGCGGTTCTTCACCAGTTGTTGCTGATGGCGTCGCACCTGCGTTGGCGCCCTTCTTTCCTGCTGGCTTCTAGAATCAATATCAACGCTGCGCGAATGTTTAAGAGAGCCGCGCAACTTTACCTTAACATTATCTTTGGTGCCCTTCTTCTTGGGGTTTGGCTTGTTGGCCGATGAAGGTGTCGGGGGTGCCTGGTTAGATTGCGAGGGGGAGGGTTCAGGTCGTGGCTGGTCATTGGCGGGGGCGGGGGGCGGTGGCATCTGTCGTTGCTGGGGGTTGTTGCCCATGGGGCCGCCCATAGGCTGCTGTCCCGGCATCATACCCTGTTGTTGGGGTGCGCCACGCCATGCACCGTTTGGTTGTTGTTGCATCTGGCCGTTGCGTACCGCTTCCATCTGTTGTGGGGTCATCTGTTGCCCGTTGAACGCAGCTCCAGGGTGGGAGCTTGGCGGCCTCATCATCGGACTTTGTTGGTGAGCCATCTGTGGGTAGAACTGCGGTGGCATGCCTGGAGGTGCTAAGCTTGGGTCAAAGTTCATATTTGGTGCAGGCGAACCTCGCTGGGGTTGCATGGCGCCCTCGGGGAGAGGTGAGCCGGGCATTTGTCCCAGCTTGGGCGTGCCTCTCTTCATCTGGTCTTGGGGGTTTGGCGAAGGACCTGGCCGATTGCCTTGTGGCGACATGGCAGCGGGGAATCCCTGTGCACCTACACCTCCCTGGTGTTGGGGACCGGAGACGTTGTCCTGCTCCTGTCGCGCCATGAGCAGGCGTTTCTTGTTCTGTTGCTCCAACAGCATGAGCTGCATCTGGTAGTCCTGGAGAGCGTGGTTGCCTTGGGGCGCGCCGGGAGCATTGGCAGGTATGGCACCTGGTCGTGGGCCGTTGCCCTGGAAGATGTCATGCTGACCTTCGAGGCCCTGTTGAGCCATGGGAGAGCCATGTGCGCCAGAGTTCATGCCCTGAGGGGAAGCAGTGTTACTATTCAAAGCCACTCTGTGTTGTTGGGCCAGGCTTTGGGCATATACCTCGATGTTTTTCTGCTGCGCATTCTGGCCAGGTTGCGCAAAGTCACCAAATTGGGCATTCGGCATGCCATTATTCATCCCGCCTGTAGTAGGGCGCGTCAGCTGCGTGGCATGTGTGGAGGGTTGATACGACGTACCTTCCATCCGAGGGCGCTTGTTCGGCGAGGGTGCGTTCTCGTTTGGCCCCGGCGACTGCGGCCGCTGACCGTTCATGTCCATGTTGGAGCCGTCTCTCTGCATCTGCGCTGCCATCATGGCAGGGTTCTTCATCTGGCCCATGTTGGGCATGGCGTTGCCGTTGCTGTGACATGTTAGCTCTCACTGCTCTAGGCTCACGTAATCCTCACGAGGGCGTACGGTCGGTTGTTCAGGGCGGCTGCGCGCTTGAGATCGTTGGGCGCGCCATTCACCATGCCATTGCGCATCATGTTCTGGTACTGGGCATTCATGTTGTTGTTCATCATCATGCGCTGGTTGCGCTGTTCGTTCTGCACCTGTGCCAGGTTCTGTGCTGGTTGTCAGTGCCCCGCAGTGTACGAGCGTGAGGCAGGCTTACCCGTGTGTACGACACGTACTGCGAGCCTTTGGTAGGCCCGTTGCCGCGATTCTTGGTCGCCTGGTAGATGTCCCAGAACTGGACCCACCAATCGAGCAGGAACGAGTTTTCGGCCATTTGGTTCTGGGGCAGCTGGGGCGCGGGCATTTCGCAGGCGGGCTCGGGCTCCATCATCGAGTCGCCATTGACTCTGTTCTTGGGGCTGTACTTCTGGGGCGGGCCGGTGGCCATCTTAAGGCCGCTCTCGAGCATGGCGCGCGCGGCTTGGTAGTGGTCGTTGCGCAGGAGATAGTCGTAGATGTACGTGTTAAGCTGTTCGCGCGGGTCGGTGCTGGGGCGCTTGGGATGCGGCATGTTGCCCATGATGGGGGTGCCGTCGACGGGGCCGCCGTTCGCATTCATGGCCGCCATTTGCGCCGCCATATTGTTGTTCTGCATCGCGACGCGGATCGACGACGGTCGGCTGCGTCAGGCGCAGGCAACAAGCGGTGGATAGGCGATAGACGCGCGGTGGTAGTAATATACGCGATGGCTTGGGTGCACCTCGGTGCTGTAGTCGAAGTGATTATAGTGACATGGAACGCCTTCGCCACGGGGGTGATCGGGATCGCGGCGATGGCGGCGGAGGAGCCAGGCGCCAAGGGGTCCTGGGGGGTGAGCGACGGGCACAACAAGCAGCCAACGCGCAATGGATAAGGGCGTCTCGCGCAAAAAGTTGGCGGGTTGGCAATGTTAGTGATGCGATGGAAAGGCGGGCGGTGATGATGTGCAGGATGGCCTCCGCTGCGCTTAGACCCTGTAACGAGGCTTGCTGGGAAGGAGCGCACCGCGCGACTGCCCTACGTGAAGACGGTGTCGGAACGGAAAACCCACAACCACGGCGGAAAAATGTGTCGGCGCGCAATGCAGCGCGTCTGAATGGGGGATAGAGAGAGAAATAGACCAAGATCTAGGATGCGTGGGAGCGACGGTATCCAGGTAGTTTGCAGGAGAGGGGATTTGGCGGCCTCCAGAGAACGCCAAGCGAACCCGTGACATCGGTATAATTAGATCGTCCCAACCACTTCTGCTGCCAGCCCACACTGTTTTTGCATTGCTGTCATCATTGCCTGGCTGTGACTTCTAGGCCGCATCTCTACTACAATTTGCGCACGCGTTGCTTCAGTGCGATTTTCTGTGAATCGTGGTCACATGAGTTGCCTACACGGCTATGGACATGTGCATGGATGGGTGGATGGTACGCAAGTGGGGCGAGGCTCTCCGCAGTGTCCGCGCTGACGAGCAAACACCACGTCGAGCAGACCAACACGGTCCTCGATAAGCTGCAATGCAATAATGCCACATCATACGGGAAATGAGCGCCAGTAATATGCTGCGATACTGCTCAACGATACGGTAGACTACCCTGTGCCAGACCTTCGTACCTCTATCTGGTGTGCAGTTCGTATCCCTGCTCATGCCTCGCACTGAAGCGTCAGAAGCTTCGTGGTCCACAATCCAGAGTCCTTGATACAGATACATGTGGACAGCATTTCCTGGGAGAAATCAGGTCCCTCATGTCTTGCTGCTCTGTCCAGGGTCCAATGCATAATTGCAAGTGCATTTCTGCAGACTTTGTGAGAATTGCGCAATTGCACTTTGCATCAAATGTGCGTGCAGCTCATCTCACGTAGCACACGGCCCCCACTTTTGGTCCTCACCGCCGTTAAGATGCGGACTATGCAAAATAGGTTCTCTTGAGGCTGGACTGGGCACATGACATTGCTTTAAACGGGTATCTTTGTTGCGGAAAAGACGCACTTGCTCATTCGTCATCTGGCGGCATTTCGTCGTCAATGTAGCGCACCAGTGTTATTCTCATCTCCGTGGTATCGTTGCCGCGGAGCACGTCACTGATAAAGTGCGCTTCGACTTGCATATGAACCTGAACAGAGGTTAGCTTGAACCCAGGCTGGTCACCTCAAGGCAGAGCTCCGCCGTTGCGCAGACTTACCATTTCCAGTGCTCCCCTTAAGACGCCCACCAGGATGTTCGAGAACCAGAGCTCGTCTTGTGCCCGACCGTCGTCGGGAAGCTCGACGAAGTCCGCGAGTGGGTTCTCCTCAAAGATGAGGGAAAACTGCTTGTTGTCGCTCGTCCAGTTGGTGATTGTGGGGGTAATGTTAAGAAAGATCTTGAAGCCGACCTGACATGATGCGTAAGCCAACTATCACCACCAGCGCAAAGCCGAGGCTACCTTTGAGATCATCTCCGCCACTTCTCGGAAGTTGGTACAGGCAGGTATACCAGACTTGGCCAGGAAGTCTTCAATCAGCCGTACGCCGATGTTGTAGCCCATGCGATCCAGCTGCTTGTTGACGTCGGCATAGTTGTACTCGTAGTCTTTGCATAGTTGCGCAACGATGGTGCCGTATGTGAGGGTGACGAGCTCGGCGCTGACTTTGTCTACGCGCGTTCTACTTCCGTAAGCCTCGAGCTGGGTTGAAGAGTGATGCGCCACTTACTTCCACACTCTGGCAGCTGTTAGCACATGTCCAAGGAATTGCTGTACATCTGGAGCTCACTCCTCGCCCAGACGGGCTGCCTTGGTGGAAGATGCCATAATGCACGGCTATTCAAGATCTACAGAAGCCGGCGATAGTTCTGGGCGAGGGTCTGCAAGTCCGGGGAAGTCGAGGTACGGCAGTATTGCGGGTATCGGAGAGTCGAAGTGGTGGAGGTGGATAAGCTAGGGTGGCCTACGATGTGGACCCCAATATGGCTTGGCGCAGATCCACGTCGAGAAAGTTTACGAGAGCTCCAGAACACCAACACTGAACACAGCACGAGTCCCCGCATACGTCACTCCTACAAACACATACCGCCGCTGCAATGTCCACCGCGAAGCGACCGGCACATGATGTCTTCGGCTCGAGCCAGCTTGTCAAGCGCGCAAAGGCGGACGCGAACCTGGGAAACAGCTCAGCCGTCGCAGTGGTGAATGGCGCTGGGCAGAATGGCGCGCTCATACAAGGGGTATGTCAGAAGGCTGTCTATGCGGAGAGTAACATTGCTGAAGCAACAACGTGCTGATAGGCAACATAGGGCGCGCGCAGCAGTGCACTCCAGTCGCCAGTCATGGAGCTCACAGGCCATTCCGGCGAGATCTTTGCAGCTCGATTCGACCCCACCGGCCAGTTCATTGCCTCGGGCTCAATGGACCGGTCTATATGTCAGTCATGTACGCGCAATGCTCAGATGACTTAGCTGACTAGCTCTAGTACTCTGGCGCAGCTCTGGATCATGCGAGAACTACGGCATTTTGACGGGACACAAACAGGCGGTACTGGATTTGCACTGGTCGCGCGACTCCAAAGTCCTCTTTTCCGCATCTGCAGACATGCACCTGGCGAGCTGGGATGTCGAGACTGGCGAGCGGATACGCAGGCACCCAGGGCATGAAGAAGTGATCAACTGCATGGACGTGAGCAAGCGTGGAGAGGAGATGCTCGTCAGCGGTTCCGACGACGGTTCCATCGGGGTCAGTGAATTCGTACTGCCTCAACATGCATGACTGACGCTGGTACAGATCTGGGACACGCGAACCAAAGACGCCATAACTTATATCCAGACCGACTTCCCCATAACGGCCATATGTCTGGCAGAAGCCGGCAACGAGCTGTTCACAGGAGGCATCGACAACGACATCAAGGTCTGGGATCTGCGGAAGCAGGCTGTCACCTACACCCTTCTTGGACACACCGACACGGTCACCTCGCTGCAAATATCGCCCGATAATCAGACCTTACTATCGAACGCACACGACTCGACGGTCCGGACGTGGGACGTTCGACCATTTGCGCCCGCAGACCGCCGCGTACAGACGTACGACGGAGCACCCACCGGCCAGGAGCGAAACCTTCTGAAGGCGAGCTGGGACTCGACTGGAGCGAAGATCGCTGCTGGCAGTGGAGATCAGAGCGTAGCCATCTGGGAAACAAAAACGGGGAAGCTTCTGAACAAGCTCCCAGGGCACAGAGGAACGGTGAACGACGTGCGCTTCCATCCACGAGGGGAACCAATCTGTAAGTACCTCCGAATGTTGATACTCTTTTTGTTTCGCGTCCTTGAAGCCCTTGGTCACGGCTGTCATCATCGTCACTGTACTCTCCGGTGCAGCGGTTTTGCGCGCTCGGTGGCTGGAAGTGCGATTGTCCGAACGACCGATCGCTCCGACGAAACATTTCTGCGAAGCATCTCACCTCTCATGGGTTGCGTGACTAACTTGGCATTATTAGTGGTTTCCGCCTCCTCAGATCGCAAACTCATGGTGGGCGAGCTTGGAAAATGAGCGCGACACAAGCCCTTGGCATGAAAATCTTGAGGAACTGTAAAAAGCTTCCGCGCAAGGCGTGGGGAAGGGTCCAAGAGGCTTCGAGCTGCCCGTCAGCGACCCCGCGGTGCACGTCACAGGGGCGTTGTTTACAGTGAACTCTATACGCCGGTGCGACGTTGGCTCCTGGAGCCGGGATGTGTCGAGAAACGGACGAGGCACGGCAGACTGCAAGGAGCCCTGGGAAGACGCGTTGTGTACGCGATTTTGTATTTACCCGCAGCGCCGCAGGAAAGGGCACATGAAATAAACACTCAACACAGCGAGATGCGAAATGAAAGATTTATGCTGTACATATCGTTCGCGTCGCACAATGGCGTTCACGGCGGCTGTTCAGGAGTTCGCGATGCACCGGGGCACGATTGGCTGCGGGGTCTCCAAAATGCGGCGCTTGTCGACCAACCACAACGCGTGTCTCCAGATTCTGATCTTCATTGGCGACCCAGCCCGTCCACGATTCGCTGCAACTCTCCTATCGTGGAGCAGCCAGGCTCTCCAGCGGGTCCGTGGAGCCCGCGGTGCACATTTGCGGCGAGGTGTTTCATGCGCGCAACTACCGCACTCTGACACGCCCCATGTTCCAGATATTCGTGGCGTTCAATGCTGCCTCGTCCTCGGCCGTCCTTGCAGCTGCTCCAGGGCTTCTTGGTGTGACTGCAACCCTCTTCCCTTTCTTCCCCATGTTATGACCTGTTTTCCTTGAACCTCTTTCATTGGCAGCAGTGCTGTCGTGAACCGTTTCGCCTTTTCTTTTCTTCATACCTTCGTTTGGCTTTGAGGCTCTGGATAGCTGTTTACTCAAGTACTTCTTCACTAATCAACAAGAGTTGGGTTGAGAGGTCGAGACAAGTTTCGAGAGGAGGATACTGAGCACGCGAAGGCCAACGGTTCGCTTCTCGGACATGAGAGACTGTTCTTGACGAAAGTTGAGCTCCAGTAATCCTTATCGAGCTCTAAGCTTCTGGCCCTGCTCCAGTTCGCTGCCACGACTGTTCCTGCATGTGAGCTCCACTATCACCCATTTCCATTGGACGAATCGAACGTAAACAAGACAACGTGTCGAGGCCCGGCGTGCATCTGCTATAAGGAACCTGTGTGCACCAGAATAAACACCTAGATCGCACCTCTATTTTCGTTGGACCCCGCGCAGTCGCACTCTAAATCCGGACCATCATGTTTCGATCACCACTCTTTAGCTGGTCACCGCGGCCAGGCCAGGACCAAAGCCAGGACCCGTTCGGCACACCAGCAACACAGGCGCCGTCCCGATTTAGTGCTCTCCACAGCAACATCCGGACTATGATCAATGGTTCTTCCATCTACTCACAGTCACCTGCTATTCCAAGCAACAACAATACACCAAAGGTACCTTTCCGGGGCTTCTTCCGCCGGGACCAACCAGATCAGGATTCATCCCAATTCGCACACGATGGGCCACGAGGCTCACATGACTCGAGATCTCCACTCCACGCTCAGCATACGGCGGGTTCATACATTGGCGCAATTGAACCACAGGCACCAGAAACGGTGTACCACCGCCACCCAGCAGACGTACCTCTACCACCACAAGGTAGCAATTATGTGGATCCGGAGAGTCAACAGCTGGCGGAAGAGGTCAATGGGCGACGGCATCGAAGAAAGCACAGACGGAGGAAGCACCGTCAACCCCACGCAGATCGCTGGGTACGACGACGAGATGAGCCAGGTTCGCAGGGACCTATGTTGTTCGTCCGCGGATCACCCGCTCGGGGAAAGATGATTGCATGCATTATCTCTGGATCTATGCTCCTTACTGTGTTGTCGATCTGTAAGTTCTTTTCACCATCTAGAGTTGCGAGACATTTGCTAATACTACTATCAAGACCTCACAATCGCTCTCACCAACCGCGATATCGGCCAGGAAATCCACATCCTCTTCATCATGGTCCTCCTCACCATCACCATCTTCTTCTGCCACTCCCTCATCCGCCTCTGCATGTTGATCCTCAACCCCCAGTCCGCAGAAAGCCGTCCATCCCTCCCAGACATGACCAGCGCCGAAGGCTTCCAGCCCGTCCGCCCCATCCGCGTGCATCTCGCGCGCGACGAAGAGGCCGGGAACGACATGGAGCGAGCTGTGGAGAGTGAACTGGATCTCGAGAAGGACGAGCTCCCACCGCCGCCTCCACCAGCGTACGGTCTCTGGCGCAGCAGTGTGCGCGTAGATCCAAACTTGCTGCACTGGCAGCGCGTCGAGGGCCAGGATAATCGCCGCTCCGTAGCTACCGACTTTACAAACTCGCGCGCGGGCTCGGCGATTGCGGCTCAGCCTGCTACGGCCGAACCTCGTCCTCCGTCCTATGTGTCCGAGGATGGGGTCAGCTACATCACTGAAGCTGCGCCAAGGTCGACGGTCCGACAGAGTCATTCGGGCGTGAGTGACATCCATCCTGCATGGAGGCCGGGCTACGCGGTGAGTGATGTCACAGTGTGGCCCGCCGGAAGAGTCTAGATGTATAAAAGTTTAGTTTCGCATCAAGTGCCTCGATCTGCTTTGTTTTGCTTTGGGTAATTCTCGCGTTACAGCGTCGCGTCGTCATTGCATATGTTTTCGTGTAGGATAAAACGGAGTGTCAATTACCATCCGCATTTTGCTTCTTCAATCTCTCACCCCCTCGATCAAATTCTTCACACCCTTCCCCCTCATCGTCTTCTCCCATGCGCTCACCGCATCCTCAAACCGACTCACCGAACTAATCAACGCCTTGGCGTCAACTGCCCCTTTTTCCAGATACTTCACCGCGAGCTCGTAATCCCCCGCGCCGTACCTAAAACACCCCCTAACCACCAACTCCTTCTGACTCATCGCGACAATCGGGAATTCAATCTTCTCCCTCCCCAGTCCGGTTTGCACATACTTCCCACCCGGCCGCAACATGCAGATTCCAGCTTCGACGCAACTCGCGGCGCCCGAGGCTTCGATTACAGTGTCGATTTTGCCGCCTGAAGTATCAACCCCCTCCTCCTTCAACCCAAACTCTTCTAACATCTTCTCCGCCACATCTTCCCCAGACATGCCCACATCCGCTATAAATCCCTCTGCACCCTGCATCCACCCCTTTGCAAACTTTACTTTGTCCTCCCTAACATCCACCATCACGACTCTCAGCGCGCCGAATAGCCGCGCCACTGCAGCGACGAGTAGTCCGATTGTCCCGCAGCCCATGACAACCACCGTCTCGCCGGGCCGCACATCGCCCAACTTCACAGCGTGGACGGCGACGGCGAGAGGCTCGACCAACACCGCTTCTTGCAGACTGATGGCGTCGGGGATCACGTAGCACAAGTCCTCCGCCATCTCGTAGAATTTGCTGAGCGTACCGGGCGTGCCGGGCGTGGAGGGCGGGCCGGGGGCGGCGGCGAAGAGCATGTGGCGGCAGAGGTTGTATGTGCCGGATTTACAGGCGGCGCAGCGGCGGCAGGGTGTGCCTGGTTCGATAGCAACGCGGTCGCCGATTTTAAAGGAAGTTACGGAGGGGCCGACGGAGGTGATGGTGCCGCTGGCTTCGTGGCCCATTGTGAGGCCGGTGGAGGGGTCGACGGAGCGGCCTATGCCGCCGTGGGTGTAGAAGTGGACCTTGGGGTGTGTTAGAGAGCAGGGCTTGTAGGGAACACGAGAAGGTGTTCTTGATGGGACAAAATGTGAACATGTTCAGATTCGATGAGTTCTGGAGAATAGGATAAATACATCGCTCAGTGGCGCTATGGTGTGAGAATATGTCGAGCAGAAATTATGAGCCGATCGATATGGTTTGATAAAAAGATGGGGAGATTGGAGAGTGTCTTCAATACTTACATCGCTCCCACACACGCCGACATACGCAATTCTCACAATCACATTGTTCGGATCCGAGAGTTCTGGTACCGGTCTTTCTTCAAGTTTCGCGTTCTTCGCGCCATACAGAACGATTGAAGGATTCTTCATGTCTTGAATCGAAACGGCTGAAGTCATATTGAAGACAACAGATTTGGTGAAATGTAAAAAGTATTTGTAGAATTGAAGGAAAATGTGTTCAAGCACCTCATATATACCTCATGTTTCCCAGGATTCCTTTTAAATCGACCTAATCGTTGTGATGCGCCATAGGTCAAGCCATTGCGAGAGTGGTGGTTGTACGGAACAGATGCGGGGACTTAGACGCGTGTAGGTGTAGCCCCGCGATTGGTCAGTATGACAACATGCAGACGGGAATAGGCAGAACTTGATCAGCGTAGATCGATGATTCGAATTTCCGATTCTCTCGAAAGTGGGACATGAGGATTCAGATATGCAGAGCAGACGAATACTTGCCACGTGGATTTTGTGGAGGATCGCTAGAGACTTTCTATGATGTTAGATGTATGCACGTTTGATATGGGTAAAGCGATCCAGTAGAAGTACAGGTTCACCGAGACATTGATATATTCCATGACAATTTTTCAGACACACGAAGCACGCCTGATGAGATGAAGTGTCGAGCACGTGAGACCGTGAGGGGGACGCGGCTTCCCCGCAGGGATCCAGCTTTCCCCACATCTGGCGGTGAGAGGTTGTGGTTGCTCCCAGCAATTGTCTTCTCGTTTGCTGGATAATCTTTTTGAGAACTACTTCTTCTTCCAGTTTTCCGTGTCAGACCTCCAATCTCAACCCAACATCGATCATGACTTCCGCTTGTGCGAATTGCAAGAAGACGGCGGCAGATGCCAACCTCCAAAGCTTGAAGGCTTGTGCCAAGTGCAAGACGACACATTACTGCGACCGTGACTGCCAAAAGGCCGACTGGAAGCTACACAAGAAAATCTGTGCCGTGAACGCCTCGCGTGCTTTCGTCCCCGAACACAGCAATTCCTACTCAGCAGCCCGTCTCAACGATCTCGAGAAGCACATCCCCAACCCGTTCACAAAGCTTGACAAAGGTAAATATTTGCACGATCGACCTGAGAAGGATGTGTACAAGCTTCTCATCGACTCCTTCCGCATACGTCAGGCGGACGACCTCAACTTCGAGAACAAGACTACACCAGGCAGTGTCTACTCTGGAGCATCGTCTAGCATCGAGGCGTTCCGACAGTATCTCTCCAAAGCAGCTTCGCGAGAACTACTGCCATCGTGGTGGGACGCTGAGAAGCAAAAAGAATGCGAGGCGTTCGGCGAAAGTGGCGCTTGGAACGATCTTCGTAAAAAGGTCGACAAGAACGAAGTGATTCAACACTACGGTGACGGGAAGGCGCCTATGCAATTGAGGATGTTCGCTGACGCGGTCTATGGTGTGGGCTCGATGGGTCAGGACGGCACGTTCATGCGGAAGCAAATGGTACAGATGGAGAAAGGTGGTCCAGCCGATGGTGGTATCATGAGCATGCTGAACATTGCAAGATGATGGCGCAGGCGATATGTCTCGCGCATCTCGGGCAATAATGCATCGAAGACACCCGTTGCGATGTTCGAAGCTACTGTTTGTGGACTACGTCATCGACGGAAGCGGCTCCGATGGAGGCAGTGCCTACGTGCTTGGTCGGACTTTGCCATAAGATAGGGGTCCTGAAATTGTCCAAAGCATTCGTCTTGAGACTGAAGGTCCTCAAATTGAGCATTTGATAAGCTTATGCCACTATATGAATATTAGATTAGCGAGACCGAGATCGCAGGGTGAGACTTGGAAAGAGAAACGGCGTGTTTCCAAGCCCTTAGTGCTGCGATCGATGGTCGAAGGAAAGTACCGAATCGAGTATACCAAGAGGCTTTATCCTGCTAGAGCGGTGCGCAGGTGGTGTTGGCAGTGGAAAAGGCAAGATTAAAGGGGTGTAAGCAATTCTCTCGAGGACTTCTGGAACAAACTAGTAGGAGTATTTCACCGAAGGCTAAGTGGCAGATCATCGCTTTAGTCTACTACTTCCTCTGCTCAACCCTAATAGACACAAAGCTGACGTGCACCCGGTCCTCAAATTAGGGCTCATGATGCATATCGTGTCTACCCGGGCCCAACGGCCGTGATGGATCAATCTCGAGACATCGCCGTTATGTGGCCGAGTAAGCACCGAGTTAATCAACTGCAGAGCTTCTTCGACACCTAGAGACCAGCAATTCTACCGGCGGGCCATCAACTGATGCACAATTGTGCAACTAAGACGATCGCAGATCTATATCATACATCTATGTCGCTTCCCCCATGTCACTTGACAGATCGCGAAGTGTATCCACTCTTTCATCATGTTGCGCATCGCCTTAGCAGCCCTCTCTCTTTACGCTAATGTCGCGAACTGCTATGTTGCAACCCGAGCTACCGATTCCGTCGATGCTCCTGTAGTTCAAGTCAAGAACGGATCATACGAGGGGATATACTCTGCTGAGTATAAGCAAGACTTCTTCCTTGGAGTGCCGTACGCACAACCTCCGGTCGGGGACTTGCGATTTCGCTCTCCTGTCAGCTTGAACCAGACATGGACAGGTGTCAAGCCTGCGAAAAAAGACTCCCCAAGAGTACGTATTTTTAAAAAGAAAAAAGATCAGACTCAGCTAATGTACCCTCAGTGCGTGCAGTGGGGCACAGATGTTAGCATTGTCTCAGAAGACTGTCTCTACATAAACATTGTCCGACCTTCTGGCCTCGACAAGAACGCATCTATCCCCGTGATGATTTGGATTCACGGCGGAGGATTTGTTAGTGGTGCCGGCGTCGAACCTGTGTTCAATATGACGTTCCTTGTCCAACAATCCGTCAAGATTGGCAAGCCCGTCATCGGCATCAACCTCAACTATCGACTGGGCACCTTTGGATTCTTGAGTGGAAGCGACGAGGTCAAAGACTTCAACGTGGGCCTCCTTGACCAGCGCAAAGTGCTAGAATGGGTACAGGAAAATGTCGCGTCCTTTGGGGGTGATCCTAAGCGTGTGACGATCTTTGGCGAAAGCGCTGGTGCTGGTGCTGTCGGCTACCAGCTTATTGCCCACGGTGGTCGGGATGATAAGCTCTTCCGGGGCGCCATCATGGAGTCTGGTAATCCCATCAATGTCCATGGATCGTCAGACAAGTCAGGGCTTGCGGATAACTATAATGAGCTTAATCGCCGGACCGGTTGTGATAAAGCCACCAGCCCGCTGGAGTGCTTGCGAACTCTTCCTTATCAGCAGCTTTACGACACAATCAATCAGTCAGGTAATTCGAGCGTCAGCCTCTCGGCATTCGGCCCGGTTATTGATGGCGACTTTCTGCGCAAGCCCGGTTCTGTTGCACTTGCGGCTGGCGAGTTCATCCATATCCCAATCATGAGCGGTGGTAAGCATTGAGATGTTGCAAGCTTCTTGGATAACCGGCTGACTTTTGCACAGCCACTTCCGACGAGGGAACTGCGTTTTCCAGTAAGCCAGTAAACACTGAAGAAGAATTCGAGAAGATGGTGATCGACCTGGAACAGGGGAAAATGTCTGCAGACTTCGCCAAGAAGATTCTCACTGTATACCCAGACGACCTATCAGTCAACGTTGTGCAGAGTCTAGGGAACCAACGGCCATCCGCCTCGTATGGCGCTCAATTCCGTCGATCAGCAACTTACATCGGCGATCTCTACATCATCGCGTCGCGTCGCAAGACGTGTGAAACCTGGGCCGCCAACAACCTCCCAGTATACAGCTACCGCTTCGATGTCTTGCCAGACGGCGCCAATGTGGACATGGCCATTACCCATTTCGCCGAAGTCTCCTTCGTGTTCAACAACTACCTCGGTATCGGATACGATACTAAGCCCTTTAGCTCGGAGCCCATGACCGCGGTGGCGAATTTCATGACCAACAGCTGGCTCAGTTACGTGTATCACCTGGATCCTAATGAGTGGAGGAAGACTGTCGCGTGGAGTGGGCTCGAGCCTGAATGGCCAGTGTACAACTCGAGCAACCCTACAAACTTTGTGTTCGATTCGAACAGGACGAGTTATCTTGAGCCGGACGTGTTCAGGAAAGAGGCTATCCAGCTTATCAACGACAACTCTTTGTCAGTTTACGGGCGTTAAAGTCGGGAATGGTTTGTAGACAGCTGGGGCTGAGTAAATAGAGGAGGCCTTCATACAATGCTACTTTGAGCATCTAAAAGAATAGATATAATTATGATCACATGCAAATTTCGATATTCATTTCAGAAGAATATTGCACCAGCCAGTGCGTTGACGATTTGACAGGTACGTAAGCCAGCCCTTTATATCTTCTGGATTGTGGTGGAGGTTCAGTCACGATCTGATGCTTCGGGTATTAGCGGCGTTATACCCAAAACGGATAAGCGCATTTCATGCCGTTCTCAAATCACACAAACCTCAAATCACAGCGAAGGAACGCAGGACAGGCACAGGGAGAGCTGCTCTTCCATCTACATATGTACGCGCTTTTGCTTACCCTGCACTATCGCCCAGGACGATCAACGTCTAGAAGTACGCCGGTAAGGCTTCGGCTTCCATAAGCTCGCCCACGATGCCGAACAATTGGCGGTGAAAATTCTAGTCATTTGCGCGACAATGCCCGAGCGTGAGGCTAGACTAAGGTACTATCAAAGAGGACCTCCTTCTTCCATCGTTTATCTCTTATCGTCTTCTCCATCTTGCCTTCCCCACGTTCTCCAGTCTTTCCTTTCCGCTTTCTCCATTTCCTTCGTGCGTCAGATCTAGCAGGTGGCAAATGAGTGTCAGCCTCTCAGGCCCTTGCCTGCCACCATCAAGCAGCTTGATACCTATTCGACAACTGGTTACATCGTCGGAAGGACAGATTATTGAGGCACTTGCAAATCTGCAGGCGTTGTATTGCCCTTTGCGCCTGCCGACTGCTATACCGAAACCGAAGCCGAGTTGGAGACACATACCTGCAGCATCAACGCCTGTTCCGGCTGACTCTGGGTATGCGTCTCGAGATGAAAGAACATATGGGGACGACATGGCAGCTGCCGAGGAGGTGACAGCAGCTCTTCGCGCGGACCCGTTCGAGCGCAGTTTCGCCACGAGATGGTTGACCTCGCTTATCTCGCGTGTGGAGGAGATGGGCTTTGATGAGGATGTTACAACGAACATGATCGACGATGCAGCATTCATTCTGGCCTCATTCTCCGACTGTACCAAGGATGAGGAGGAAGAGGCTCTGACACGCGATTTCTCATTTCCAACGAAGCTTGGTGAGAATGTCCAAGTCACGCTCAACGACGCGCCACTTTCTGGAATTGATCATACTGATGTTGGACTTCAGTCTTGGGGCGCAAGTATTGTGCTGAGTAGCATGATGTGCGCGGATCCAAAACGCTTCGGACTTTCAAAAGAGGCGCTCAAGGGCAGCCCGACCATCATAGAGCTCGGTGCTGGCACGGGGCTCGTTAGCTTGACGCTCGCCAAACTGCTTCCAGAACTCGGTGTGGAAGACGCCAGCATCGCAGCAACGGATTACCACCCAGCAGTTCTGGAGAACTGCAAGCTGAACATCGAGTCGAATTTCTCTTCAACCGACCGGCTACCCATCACCACCGACCTCTTGGATTGGTCACAGCCGCCGTCCGAGCTGGTATCCTCGGCAGATCTTCTCATTGCATCCGATGTCATCTACGCACCAGAGCACGCATCCTGGCTCCGAGACTGCGCCGCACACCTCATCAAACCAGACGGCACGTTCTGGCTCATGGTCACGGTACGAAAGACGGGCAAATTCGAAGGCATACCCGACACAGTCGAAGCTGCTTTCGTACCGGAGCTCTGTCCCAAAGATGGGGATGGACGGACCTTTCAAATCATCCAGAAAGAGACTGCGGAGAAGAGGAGGGGCATCGGAAGGGGCGATGAGACGGGATATAATCTCTATAGAATTGGCTGGGCTTAGACTTGGATTTTAGATTTCATGGGCATAGAAGCGATGGTGTTGAGGTTTTCAAGGATTACGGATATGGATACTTAGATCGGGATACTGGTAAGCTATGATGAGCAGCGAGCGTTGCTGAATATCATAGAGGGAATAGAGGGCAAGTCTTTCAGGCTACTATAGCACTAGATTGAGAAACACAAGAGTTGAAGACAGGTATAATGAGACAACTACTCGATTATAATCATCTGGCACAAGTAAGACGACCCTGCAGTGTCAGCATACGAGGGGAAAAGTGCTCATGAGCAAGGCGTTTTTTTCATCGCTTGTGCACCCATGTAGTACCAAGTGAAGGAGATATGGCACCTCTGAACCCTTACGGCATGGGTGGGTGGGATCGAGTACTGGATTCACCATTGAGTGGACTAGCCACCTGATTGTTCACTACTACAACTCCCACTTCTCAATCTCGGACAGCAGGTATTGTAAGTTTCATTTTGCAGCTTTGATGGCTTGAAGCACAGTCTCAGTCATACTAAGCACCTTTTCTTCTTGGAGCCTCTGCGCAATAAGTCTAATAGAGGTCAGTAACATTGACACATGACTAGGAAAATGTGCACTTACTGAAGGCTGACAGGATATCCATGCAGCAATTCCGCATCATCTAGCTTATATTAGCGGGTGTGACGATACACCAAGTTGCGATCGAGCACTCACAACTGTCGCGAGCAGCCTGGCAGTATTCGCTCTGAACCTTGGCGTCTGCAAAAGAGGTGTCCTTTGTCTTGTCCACAGTGATTCCAGTCGGGAAGGAAACGGCAGAGTAGTCAACTACGTTGAAGACACCGGTGTAACCGACATACTTGAAATGGCTGTGCGGTACGCTGCTGTAGGGCGTAGTAGGTGCTGCGGTACGTTAGTATCCTTGCCAGTGCACATCGCACGATCTACTGACCAAGAATGGCATCAAGATTTTCGTAAGACATCCACTGCTCGAGGTACTGGCGTTGGAGCTCGGTGCGCTCTAGATGCAGCTGCCACATCTCAAACACGCCAAGGTCTTGAGCATCTTGATACTGCTGCATCTCTGGTCGTATAGGTTCGCCTGTCGGAGCAAGCAGGTTCTTGACAGTCTTGCCGCCATCTGCGACGAACATACGGCCGAGTTGGTCCAAGGCCTTTGCGTGTAATTTGGGGTCCCACTCCACGACTTCATGTCCGGATTTCTTCAAGCTTTCTACTGTCTCCTTCAGTGCCCGTGTGACTGGGGGAGTGGGCATGCATATGCCGTCATTCCAAAGCACTGCAATCTTGAGCTTCTTCTGTTGCTCTACCTGTCTCCATGGTATAGGCAGTACCTTGGGGTCCAACAGCCACTGTTGTGAATTTATGACAGCCTTCGAGTACGTGATGATATCTTCCAGTGTTCTTGCCATAGGCCCGTTCACACTTGCGACCGCCTCTTGGCCGGCCAGACCTGATCTACATCTCTGTGTGCTGAAGCGTCCAAAAGAGGGTCGAATCGTGAAGATGCCGGTGCAAGCTGCGGGGATTCTGAGGGAACCGCCCTAGTATCTGTTAGATTCTTTGAAGTAGTCCGAGGCTGCCAGAACTCACAATATCAGTACCTATGCCTATGGGGCTTCCGCCGAAAGCAATAAGGGCTGATTCTCCGCCAGACGAGCCACCTGAAGTGACCTTGCGATTGAGAGGAGATATAGTCCTGCCGAAGACATTGTTGACCGACTCTGGAATCATCATGGCTGTCGGTACATTTGTCTTGCAGTATCGAACAGCACCCAGGTTCTCCAAGACATCCACTAATGTCGCATTGTATTCGGCGGGGTCGTTGACCAAAGAACTGAAGCCCACAGAACTGTCCTTTCCTTTGATGTTGAAATTGTCCTTGAGCGAGATCGGGAGACCGTGGAATGGTCCCTTCAGCTGGCCTGTTCGATTGAGGTGCTCGTCAAGGGCTTTCGCGCTTTCAATAGCCTCGTCGAAGAAGGCATCAGTCAGGCAATTCAACTTCATCCGAATCAGCTAGCGCTACTCGATTCCAGATGGCTGCCTACCAATTGCTGTGCAGCTGCTGCACGCTTGCAGAAAGCCCTGGTAACCTTCTCTGAGCTCCATGTCTTTGATGCAATCTTCTGCAGCAGCTCGGTCGCGGTGCTGCCTGTAATTTCTAATTCCTCAGACGAGAACCATCCAGATTCCTTCGGCCATGTTGTCACGTCCAGTTGCGAATCCGGTGGCAGATGTTGTTGTGGCACGCGATGCTCTTGAGGAATGGATTCCGCGAGCTTCGCGCGCTTCGCCTCGGCAACCTTCTCCCAATTCTGCACAGACGTCATCGCCCAGGGTTCAAAGTGCCAATGGACAGCACGAGATAGGATTTAAACTTTGGTAATATGAGGCTTTGCAAGCACTGACTTCAGCAATAGTTTGACATCGGGAAGTTCCCCAAAGGCGTCTACAAGCATGTGCTCAGTTCCGTTGCCGGCTTCCCCACCTTTGACCAGTTCGCCGCGGTCCACCACGATAGCTCGCCCGGAACTTTCGACGTTCGCTATCACAACCCCCGCCCGTTATGTAACTACGCACATGCCTGCAGATCACTTGGGTTCAGCCATTCCTTCCAGCACCGAACAACTGCCGATGCCGGCATTGCTTGCCTGTTGAGGCATGCCGCATACGAAGACAAGAGAGCCTCCACGATTAGCTCGCGCGATAGACGCTGATATTCTCCTGCACTCGAGATGCTCGAGTCAGTTGCGAACAGCAGCATCCATCTTACACATCGACCCTATCTTTGGCGGGATACTGTCACCCGAAGAACGTCGAGGCCGCTTTCCGCCCAAGAAGGAATGATCGGCGCTCGGCAAAGCCTGATAAACCCATTATCGCCAACATCGAAGAAGATAGGCTGGGGATCTTACTCAGTAATATCCCAACCATCTTCTTTAAACAACCTGAATCGCGATCGCAGTCTTGCTGTAACATCGCATCACGATGGGCCGCGTTGCGCAATACCTCCGTGGCGACCAGCATGCGCCGGGAGAACGAAAGCTGGTGCAGAAGCTTGACTTCTTCATTCTGACCTTTTGCTGTCTGATGTACTTTTTGAACTGTACGTCGCGATGAAATATAAGCGTTGGATGAAAGTAGTCTGACCATACATAACGAGGCCAGACCTTGACAGAACCAATTTAAACAATGCTTATGTTTCTGGTATGCGAGAAGAACTGAGCTTCCGGGGCAGTCAGCTCAACCAGATTAATACTGTGTTTACCGTCGGATACACAATTGGCCAGGTTCCCTGCAACATTGCTCTGTACTATGTCAAGCCAAGGATTTTTTTTCCTACTTGCATGGTGGGTGAATCAATACCTGACATTGATGAGGCTAATCTGTGTAGGTGGCATGGGCTCTCTTGACCATGGTTACGGCGGCTGCACAGAAACCAGGAGACATCATGGCCATTCGCTTCTTTCAGGCGCTCTTTGAGTCGTCGACGTTTGTGGGCACTCATTACATCCTCGGATCTTGGTACACAGAGAAAGAACTCGGCAAGCGCTCCGGCATTTTCACTGCCTCAGGTTTGGCCGGAACGATGATTGGCGGTTTCATCCAGACTGGCATTCACTCTAGCATGGACGGTCTTCAAGGGCTTTCTGGTTGGAGGTGGCTGTAGGTGGCAGGAATGAATTCCTCGTGCTGCGCAAGCTGACTTGGAGGTCTTGTGCAGGTTTATCATCGATGGCATCATCACACTCCCTGTCGCCGTCTATGGGTTTCTCCTATTTCCAGGTAAGGCTGATTTGCAGGCTCCGTCTGGAACATGACTGACCCCTTGTTCCTGGTCTGTAGATACACCCCGGAACACCCGTGCCCCGTATCTCTCCGCAGAAGAGAAAGCATTGGCAATTTCTCGTGTACCAGAAGTCTCGGAACGGACTCCTATCTCATGGGCATTCTTGAAGCATTGCTTTGGGACATGGTACTGGTACATGTTTGTGATCCTGTGGATTCTTGCTGGAGAGACAGAGTCTTTCAGCACCAACGCGCTGCTGCAGCTCTATATGAAGAGTCACCCGACAAACAAGTACACCATATCGCAGGTAAACAATTATCCCACGGGCGTTCCGGCAGTCGGCATTATTTCAACCTTGTTTTGGGCCACCCTAACGGATTTCATGGGAGGCAAGCGGTATCTTGGTAAGGCTCCCATCCCGAAGAGGAGGCCCGATAGCTGACAGCCACAGTGGGTTACTGGATCGGCATCACTGGCGTCATCACAAGTGCTTTGATCTTGGCTTACCCGCAGAACACAACAATACATTTCGCGATGTATTACTGGGCGGGCAGTGTGTATGCCTGCCAAGCGACATTTTTTGCCTGGGCCAACGACGTCCTTCGCTACGAAGAGGATAGCCTTCGGGCCGTGGTCATAGCGAGTATGAACATGGGGAGCAATGCCATCAATGCTTTCTGGAGTATCTTGCTGTACCCGGCCTCGGACGCCCCGATGTTTACCAATGGCATGAAGGCCATGATTGCAGTTAGTATTGCGATGGCCTTCTGGACGGGCGCGCTTGTATGGATGCATGTTCGAAGTGAGAAAAGGAGGGAATTAGTAGGGACTACAGCACATTTCACAACAAAAGAGCAGGATATTCGTGATACCGAGCAAGGTCAGGAGAAGGCCTAGATTCTATCGAGCATGTACGAGATGAGATGACAGGACACGACTCAAATCTGGGAACAACGAACGAAAGTACTGCTTTTTCGTCCGTATCAAAGCATTCAAGACAACGCATCCTCGCTCAGTTGCTAGTGGCAACATCGGAGCTCGACACTGCGCCTCCGATGCGGTGTATCAAGAAGCTGCTACTCAACCGCTAATGCTATGCAGATCCCGTCCCCTTTGTTCAATTGCTCGGATATATTGCCTGGTCGTTTCAGTTCTAATTCGTCATCTTGCATATTTTCTGTTTCGAAGCAATTGAGTGCGTTGTTCAGACTTTCAGCACGCTGCATCTAGGCGTGCATACTTCGAGACGCAAACATTGACACGGCCTGCTTGTCTTATAACGTCGTCATTATCGGACCACGTTATTCCTTCGCGTGCGTAGTCGTTTTGCTTTTCTCTTCAAACAAGCGCCGGGGTGTACCGGCGACCTGGCGCAGGGATATACCTTCTGCGTGGCAACGTCGAAACCAATGCAACACCAACACTAGCATTTCTGGAACCGAAATCACCCCGGCATCTCCGCACTTACAAGCGAGCACCTTGTTCGTAAGCGTGTAACGACCAAGGCACGAACGATCGACCCCCTCGTCGATCTTCCTATTATTATCCACTTTACTACTTCTTTCCTCTGACAAGTCAATCAACCAGGTAATGCATGCTCGGTTTACAGCCGCTTCCATGCCACGACACCGTGCGTTTCATCGGTATGATCTCGTAAAGAGATTCGTTCGACGTCATCGCCATCTTTGCTTCAGCCGCGATCTATGGTGGTATCCACCCACTACCTCGATCAACGAATCACTGTCCGATGAAGCAAGTCACGATGCGGAGCGGACGTCTCGGAGACGAAGTTGCGCCGAGACGTGACAGATGAGAGGGTTTCCAGGGTCTCAACGGTTGCTCAACTAGTAGATATAACGTCGTTCCACCCTCAAGCGAAACCAGTTACAGCACTTCGACTTCCCCCTTGGGTCGCATCAAGACTTCCAAAACCAAACATATCGGAATTAATTTAGTGTTCCACTGCATCGGCACCTCTACCATCCCCAAGTCTCTATCTTTTCTACACGAACAGCAGTACCCATCCACCTCAATCGGCCTACTTCGAACAAGTTGCCATGGCCACAAACGAATTGACTGCTCTTCCACAGTATTATGGCCAGCAGCTCAAGGACGGTACAGTAATGGAGTCCCCCGTCTCACCACGTGTCTATGGGCGTGGGTCCAGTGATTCAAGACAAGAACTTCTACGTCTGCCAGCCCAAGCACATATCGATCGAGACCTGGATCCCATCTCTCCCGTCATCGGTACAGATCCAAACGCAATTGGTCTCGCAAACCGTCCCAGTCGTAACCGATTAGGTGGCCAGCCGGAAATCGACGAGTACGGTTCGCCCGTTGCGAACCGCTACACACGCAAGACTCAACCCCAGAGCCAGTCCATGGTTCCTCGCACTGCCTATGTGGAAGAACACTTCTCAGAGGACGAATACGAGCAGCGGCCCCAACCCTACCGCCGTCGCACAACTCGCCAGTACCGGCCTCCTCCATCAGCTCACGAGAACGATCGTTCAATGAGCCGCTACTCACAGGTACCCAATCGTCGCAACACTAACCGGTCGGATGTGCACTACAACAACGACAAGCCACGGACTCACATACACTACGGCAGTGACGACGAAGAATATGCGCCTCGCCGCCCTCCAATCCGCCCAGGGGCCGGTCACGGCGATGGCCGCGAGCCACCGCGAGCACCTCCTTCCACCGAGGACGTGATGCGTCTGCCCTGGATGATCTGGATGGGCTCGAATGCAAAGAACCATTTCGTCGCGTTCGTCGGCGAATTTGTGGGCACCACTATGTTTCTGTTCTTCGCGTTCTCGGGCACGCAAGTCGCCAACATCGGTGCCGGACAATCAGAGGATAACACAACGACTGGTGAAGCCACAGGGTTCTCACCCAACGTCTTGCTCTACATTGCTCTCGTCTTCAGCTTCAGTCTCATGGTTAATGTGTGGGTGTTCTTCCGTATTAGCGGCGGGCTGTTCAATCCGGCTGTCACGTTTGCGTTTCTGCTGTGTAGCGCCTTGTCGCCGACACGAGCGAGTTTACTCATGGCTGCGCAGGTATCTGGGAGTATTTTCTCGAGTTACCTGGTCAGCGTCCTGTTTCCAACACCTTTTAACGTGCGGACGACGCTGAGTTCGGGGACGAGTTTGGCACAGGGAGTGTTTATTGAGGCGGTCTTGACAGCAGAGTTGGTGTTCACAATCTTCATGTTGGCAAAGGAGAAGCACAAAGGTATGTTTCTGTCCATCAAGCTCTTTGGAAGACATTCACTGACTCACAACAGCCACCTTCATCGCCCCTGTGGGCATTGGACTAGCGCTTTTCATCTCCGAGCTCGTCGGCGTCTACTACACCGGCGGCTCGCTCAACCCCGCGCGCAGTTTCGGGCCCTGCGTCGTCACCGGCATCTTCGACAAGGAGCACTGGATCTACTGGGCCGGGCCAGCAATCGGCGCCATCCTCGCTGTCATTTTCTACAAGTTCATCAAGATCCTCGAGTACGAGGTCGCCAACCCAGGCCAGGACGATGATGACAAGGATGTCGAGGTCAAGGAGAAGAATAACAACGAGGAAAGTGGGCCGGATAGCCCTAATCGTCGGGGCGAGCCGTAGAGATGGTGTGCGGGAATAGTATTATGTATGAATGGTTAATGAGCGGACGACATGGGTTTTCGATGGGTCTGGGCTTGCAATCGGAGTAAATAGAGTTCATCATCTCGAGGTATTGAGACTAGATAGATTGGTTCACGAGTAACACAGAACCAGAGATAATGGATAACAAGATTCGAGTCTTTATTTGTTAACACACTCAGTTCCCAGTCGCGTGTCAATGTCACTGATCTCATACTACCTAGACCTATCGCACAAAGGCTCCAAGACGAGAAGGTTCTTGGTATGACTGAAACAGTGCTTCAGGTGATTGAAGCTATGAGATAAAGCTGCAAAATTCTGAGTTCGTAGATGCCAGATTTGCTGCAGAACGTGGTCGTACTGTTCAGGGAAGGAGCAGCACTGAAGGCAGTAAACACGCGCCCATTCCACCTTCGTCAGATCTACGATCGCCAATCTCACGACACCAACTGCATACTTTCCTCATCGCCTATTCCTTACATCTCCCAGATTCCTACGACCAGCTTCTCCTCGTCCTGTTACTCTCTACGTCGCACTTCCTGAAGCTGGTCGTGCTTTCACCTCACAACTCATCTCAACTTCTCACATGATACATCGAGCAACCTAAGTATTCAAGCACTCGCCTCAGCCTCGACTTTGCATCCCTAAAGTCATTCCTCGGAACCGGCGCAAAGGTTGACCGTCGAGCAAATTTCGTCAATTCGAACCACGCTTGCTGAGTGGGCCGGCCAGTCAAGACGGTCGCAATGGCAGTGGGTGCCGACGCCTCTCCAGCCGGAGCGGACGTGCATGCGAAGACCAAAGCAACCCCGAAAACACCGGTCAAGAAGTTTACGCCACGCGCGGCAGGCAGAAAGCTTCCATGGCTCGACGGTAAGGGTGCGCGGGCAATACCACGAGCCCCTCTGGAGAGCGACACCGACACGCCCTTGAGCCAGAAGACTTCGGCTACAAGAGTACCTAAAATTAATACCGCGCCCACACTGCCCACGAGAAAGGCACCGCTCGCTGTTCCGTATGGGCTTCGCGACTCTTCTAAAGCTGATAGCAGTCCATCACCGGCAACAAGACATCGACAATCGCAACTTCGTCGAGCATCCCCCGCACAAAAGTATCCGTCTCCTTTAAGAACTCCAGCATCACATCGCCCATCGATATCACATGCGCCGCAGAAGAGGTTGTCCATCGTACCTCACCACCAAGATGAACCAGAGGAGGACGGTTTTGGCTACGTCCGCCCACAAGCTGGAAGTCTTGCGCCTGTACCAGATCATCTCGAATGGTCAGATACATCAGAATCTTCGATCAAATCGGGACATTGTGACCAGTACCTCACCCAAGATTGTCGCTCGTGTACAATTCTCTCCTTCACAGCCAGCACCGACTCGTACCGCTTTTGAGCGCATAGGCGACAGAAGACTGAGCAATGCAATCGAGGGCCTGGAAGAGATGGTGCAAGAGGCCATCGATATTGCAGATGATGCAGATGATCGGCGTCATGTCGAGGACATATATGAGATAATCGAAGACGCAAGAGCAGCAATCCAAGACGCTGCGGAAGATCCCACGAAGCATCTCATCGCTACCACGTCTCCACTCAGCACTTCAGACTCGTCGACAGAGTCGGGAATCATACGCCTTGAAATCCCTCATATGCATAATGGTGCACAGAGGGACTCTGCGTCTTTTGACTGGGCTTACCCACGACACGACAAGTATTCGGACCCCAACTCTATATCAACCTCCTCGAGCGACAAGGGACCTAGAGGTCGTTCAAAGTTCAGTACTCAAAGTGACTTGCTTCTTCCGCCACAGCCAGTTCAAACAGCCTCCCGTGACCATGTGGACTTTGTGCTTCGACCCATCGCTCGAGATCAGTCTCGTGGTCGTCCACGCCGTCGTGCGAATGACGATTCTATTCACATCCATCGACACAGGCACCGACATCGACGTAGCTCTGGGACTCGATCTAGGTCCCGATCTGGGCGCAGGCATCACAGGTCTTCCAGCTTCAGCCATTATGACACTTCTTTCGACGAAGAGGACGCGCCAGTCCATCCATATGGTAACGAATTGTCCGTGAGAGAACAAGCTCGCCATCACACATTTAGCCTACATCGACATCATCGCCGACAGCCCATTGCACGCAATTGGACGACGGGCAAGAAGCGAATCACAGCAACTATCGCCTGTATCAACACAGCCCTACTTGGCATAGTTGTTGGCATATATGTGAGTCTACAGTCTCGACCGTGACTTGCTGTCCTGACACCGTGTAGGCAGGCGAAGTACCTCGGATCCAGTACTTTCTTGCGGACGAGAGCCATCACAGCATTGTGGGCAATGCTGTGTAAGTACTCGATTCGAAAAATGGACGTTGATGTTGACTATCATCAGGCTGTACTTTGGTCTCGCCATATCGACGTTCATCGTGTGGCCTTTGCCCTTGCTGCATGGACGGAAGCCGTACCTGCTCGCTGCTCTGGCTTTGGCGCTGCCACTACAGTTTCCCCAGGCCCTTGTCGTCAGCCAAAAGCGGTCACCGAACGATGCGAGGTTCCGAGCTGGCCTCCTCAGTGCCCGCGCTATCACAGGACTGGTACTCGGCTTTGCGAATGTAAATTACATCACAGTCCTTCTCGATCTATTCGGTGCCTCGCTGCAGAGCAAGAATCCTCATCAAGAGTACGTCGTTCCGAACGACGTGCGCCGACATGGCGGAGGCATGGGCATGTGGCTCGGCATCTGGTCATGGTGCTGGATTGGGTCGCTCGCTATTGGCTTCCAGATCGGCGCTGCCATCATTGGGAGCCTGAGTCCTGACTGGGGCTTCTACATCGTCATCTTCATCCTTGCAGCAGCCTTGATCCTCAACATCATGGCTCCGGAAACCCGTCGCGCGGCCTATCGAAAATCAGTGACTGAGGTCTACGATCGAGACGAGAACTACATCACTCGCCGGGTGTCACGCGGCGAATGCAAGCTCCACATCTCGACCGAAGGCCCCAAGTACTGGTTCGAGGAGGTCTGGGCTGGAATGAAACTGATGGTCTTGATGATGTGCCAGCCTGGCTTCTTTATTTTGTCATTCTATCTTGCATGGATCTATGCACAGATCGTGCTCGTCATCATCCTTCTCGGTGCTCTTCTCTCCAAGGAGTACAAATGGCAACCACGCTATGTCGGCGCCGGCGTCATGTCTATCGCCATCGGGGGTTTCCTCGCCATCCCGTTGACAAAAGCTAGGATCTTCTCGCGTGAGCGCAAGATCGCGTTTCGCACAGACAGCATGACGTTCCAGAAACAAGTGACTTGGTCCTCGCATCTTGTTCGGCGCGCCATCTTTACGCTCACGCTTCCGTTGATGGGTCTTGCCTACACAATCAGTTCTGCTGGGCGACCGAGCCCGTGGATTGTTCCATGTGTGTTTGCTGGTGCTCTGGGCTTCCTAAGCATTCTCGCTGTCGCAGAGTGTCATGGTCTGATGATGGAAGCATTCGACACGTGCGACCTACAGCCTGGTGTGAACACACGACATCGACTTCAGTCAATGGCCGTCCAGGATCAACGACGTCGCACCAACTACACGTCCTTTCCTCGGGTCAGCGCAGGCATCTTCGCGTCTCAGACAATTGCTTTCATCCTCGCTGGCGTTGCGAATCTTGTTGGCGGCAGCATGACGCGTCGCCTTGGAGCTCAAAAGTCGACGGGTGCTACTGCAGGCATCCTGCTGGGCTTTACACTCCTGTTGACAATGGTCCTCTGGCGCTTCAAAGAGGTTCAAGTCATTCCCAACCACACTTTTGGCACCAGACGAGATACAGCAGCGTGGGACGAATTCAAGGACCTTGAGAAGATGGGCAGAGGCGCGGACTGGAAGGCTGTGGTTATTGGGCATCCGAGCGGCAAGATGCGCAGGATGAATGTGCTAGAGCTTGGCGCGCTGAGTCGCTGGACGGAGATACGGAAGCTGAACTTTTTGCTCAAGGGGCCGCGACTTGGAGAGGAGAAGAAGAAGAAGGCGCGTAGTTTTAGAGGCAGCTGGTGAATTGATGGCAATGCTAGATTGAGACAGTGTAGAGAAGGAAAATGCACATGAAGGGTATTGAGAATGAAGTGAGATTGCAGTGCAGTGCCACTTCCAGTCAACTGCACCTAGGCTTTCTTCTAACCTTGTAGCCTATATTTGAGTCGAGTCCGTGGTTCGCGCTAGGAGCAACGGTTCGTGGTGACATGGTGACGTGGTGGTGGTGTTTGCGAGGAAAGGGCTCCTCGTGCTCCTCTCCTGAATGATCCGGGCTGGGGCCGTGCGCTCGGAAAAATCGACACAGGCCGGAGCTCAACCACGGCACGACAACTCGATCACGACACCGACTCCATCACCGCGAGCCATCTCCACTCCTTCGACCGACCTCACAATGTCTCTCGCTGCATCACGCGCCGTGTTGCGGCAATCGACCTTTGCCGTCCGTCGCGCGGGCCTCCGCAATGCCTCGACCACATCCGAGGCCGCGGGCGCCGTAAAGGACAAGGCCGGCCAGGCCGCATCCAAGGCATCAGAGGGACTCTCCAAGGTGCAGAGCTCTGCGAGCTCCGCTGCCTCAAAAGCCAGCGAGACGGCGAGTGCGACGACACAGAAGGCGAGCGGCCTGGCGGGAACCGTGCAAGGTCAGTGGAGCCGCGTCTTTGGGCATCGAGCGGGGCGCGATTGGCATCCGAGGGGCTGTGAGGGCGACGAAAGAGGCGGGAGACGTGATGCGGGAGCTCAATGGCATGCCTGGAGAGCTCTGTGCAGCTGTCCAGCATAGCTTGAGCTCGCACGTGAATTCGCGCCCTCACCTCACTCGGGACCAACACGACGCACCTGCAACCTTGCATCACTCAAACACGACGCTGACTAGAACCCGCAGGCATGGTCCCTCTGCTCACCTACTACTCAAAAGTCGGTCTCGAACTCGGCAAGCTCATTGTCCACCAGCGCGGCATGACACCACCGTAAGCCCCTCGACATGTGCCAGGACACATTGCTCAATCTCGCTCCGACCAATGCTAACACCCCGCAGCTCCGTCCAGCAAATGCAAACATACATGGAGCCTGCGCTGAACGCTCTCCGCAACCCAGCGTCTCTCTTCAACCGCGTCGCAAGCGAGGCCAGCAACACGTCACCGCAGCACCTGCTCGCCCAGGTCCGCGGCATGTCCAACGCACAATGGGCATCCATTGGCGTCGTCGCTGCCGAAGTGATTGGCTTCTTCTCCGTCGGCGAGATCATTGGCAGGTTCAAGCTTGTCGGCTACCGGGCGAAGGAGCACAGCGGCGAGCACTAAGCGTGGCAAAGACAACAAGCGAAGCTATGGATATCGACAACCGACTTAATGGTACCACTTGAGAAACTGATGCGCAAATACCGAGCCTGGGGAAGCATGGAGGTGTACGATTTGCATGGGAGTTGAGCCGGGGGCAACACGTATGGGAGTGGCCCTTACACTGTACTATTGCACATACCTTTGATTTAGATTTCATTTTCAATGTGCAACTCTTGGCAATGCATTTGGGGCGCTTTCAATGTAATGTGATTGTGATGGTCCATGTGAGCATCGGCGGTTGGCATGGCCGATGTTGCCGCGGCCCGCTAAAATTATCAGTGAACTGCAACTTTTCGCAACACCAGCTACACTTGCTTGACATGACTGCCACCCTTGCGTGAAGTGCACATCTCAGTGACTGCAGCTCCTTCACACGCCATGGACGTCTTCAAGCTCCTCTCGCGCTCCTCGAAAGCGCCGCACACCTCGCCTGCGCATAAACTTCCTTCCTCCGGCGCCGTCGCAAATCCGCAGCTTTTCGGCCACCACGAGCCCGTACAACCGCAGACTGCGAACACCAGTCGGAAGCGAAAGAGGGGACAGGAAGCCGTAGATTCGGCTGCGGACTTGCCTGCGGATCTCGATTTTTTCGCCGGCGCGGGCGAGAATGGGAAGAGCGACAAGGCAGCCAGACGGAAGGAGAAGAAGCAGAAGGCGCGGGAAGAAAAGCGCGCCGCGCAGGAGAACAGCGTAGCAGCGGTCGAAGGAGAGGTGGAGGAAGAACCCTACGACGTGGAAGAGTGCAAGAAGATCCTGCGCTCGCATAAACTCAAGGTTGCTGTGTTGGAAGACTTTGCTCCGCCGCCTCCAGCCGAAGAGAAGAAGAAGAAGAGCAAAAAGCGCAAGAAGGAGAAGGAAAAGAAGAAGGAAAAAGATGTCAAGATGCAAATATATCCCCGACCGCTCACCGAGTTTTCCCAGTTGCGCACGCGATATGCCATTTCGAAACGCCTGGCGGAGAATATACACGAGCAGGGGTATAGGCTGCCGACGGAGGTGCAGCTTGGTGCGCTGCCTTTACTGTTGGGGAAGGATGATGGCGATGTCGATCTTTTGACGGTTGCGCCGACGGGCAGTGGGAAGACGATTGCGTTCCTGATTCCAATTATCAACTCGCTATTGGCGCAGGGCAAGGAGGAGGGCAAGGAGGGGCCGAGGGCGATTATACTCGCGCCCACGAGGGAACTTGCGTCGCAGATTGTCAACGAGGCGAGGAAGTTGGCCAAGGGCACGGCAGTCAAGGGTACGCTTATGCGGAAGGGTATGGAGCTTGTGGAGAGGGGTGAGGAGGTCGGAGAGACGTCTGATGTCCTTTAAGGGTATGACGATGCATCTGGGTCTGACGACGAGGCCCACTGAAGGAGCTCAAAAGCGACAGCAAGCGGAATGGTCAAGGCAGCTATAC